GTAACCTACTATTAATAGTAAAAGCTTTAAATTAACTAGTAATATTATCTACTTTAGCTTAATAAAGTATAAGAGAGTTATATATAGTATACTTACCTTTAAGGTCTATAAAATACTTACTAGTGCTAATATTACTTATATAATTAGTATTACCTTTATAATAATTACTAACTACCTTAAGCTATTATAAATACCTATAATACTTTATACTAACTTATACTTACTTTATAAGTACTTTATAAAGCTTAGTACTATAAAAAAAAAGTAACTTATAATAAATATTATAGCCTTTTACTAGTTATATAAATACTATAAGATTTATAAAATATAGTAGATTTATAGTAGTAATAACCTAGTAAATAAATTTATAAAGTTATTATTAAATAATATATTAATAAAGCTAGTTAGTAATAGGTAGTTAAAAATATAAATAAATAAATAAGTTTCTTATATATAATAAGCTATATAAGTAAAAAGTATTAAATACTTTTTAGCTTTTTATTTTTATTATATTTCTTAGCTATTCTTTTAGATATAAATAATAAGGGATTTCTAGTACTATAGAAAGTTACTAGTGTTATAATATTAACTATTATAGATAAATATTAGAGTTATTAGGTTAACCCTAATAACTTATTACTAGTAAATCCTTAGATATTTAGCTATAGATTCTCTAAGGATTTATAGGTAATAAGTTAGTTATTTAACTAACTAACCTATAATAATTATCCTTTTTTTTTATATATAATAGAGAACTATAGTTACCTTTATTATTTATTAATTACTACTAATATATATAGTTAACTATATTAACTTATCCCTTAGTGTTACTAATAATAAGACTTAAAGATACTAATAATAATAATTAAAGGTTTATAAAGCTTTACTTTATTAAAAAAAGAATTTAAAGACTATTAAAGTAGTTTACTAATACTAATATATAAAGTAATTAACTTATAGTTAAAAAGTATTAGTAAGTTAGTATATTAACTTACTATTATTAAGGCTAAGAACTATTAACTTTATATAAAAATAAAAGTACTAAGTAAGTACTAAAGGGCTAAAAAGACCTAACTATATCTTAGAAAGTTACTTAATATAGCTAAAGTAAAGGTACTATAAAAAAAAAAGAAGTAGTTAAAGCTAAAGCTAAAGAAATATCCTAAGAAGGGGGTTATATAGAGAGTAGTAAACTACTTATATAATAATATAGTAATTATAAAAAGACTAAAAATAATATATAAACTTATAAAGTAGTTTAAGATAGTAATAAAGAATAAGGTAATATATATTTTTAACTAATTTTATATAATCTAGTTAAATAAACTTATAAAAATAATAGAAAAGTAAATAAATATATACTACTTACTATAATATACTACTTACTATATATATATATATATATTAGCTATAATAGTAAAGATATTAGAGTTCTTATATAAAGAAAAAACTATTACTATATATAGAGAAAACCTATTTAAAAAAAATAAATAAAGAATTAAGATAGATATATATAGCTTACTATAATATAGAGCTTACTATATATATATATATATATATATATAATTTAAATTAGTAACTAAAAATAGTTATTTTACCTGGTTGTTTTAGTGTACTATATATATATAGATAACAAAGCTAGGTTTAGACACCGCTAGTATAATTGACTATAGTTCTGTCCTTTACCTTTGTTTTCTAATGTTACGCTTCTGTTTAGTACCATGTTCTTATGCGGCCTATTATCTCCTGACCACACGATTAATACTTGGTGTAATATGACTGAATGCTTGGAGCCGATTTCGCCAGCGCCGCTGTCAAACCTGGCACGACAATATGACGTCGATCTGTCATCGCCGTTATCTTTCTAGACACCTACCGATCTTCTTGTTGGCACTGGTCGTTCATTGTGCCACAGGTTTGTGCCAACCGTCGACCATCCTTGATGCCCAGGCGGCCGTTTGCGAATTCAAGACCATCAATTATATCACCCATACACTACCGCAACAGTGTTTAAAAACAAGCTGGCCGGGACAGAAGGGACCTAATGAAAGTGTGCACACCAAAACCGATGACCCGCGGGCCTCGCCTGACGACCCAATGAACACTTTTGGTGGTCACCACATTTCGCTGGGACCAAGCCTTTCAACAACCGGGCTCTCCACAGATGCGACGGCCGACAACGATCCCACACCGAGACCGTTCATGTCATTTGAGGACTGGAAGGAAATGATGTTGCGCAAGGCCGGACAAGACCCCTCGGATCTCAAGTCTCGAAAGTCACTAGATCGTACGATCGAAGCCGAAAGGGCCGCAAGGAGTCCAGGTCTAGATAGTCTTGGGGATGATGGAGAGATCGATCTGAATTTCGACGTCGTGTCAGAAAAAATCAGCAATATCGCATCAGCTCCCCAAGCAACGCCGACAGAAATTACAGCGTCCGAGCTCCAGCAAGAACCAGTGCTCTATGACGACGGTCGGACTCAATACTACCGAAGCAAGGATGCAGGAAAGACCTGCAAAGAAAGATTCTCTTATTCCTCCTTCGACGCTGGCGCAACAGTACTGAAAACCAACAAAGGGGCAAAGAATGCAAAAGCCATACTCGTTGAGAACAAGGACTCGTATATGCTGCTGGAGTGCTCAGCCGAGAATAAATTTGTCATTGTTGAGCTTAGTGACGATATTCTGGTTGACACGGTTGTACTGGCCAACTTCGAATTCTTTTCAAGCATGATACGGCGCTTCCGGGTCAGCGTAAGCGACAGATATCCTGTCAAAGTCGACAAGTGGAAAGATCTGGGCACATTTGAGGCGAAGAACTCTCGTGACATTCAACCTTTCCTTGTTCAGAACCCCCTGATCTGGGCAAAGTATGTCAGGATCGAGTTTCTGACTCACTACGGCAACGAATTCTACTGCCCGGTCTCCCTTCTTCGTGTCCATGGCACGCGAATGTTGGAATCATGGAAGGACCAAGAGACGCCTGCTGAGGATGAAGATGTGGACGAGCCAGCGGCTGAGGTAGTTGGACCTGCGAAAGATAACACCATTGGCGATACTATTGAAAGGCGAGATAACGTAACGACATCACCTCGCGGTGGAGCAGCAAAAGAGGCGAACTCCGCCGTTTCGGTAGATCCGCTGATGCCTATACACATATTCCGTCTTTCCGACGACGAAAACGCAACCTGTTTGTCATCGGCTACTTCTACCTACATGTCAAGCGCAAGCTCAGCGAGCGCAGGATCGCTAAGCAAGACGCAGGGCGACTCGGATCATGCCACAATTCAGATCAGATCTGGAATGGAAAGGCTCTTCGACCAGACACCCGAGGAAGAGTCTTCTGCCTCGACGACTGATGGCCGCCACATTGAACGGAACACGGTGCCGTCAGCTGTCACGTCTGGTTCTTCGCCCACATATCAAAGTAGCGTCAATTCGGACATGAAGGCTGGGGGGGCGAGTGAGACCTCCAACAGTGGTGCATCTTCCACAAGAGCACCTTCGCAAGCCACCACACAGGCTCGGAACAAGAACAACTCAACCGCGGCACCGGCATCTCCGACCGTTCAAGAAAGCTTCTTTAAGGCGGTCAGCAAGCGTCTTCAATATCTCGAGTCCAACGTGTCATTGTCACTCAAGTACATCGAGGAACAGTCTCGGTCTCTGCAAGCTACTCAACTGTTGGCCGAGAGAAAACAATTGTCCAGGATAGACCTTTTCCTAGACAGCCTCAATCATACTGTCCTTTCGGAACTGCGGACCGTTCGTCAACAGTACGATCAAATCTGGCAGTCCACAGTCATCGCGCTGGAGAGCCAGCGGGAGCAGTCACAACGGGAGACGGTGGCTCTTAGCTCTCGGCTTAACATTCTCGCCGACGAGGTTGTATTTCAGAAGCGAATGGCAATTGTACAGGCGATTCTACTCCTGTCCTGTCTTATACTTGTCATATTCTCTAGAGCCATGACCCAGCCCATCCTGACAGGCTCCTTTGACCTGGGACGATCGCCGAGTCGCAACCACCGGCTGCCTAGTTCTTCCCTAGATCGTGGCCTTAGAGGTGCGTACATCCCTCGTTATGACAAGTTTGGGCGGCCGTATGACAACGACCATGCTGGTGAAGGCGAACTGTCCGACAGGAATCTGGATATGCATCGGCCAATACCAGACGCATCGACCCGGCTTCTCACGCCGGCATCAGATGCTCGGTACAGCCACCGCCCAGATACGGCCATGACACCGGAGCTACTTCCGGTCGAAGAGTTCATGGAGAGTGACCCCGACAGTAGCTACCGCGAGTCTTCTCCCGGTTCTGATATTCGCTCTCCTTCGGACGAGACATTTGAAGTGAGTAATTCCGGGCAGATTGATCATGAGTACCCATCGGAGATTCAAGATCAAACGATAGCGGTCTTGGCAGATTCTGTTTCTGTGTATGCTCGTGGCTCCCACTCTTCTACGCTCCGCAAACCACTCCCAGCGTTACCTGAGTATCCACACTAAGAACTACAATGCCGATATGGCACCTCGAATACATTGCAGCTTCAGGTCAGCCCGTCAACTAGCTATCGTTGGTTGGTCCTTGCATCGTCACAGCCAATGGTCGAACATCCACGCTGGCGGGCGTCCTTTATACACCATGTGGTTAACCATCCTGTCCTCCGGGGACGGGATCGACTGTAGGCCTAAGAGATAAGTGGCCCCTCGATGATGGCTAGTTCGCTCGATGAGGCACAAGCAAAGATTGAGGCGGTGTGGACGGTTCAGGACAAGGTCTTAAAAGTAACGCAGCCATTATATCCCAGCAGTGTCTAGCAAGGCATTGATGATTACACGTTGATAACGCTTCCAGAAAGCTCCTGTATATGTAGCAAGCAAAGCTTAAGCCCGTTAAGTGGACAAAACCTTGAGGGTGTGCAAATCTTCCACAGTAGTATAACAACCTCCGTCGCTTCTTCCTCCGTAATCTCTTCCAAGTAGTGTCGATCAAGTGTCTTTCACTGTGAGTGGTAAATATACAGCTGCATCGAGGCATCCAAATCATGCTCCTCGAGCGCTGCCAGTCTCGTGCCTCTGTCATACTGGGAGCGCCTGCGACGCTGCTCGTCGCGGAAATGTTGTCCGGCATTGGGCGTGAAAAGGCCTGTATGGCAATGATCAGCGGAGTTTTGTGTGGCATGATTTAAAGACATCGTACCGACGTGCTCAGCATTTTCGCAGCTGCGCTTCATCTTGGACTGGTTGTCCGGCTGGGGAAATGGCTCCTCTTCTCCTGCCAGTCCAGGAACGGGTCCGTTGGAAGTATAGAACAACTACGCTCGTGTCATCTTCACAGTTCTTGTTCTATAGGGTAAGGTCGTACCTTGGGACGATAGTGCGCAGCTTCCAGCATCACGGAGCTGTTCCTGAACTTCTGGACAAGGCAGTCTTTGCCCTGGATGGCTTTAGAGCCACATTAGCGTGCGTTTTGACTCAACCTTCTGCATTCCGATACTTACTGGCGTATGAAATCTCAGCGACCTTGTCGCTCTTGAAGCAATTCCTGTGATCTTCTCAGCAAGGCATGTGACGGTCAGGAAGAAAAGAGTAACCTGCCATCTTTGGTTGCCTCTGGTATTGACAAACTGGATTCCTTTAGTCAGCTCATTCTTGCAAATGCGGGGAGTCCTTACTCACATCAATGATATCCAGGGGCTGGTGAGGGATTGATCAGCAGACACTCATCGCAAGCTCGAGAAAAAATAAACTTACGTCAACGAAGTTGATGAACGCATATCCGACACTTGAGGGCGCACAATATCAGTTCCATCTCATCTTTTCGCGACAGATGGGGTGAGAACATACTTGCAATCGTTCGCAAAGTCGATCCGTAGATACATGAAATCATACTTACCCCAGCTGGACTCGTCCACGATTCTCTTGAGCATCGCCTGATCGACCTTGTTCGGAATATTCCGGAGCATGATCTGGCTTTGTCAGTCAGGAGCATGCCTTACCAAGCTTTCTATCTCACCGTTGTGCGGACATCTATTCCCTCCCGAATACGGTTCACATCGACATGGTTGTGGTGACTCGCTACGTTATAGTAGGGCGATCTATTGACTCGAGCTGCGCTCTGTCTGCGAGACTCGTTTCTGGCTGTGGGTGACATGGAACCCATAGCCGACACGGCGTGTGAAGAATGAGAGAACATGGGGCCGGAAAATTGGTATGTGGCTGGACTGGACATAGCAGATGCCGATGGCACGCGTTGGCCATCGTTGAGCAAGTAGGGGCCATGAGGTTGAAATTGCGGTTGACAGAGAATCGGCCACATGGTGAAGGGAGGAACCTGGATACCAAAGGGCGAGTAGGGGGAGTTGGGCCCGGGCATGGAGGTACTATGAGGCACCAGATGCATTTGAGGGGCCTGTTTAGACAAAGCCAATGCCTGGAGGGTGTTGGTCAAATCGCCAGGCATACCGTGGCTGAGACTGTCGGGCGCTCCACCTCTATCCTGGGCCCTGCTAGAGATGTCACTGGATTCCACAAGCGAGAGTGTCATGTGTGCTCCCTAGTCAATGGTCAGGCTTTGCTTGGGATGAAGGACGTATATGTCAGATAGGCTGTGGGCACTCACCTCGACGACTTTGTTGTCAAAAGAAAACACTGCGGATGCGGCTTTAGATGGATCAAGGAACTGAATGAAGGCCCTGAATACTGAAGGATCATAGCCATGCTGCACATAGAATGCAGAAAGCTGACCTTGTGAGTCCAGCATACGTTTGACGACCGCTTCAGTACGAGACACGTCCAACAAACCTGGGGGGCTTGCCACAACAACCACAGATACCCAATGGTCGAATTTGTTGGACTCTCGATGTACATGCTGTATAGGAATTAATGGCCAGATTTGAACCGAAGGGTGTGAAAGGGGACACACCTCGTAGAAACCACCATCCGACAGATAGTCGGCTTCATAACAGGCTCCCACTCGGTGTATGTTGTCGCGCACAAGGACTGCATCGCGGATATCACTAAACTGAACGTAGAGTTTACCTCCCTTGCACTGAATCTGAGTCGGCTCCTGGACCGAGAGGCCAAGACGCTGCAGTTTCTGCTTGTTGTCAGTGTGTCTCCCTGAAGACTCATATTGCAGATGGATGCCTTACCGCGAAACATGCATCCAGGTCAGCAATGCCGAGATTCTGGCCCGGTGAACAAACTTCGAGACTTCGAGATAGTTCAGCCTCGTACTTCTGGCCTGGCAAAAGAAATTGCTGGTTGCGGTCAGGGGTGGGGTGGTTTCTGTTCTTCTCCGGAGTGCATGAGAAAGGCTGGAAGGTCGAGGCAGTCGGCGACAGCTTCTGATGGCCGGAGTTGGGTTTTACGGCGATGAAAGGATCTTTCTCGGCACTAGATGTGACACTTCCGAATGCACTTGTAGAGTACCTGGAAGGAGTGGTTTCTGGTGAATCTTGCGATGTAGACTTCAGGAGACGAGAGGATCGTGTTGATCCTCCCTCCGGGGAGAATGCGGTCAATCTCGTGTCTGGTGTACCTTTGAAGGACTCGGCACCTCCAATGGAGGAATGCGGGGAAGATGGATTGAACATGTCTGTCTCTCGACTATGGGCCATGCCGTTTGTGTCTCTAGTTGGTTGTCGTTGAGTGCCTGGCTGAATTAGCACATGAGACTTTGTCAAGAACGTAACCATCTGAAGCAAGCAGGTAGAACATCGAAGGTGCAGCTGCGCAGAAGGAAGATAACTGACTAGAAAAGATATGAATATGAGTTCAACGTCGAACAATCAACAACAACAGTGCCTCGAGCTTTTGGGTTGACCACACGCAGCTATGGCTTACACGAAACGGACTTGACGTCAAGGGGTAGCAGTCAGCTGTGAATCGAAAACAAGTGTAATGCCTCGGACGAAAGGTAGGATATGCGTGACAATGAATCGAGGGGGAGGGGGCTACAGAGAGACAGCGTTCGTAGAGGGTTGCAGAAGTGTAGAACAGGCAGTCTACTGACGTCCTGGTTGATTGTGTTCAACTGAGCCACCTCGAGGCTCAAATGGTGCGCTTGTGAGAAGGTAGCTCGATGGGGGTGGAACAAGGTAGAAGGTTGGTATTGGGTTAAGTAAAATGCGACAATAAGGTGAAGATCCACGGGGGAGAAGAAAGAAAGGAGACGTGCCCGGGGAGGGCAGTGAAGATTGCTATGCACCAGGAGAGAGCGTGTCGTTCGTGTCGGGTGGCCTGGGGAAGGCGCCGTGAAATGGAAGGCAGCAACGGGAAGAGCTGACCTACGAACGCTTGAGTAGGTTAGGTAGATTAAGATAAGTGGAAAGTACATCCAACTCCTCCTTCCTCGTCTGTTACCAAGAATTATCCTTGACCTCGAGCTGTCGGAGGCAGTTACGCGGCCTGGAAGTGGGCGCCTCACACTTCCGTCACTTTCTACCTTCCTCGCCTATTTCCCTGGCTTTCCCGTGATATCCCTCCGCGTACTGCATCGCGAGGTTTCTACGCCCTTCCTCTTCATGGCATTGCCTCTCCCTTTCTTGCTGTGTGTTTTTTATATTAGTTTCATATACTCCCTCTGCACTGTGAAGGGAAGATATGCAGACCAAGCCAGTCTGGCCAGCAGTCAAGTAAGGCTCGCACAATTGCAAGCCCATTAGGGTTCCTTCGCTCGTACCAAGAAGGTGCAATGTGAAAATCATTTGCATCACTAGGCAACGAGAACATCTCGTTAATCCTAATGGGCTCTAGAGCGGAGTCAGACAAAGTGTCATTATCAAATGAGGTATTGAAAGAGGTCACGGCCAATGCATAAGTATCCGAATTTTCAGGTAGAGCAGTTTGAATACGGACTAGACATGGGCAAATGGCAACTGTCGAGTGTCGTTTGTTTTGGGCAGCTGTCACCCTTTTGCATGAAGTCATTAATTACTAAAGTGCATGGCGACGAGTTTCGCCGGGATGGACAGGGGTCTTACATGTGGGCACATGCATTAGTGGTGCTGAGCCAGCCCAGGCCCACTAAAGAGGCTCATCAGCTGCTGTCACTCCACCAAACCGAGCTAACATGAATGTTGTCTGTCCGCCGACATCACCATTCCGTTTGGCGTAACCTCACCTATCCAACATTAATCCGGCAGGTTTCTGTCTTTACACCACCTTACCTCACCATAACGAGGTCAACACAGTGGCAATAGATCGGTTGCATATGACTTCTTGACTTGATTCTGCTGAAAAATACACCCATATCGAGATCAACGAGCTGCCGAGGATTGTCAAGATCATGGCCCAAGATGCCACGACGTCCGCAGACCTATGATGACTACGGCACAGCCGTCCAACAGGTTTCTCTCCATTATCAGGCACGATCCTCCATATTAATCTCAGAGAGCTGATTTTGACTCCTTCAGATCATCCTGACTTCGTCCGACACGGATTTCCTCGATCAATTGATCCCTGTCCTCAAAGATGCCTCCCACTCCAACCGAACCCCCTCGTTGATGCAAAATCTTGTCAGATATGCCGAGGATAGAGAATCAGATATTGAGAGGATAGGCCTAACGAAGCATGAAGAATTCCTGAGCTCAGTGAACCAACTCCAGGTTGTACGCGAGGGCACTGTCACGCTCACTGCAGAGATCCTGAGGCTGAACCAGTCAATCCAAGCAAGCACAGAGAAGCTTGCCGACCAAAAACAGGCTCTGGTAAATACAAGAGCTGTGAGGCAGAATATTGCCGATGCATCTGACGCCTTGAACGAGTCTCTCAAAATCTTGCATGCTGTCAACCATGCCCACGACCTGATCCGCAAAAAGAAGTACTACGCAGCACTCAAATCCCTCGAGGACTTGCAGAATGAGCATCTGATCCCGACACTTCAGAATAAATATGCCACCCAGCACAAGCTGGCTGATGTGATTCAAAAGTCAATACCGGCGTCGCAGAAAACCATTTCCGAAGCTGTGATGACAGACCTCAATACCTGGCTGTTTCGCATTCGTGAAACCTCGCAGTTCCTCGGTGAGGTTGCCTTCTATCACACCGAACTTAGAAGGGCGAGGCAGAGGGAACGCGTGGAGCGTGATATTTATCTGAACAACTTCAGACTCAACTCGTCTATTGAGCTGGTCTTCGACGAGAGCGAAGAGTTCGACGTGCTTGACAACGAAGAGCTGCAGGTTGACTTTACACCGTTGTTTGAATGCCTGCACATCCACGACGCCTTAGGTCAGAGCGAAAAGTTCCGTGCCGAGTATGCCACTACTCGCCGACAGCAGAAAGACTTGCTATTGCCAAGTACGGTTGGGCTCGTTGCAGATGACGAAACTTCACTCAGTAGTTTGCTCGAAGGCATCGCTGGCTTTGCCATCATCGAAAAAGCAACTATGCGACGTGTTCCTCATCTGCGCTCTGCTGTTGACGTAGGTTCTTTGTCTCCAGATACTTATTTATTGTTGGCGTAGCTGCTAAAACACGACCAGGTGGACGAACTCTGGGATTCAATGTGCCATACGGCCATTACTCTCACCTCGCAGGCGCTAGATGAAGTAAGCAATGCCGAAGTTCTACTCAAGATCAAAGGCGTGATAGCCTTGTTCATACAAACCATGGAGGTAGGGCCTTCCCTATTCCCTGATCACCCTGACGTTGGCTCCTGAAACTGAAGCTCGCCAGAGTTGGGGCTACTCTGTGTCCATGCTCGACAACTTTCTCCTCACCTTATTCGACAAGTACGCCGAGCTTCTCAAGCGCCGGTTTAGCGAAGATTTCCAGGAGGTAAGAGTTTTACATGCCGCTTTTGTGGTGCACCACGTAACTGACAAAACAAGATTGTCTCGACCGACGATTATATGCCCATGGCCATTAATACTCGGGAGGAGTACGAGAAGGTGGTGAATGTTAGTTGGTTTTCTCAAGACAAACCTCTCGAAGAACTCAGGTATAGTTTGTATCCATGTGGCGACGTTAGTCTGATTCTAACGATTATCCAGCTTCCCCTGCGTCTTGCCATTCTCGCAAATGTATCCGCTCTGTTGTATCGATATTCGAAACTTTCTGAACCAGTTTTACTTCTTTTCGGACGACCACTTCCAGCATCCCAATATCATCGACGACACACTCCGCAAGGTAATTGAATTGACGAGCTTAAGAACCGAAATACTCGGCTAACTTGACTACTCGCAGTCGCTAGATGAGCTTTTGATAGAGAAAGTTTGCAAGTCACTTGTTGAAAGATTAAGTTCGCAGTACCTTGGGCAGATTGTACAGATTCTTATCAACCTTGAGCACTTCGAAGCTGCTTGCCAAGAACTTGAGCAGCTTCTAATCAGAGCAAGATCGTCCACGTCGGCTGGCGGCCCTGTCACGCTCGTTGCTACAGAAGAGTTCCGAAACAACAAGAAGACGGCGGAGAAGCGCATCTTCGAACTTGTCAACTCCAAGATTGATGACCTTGTGGACACCGCTGAATATGACTGGTATGTATCGCCAAAGAGGGATAGGCCCGACCGCCAGTTGCAAAACTACACAATCGATACCAGCTGACAACATCGAATAGGATGGCAACCACAACGTCCCCTGATCCAAGTAGTTACATGCAGACCATGACCCGATATCTCTCCAACATCATGAACTCCACACTTCTTGGCTTGCCAAGAGAGATCAAGGAGCTCATATACTTTGACGCTCTTAGCCATGCCGCCAATAAGATCCTTGTGAGTTTTGATATGCAGGCGTCAATGTCCTAGCCACTAATACCTTCTGCAGGCGTTGCCGCTATCCCCTGATGTCAAACACATCAATACCAATGCAGTCGCAGCACTTGCAAAGGATGTGCAGTACCTTACGGAGTTTGTTGATAGTCTCGAGAATGGAGCTATGCTCCGAGAGAACCTTGACGAACTCCAACAAACCATTAATCTCATGCAGTCCGACAACCACGATGAGTTCTTCGACATTTCTATCCGCAACAAAAAATTTGGTCGTGTTGACGCCTTGAATGGACCCATATTGCTGGAGAAGTACGTTCAGACGTGCCGCACTATCCGAAGTCAAGTACTGACCAACATGCAGGCTCACTTCTAATGCCCAGGGCCCTACCCGCAGCGCTCCTCTTGCCAACTTTTCGTCTCGGTTTGGTATGATGAAGTAAGGCATATCTGCTTCGCAACAGCTATTGTATGGGTGTGATCATTTGTGAGGCGTTCAGTGAGGGACATGGCTCCAACGTCACTATATTTCAAAGCTCACTACAGCCCAAAAAATCATTTGCATTTTTTCTCACGGACGTGATCGGACTGGTCACTATTTAGACCAGACTCTTTACTCTGTACCCGGCCACTGCCATCTGGAGCACTTCATCCTCGGCCACTGGTCGATCTGACCGATACCGTTACATCATGATAGCTCTTGTCGCTAGTAATGCCTTCAACGCCGCGACGCCAGACCCAAATGGAAACAATATTCGTGCCTCTTCTCTTTAGCCTTGGCAGTCAAGGAGAGAAAGACATTCAGTTTATGCACCTTGCAACTGAGCAATCTTACTCAAATTCCTCGGTGGACATGGGCGCCTAGGGGCAAGTTAATCGATCAGCGCAAGACACCCATGGCCTGGATCTACTCACCTGCTGGGGCTGCATCCCTCCGTATCCATACATGCCCTCGATCTCGCCATACATGGGTTGTTGAGCTTGACCGTAAGCAGCTGAAGGACCTGGCTGTACTTGACCTGGGTACATGTTGGGGTTCTGCCGGTAGTCCTGATCGGGGCCAAGGGCATGGCCGGCAAGGCCATAGTCGGTCGCGGCCATTGGATGGGAGGAGGAAGAGTGGTTAGCACCTTGTTGCAGGGAGCCGTGCTGACCCGGCATCTGAGAATTGGTTTGGGCCGGGACGCCTTGGGGAGCAGGGGCGGCTTGGCCGGCAGTCCTTTTAGCGTGGGACGAGGCCTCTTCTCGAGGAACGATGTCGATGAGGAAATCAAACATATCGGACTTGGCTAGCGCAGACGCGATATCAGACCGCTGCAGAGTTCTTCGCTTATTCTCCTCGGCGTGAATCCAGGCGCGCATGGTGAGCTCGGTGATGAAGATGTCGCAGCCCTTGGCGAAGAGGATGGGCGCTTCGGCGGAGATCATCTTGACTTCTGGGTCAGCTTTCATAACCTTCTTTATGCGGGCCAACGGTAGTTGATGCAGCTTGTAATCGTGGTTGTCACTCTCTAAGTGGTTGATGGTCTGTTGCCAATAGGTTGTCAGGATGTCCTTGTACTGTCCGGTCAAACCCTGATGAACCTGTTTTTATGAAAGCGCGTCAGCTAGTCGGGTCTTCGTGTCGCTATGGGGACCAGGCAAGATACGCACGTTGGCCCATGGACCAGTGTAGAGTTCGGCAGGGGCGAAGCCTTGGGCGGAAAGCTATGTACGGACATGGTCAGTCGCGACGGTTGAATCAGTGAAAGCAAGCCGTTGTGGCGGTCGATCAAGAACAATAACGAGGCGAGAGAATACGAACCGCAGCGCTCGCACCTAGGTGATGGGAGTAAACGTTAGTATAGTGTCAACATGATGAAAGTAACTAGAGGAAGCGCGTGCAGCGCACGCGCTACGCGCTACGCCGGAGATGACAGGGAAGTAGAGCGCTGTTTCTCAATTCTTTGCTTACCGTAATGGCCGCCATGAGTTGTATCGTACACAGGCTGGGGACGGCCCTGCTGAGCATGGGAGCCAGACTGATTCTGAGGATCCATCGCGATTTGTTTGACGGAGTTGCGCGCGTCGTGATTGCAAGCAGCCAAGTTCGATTAAGACAAAGTAGCGTAACGTGAGGCGCGCCGCAAGTGTTGATCAAAGCTGTGATGAGGTAAGGGGAAGGTCCCTCTCAATCAGGTTGGTTAATGGGCGAGTTGGGTTTCGTGAGATGTCGCGAACGAAACGTTGCGTGGGGTCGGCGCAATGGTGTTTGCGCGAGCAAGGAACGGTGTTTGCTCTGTAGAAATACCTAGCTTTTCAGCTATAGGTACCCGACCACCAAATGTGGGGATTTTGGCTGAGCTCACTAGTACCGTAGACACTCGCGTGATTGGGACAAAGCTAAGGAATCCGCTAACGGCAAGGAGTATCGCGGGCCGCTGTAAGGAGTATAGTGTGCTGGCAAAAACAGGGATCTGTATATGTCTATTTTCTTACGTAACGGTTGTATTGCTACTAACAGCGGGCTGGCTAGTGGGAAACAGAGGGTGGAAAGGGTGACCGCCTTCTACGTTAGGACTAGTGTCGCCGATATCTGCTAGCTGTCATAGGATATTGGCTAGCTATATCTGGCTAGCGGGCTTCCTAGCTTTGTCCCAATCTCGCGAGTGTCTACGGTACCTCAAGGTACCTAACGCCGCGTGATTGTCCAACAGTGTAGATTTAGCAGCAGGGGGTATGTACCCGTGCTTACCTACCTCGAGATCACTTTCGGCTCCTTTCCCTATGTGGTAGCTGAAGCTTGGCAGCAACAAATCCAGGTACTGCCAAAGCCCAAACCGATTGCGCCATGGTGGTCTGCGACAGACAGTAGCAATTCTAAGGTTATGCAACCTGAGAAGCAGAACTGATGCGATTGTGGACTTATTCGCCGACAATACGTGGCGTTGGACACCTCGTAGAAGACAATCCAGGCTCGAATGCCATCCCATCTGTCAGCAACCACGATAGCAGTGTATACGACCGGAATGGCGACCAGGCACACTAGCCAGTCAGCGCCGGCCAGGTACCTACCTAGGCAGTATATCTTTGAGTACCTATTACTTTCGCTGCGGCAGACCCTAGCGTAGCTGCAGCCTATCTAAGTACGGCTCCAGTACTTGTCTACTGAACACCTTCGACACGGGCTTCTGTGGTTGGGCAGCTATTGAAGGGTTCGCCAGCCAGCCTCTTGGAAACCTGACCGCCTTGTTTGCACCGAGTTTGTGATGCATTTTCCTGACAGGGGTCGGTTTGCTCATATCATACGTTGAAGGCGCAAATGATCAGTCAAGGGGCTGAGAGAGTCACAAGTGTGAAGCAGTCACGTATTCGTTCACACTCCGCACCATGCAGCAAGGTGACGTGGCGGGGGGATGAAAGCTCACGATGTAACTCCAAGATTCTAAACCGTTGCCAAGTACTACGGCTTTGCCTGTCCCTCCGTAAGACATGCTGCCTTGAGGTTGGAGGTTGGTTGATTGAGGGCAGTCATTGTTCGACCAGCCACAGAACAGAGCCACGGCATGTACTCCGTACACCCTTGCTTTACAGAGAGTGCCTTACCTAATACCATATAATACACCTCTGGTGGTTCTCTCTGGGAGAATAGTTCGTAGGGGGGTATTCCAGCTTCGGGGGGGGTATCCGTTGTGGGGCCGAAAAGTTCGGGGGGGGTAAAGTAGCTAGGGTTAGGGTTATCAGGCTTATTTAGGCTTAGCTTAGAGTGTGAGAAGTGCAAGAGCTTGAGCATATGCTAAGCATATACTAAGTATATACTAATAAATATAGTGTCTACCCTCTATAAATATAAAGGACTTAGTTAGAAGACTTAGGTCTAAGTCCTCTATAGTTGTAGAAGGTAAGTACTATATTTTAGAGTATATACTCAGCATATGCTCAGCATATCCCTCTAAATATAGTGACTAGCCTCTATAACTATAGTAGACTTAGACCTAAGTCTTCTAACTAAGTTCTCTATATTTATAGAAGGTAGACACTATATTTATTAGTATATACTTAGTATATGCTCAGCATATGCTCAGTATGCTTTAGTTAGTTTTTTTTAATCCACACGGTGCTTAGGGCTTTACCCCCCCCCCCTGAACTTTTCGGCCCCACAACGGATACCCCCCCCCCGAAGCTGCAATACCCCCCTACCAACTAGGCACCCGTTCTCTCTCTCCCACTTTTTTTTTCTTCTTCCCCCCCCTGCAGCGTTCCTCGTCCCCATCCTAACTCCAAGTCGCCCCGCCCCACTTGCAGTTTAAGAAAGGGGGGGAAAAAAAATCCCAAACGCTCGCGTCTACTTTTCTGCTTTCCGTCTTTGGCTGCCTCTACTCGACCTCGAGTTTCCCTTCAATCTCCACCGTTCAGTCGTACGTCACCGCTATGCCAGAGCTGTGCGATGGACATCTTGATGAACTCTTGAAAGAAGCGGCAAGCCGCCTAGCGACTAAACAGTCGTCACTGCCGAAGGATTGCAGCTTGATCGCCGTCGCGGCCTTGCCTGTCGATCCGACTACTGAATCAAAGGCACTGCTCAAAGCACAAGACTCAAGAAGCATTTCGCTTCGTGATCCTAGGCCAGCGGAGGAAAAAGTACGTTTGCGCTCATTATTTGTTTTCTCCCCTCTCTGTCTCCTGATGAGAAGCAAATCCCTGCTTAATCTCCTTGATGTGATGACAGCGCCCGTCTTGGGTTGCTGCACCACGCCAAAATGATCTTTTATTTTCATAGTTACTCTGACTGAGAACCCCTCACTTGGCCCTTTTCAATCCATACTGTGGCCGGAAACGCTTGCTAATAATAAGATATAGGCACACGGTGATGCTGGCCCCGGCTGGTTTGGGATCCCTAAGACGGACCCTAACGACCCCGACCTGAAGCGGGATCTGCAGATTCTTCACATGAGAGGAACTGCCATTGATCCCAAGCGGCACTACAAGAAGGAGTCGCTCAAGGCCAGGATACCGCGTTACGCCCATGTTGGACGTATCGTTGAGGGCCCTACCGAATTCCACAGCGCTCGTTTGACGCGAAAGGAACGAAAACAGACGCTGGTAGACGAACTTTTGAGCGCCGAAAAGGCGTCGGGCAAGTTCAGATCCAAGTACGAGGACATCCAAGTGAAGAAGGCGAGCGGCAGAAAGGCACACTACAAGAAGTTGATAGAGCGACGCCGGCGCAACCGTCATTAGGCAGAACGATTAGACAATTCCCTATTCTCTAATGCGCCGCATGGTTGCACTACCGCGTAATTTTAGTCATGTTGGTTTTCCTAGGTGAACCCGTTGCTAGCCATAATATTGCGCCTACTTGCTGGGGAGAAACCCGGACAAGTTCCATCTTGCGGGCCACTCTTCTGCTGCAGTTCCTCGGAATAGAGAAGAAAAGATAGGGAAATAGAGCAAGGGCTTCACGTGGAATAATAAACTTACTGCTTATACACAGTAGAAAGGAGATCAGTGGCTTCAAAAATATAATAAATATGTATGAAACCTGTAATATAATGTACATGTATAGCAAGTGGCGCATTATAGTAAGTAGTATATATCCTTATTAAATAAAAAACTCTCTTTTTTAAACTATTTATTAAAAAATAAGCTCTTAACTAAAAAAGATCTAGTTTCTTTTTATTATTTAATAGTAAAAATAAGGCTTTAGGAACTAAGACTATAGAAATTACTATCTGACTTAACCCTTATATTTAAAGCTTATCTTTTGTCTAGAGGCTATATAAGAGATATAGATACTAGTACTATTTTCTAAAGGTAAAGTTTTATTATTATATAATAAAAGAAACTATAAGTCATATTTTTAATTAAGAATTTTCTTTTTAATAAATAGTTTAAAAGAGAGAGTTTTTACTTAATAAGAACATGTGCTGCTTACTATAATATGCTGCTTGCTATGATGTGCTATTTGCTATGCATGTATGCTATATACGAGTCTTCTTCTTTTGTGAATATATTCTTTTACTTGAATTACTTATGGGGACCTCTAGATTTTACGGACTTGGGTGTGATCCTCAACCTCTGTGCACGAGTGTTACTCCAACGGCAACGCCGCCCTGCCACGGATTCGAGAACGATGCGCGTGCCATCTTTACTACGACCGACGTCCCGCTTCCTTGCGCGGCCAGCGCCACGGGTATGTTGATGTTTTTGTCTTTCCTTTTTTGTCTTCTTTCCGACAAGAAGTTGTGGGCAAGACGACTGGGTTCGCAAGCTAACCGTCCAACTTTATTCCTTGCAGGCCATTACCCAGAGACAGTCATGGATCCGTTGCCTCGCCACAGAGACGAAGCCGGCCACCCTGGATAGGCATGAGGCCGTGTAAGGACCAAACTCGATCTTTTGTAGAAATCTCGCGCGTAGTGTGTATGTTTTGCTAACCATCGCAATTGTAGGGGACATGTCCTTGCCAAAAGCAAGGAAGGCGGTCCGCGATACCCTCGAAGCGTACAAGCCCTCTACCTCCAGCCACTCCGGCGCGAGGCCGATTACGGTATTCCGTCATGCGATCTTCAGCTACGCTCATACAGCTTGAGGAACCTCGAATTCTTTGCCGACTTTGCCCTCCGGGCAGCGTACTACTTGAAGCTCCCAGCCTTCGGTCCCGTGCCGCTGCCCCGAATCACCGAGCGATGGACAGTTCCCCGGAGTAGTTTCATCTTCAAGAAGTCACAGGAGAACTTTGAGCGTGTCACGCTGCGTCGTCTCGTCCAGATCCGCGACGGGAACCCGGAGACGGTACAACTGTGGCTGGCATTTCTGCAAAAACACGCGTACTATGGCATCGGCATGAAGGCCAATGTCTGGGATTTTGACAAATTAGGTATGTGTTATTTTGATTCGCGCATAGCTTGGCCTCTGATTTACCCAGGCGCTGACATTACATCTCCTAGGTGTTGGCAAGACAATGGACACAACGGATGAAGGCACGGCCAAAGCTATCGAGACCAAATGGAGCCATCTTGGTCAGAACCGGGACCTGAATACAGTTGAGAAGGTGGAAGAATTTTTAGCCAAGGTGAGGTTCGACGTCGACAGCGGCAAGTTGGCCGAAGGTGAGCGGCGGTTCGTCGAGGGGCAGTGGAAACGGGAGGTGGCCCTGAAGAGGAAGGCGGCGACAACGGTAGAGTCAGCGTCTTCCGAAGGAATTGGAAGGACTTCAGAGTGACGAATGCTTCCTACGCGATTGTCGACCTATCGGGAGGGAGAAGGAGCTGTAGAATACGACATGAGATCGGTACTCAGTCAACCTTGTATTACGTATCTAGAATGGGCTTCATGCGCCCTATGTAAATCTTAGCAGAGGGAAATGGTTACCCGGGTGGAAGTGCGATCTAGAAGCAATGCATCTGTACCAGTGTTACCCGATTTCCGCTCGAGACCCTTTAGGTGAGACGGGGGGATATTTTTGCGCCCCGCTATAGCAATACGTTTCAGTAAGTCAACTGTGCACTCGCTAATACTTTTGGCCATTGGCAAGGTCGATCCATTTGCGTCGTCGACGACATCGGGTCATGCAGACTCATGGAGCTATGAAGAGCATCTTCCGAGCTTCATATAGTCATCAGGGTTGTCTATCTCTCTAAGACGACATTGTCGCAGCCAGGGTCAGATCCGTCACCGGCCACTAAAGGTGAGCACATTGGCAGAGCCCTTCTGGAGACATCAGCTCACCACATCGTCAGATCTTTGGCCCAGACAATACCGGTCTTCGACTACCACGGCGAGTGTATTTCACCATGTGGCGGCGCACGAGACCGGTAGCACGCCAACTTCGAACCTTGGATTGGCGGCGTGCCGCATCAACTGGAAAGCGAAAGGTCATCTTCTCGGGTATCCAGCCTACAGGAATACCGCATTTGGGCAACTATGCTGGCGCTATCCGGCAATGGGTGCAGCTCCAAAGCGAGCCGGCTGATCATTGCAGGCTTATTTATTCCGTCGTTGACCTGCATGCCATTACCGTGCCTCAACAAGCGAAGCAATTGAGGCAGTGGAAGAGAGAGACACTGGCTGCGTTGTTGGCCACCGGTATCAATCCTGAACGCTCGACCTTGTTTTATCAATCATCTGTATGATACTGCCCCAACCTTGCTATAGGCGTTATTTCTCTTTCATTGCACTCCCAAGGAATCCTGCGCATGCAATCAGAAGTCGCTTGGTTGTTATTTTGTCATTTTTATCTTAGTCGTTGAAAAGCTCCATGCTTACAACTCGACTGCAGGTTCCGTCACACTCAGAACTCATGTGGATCCTGAGCTGCACAGCCTCTATGGGTTACTTGTCTCGTATGACGCAGTGGAAGGTCAGTTGAGTTATCACATGGCGCTTGTTCACCTGTTCCCTCGCTAACCAAAGCCCCAACCTCTGCAGAGCAAGTTGTCGCTCTCTTCTGACGCCACCATTCTCGATGAAAGTGCCAAGGGTTCATTGAAGCTCGGCTTGTTTTCGTATCCGGTTTTACAGGCCGCAGATATCCTCGTTCATCGGTTCGTGACCCTTTATCCGACTATCGACACTTCCCTTTGTTTATATCTGAGTGCTGTGGTAGACATTAGTGACTTGGCCTTCTGACCCTTTTCCCAGTGCTACACACGTTCCCGTGGGTGATGACCAGAGGCAACACCTTGAGTTTGCTCGCGAATGTGTAACCAACTTCAACCATCACTTTGGCCCGCACCTCGTGCTACCAAAAACTATCACATGTTAGTCAATCCTTCCATATTTTGTTGCCAGGAATTGATTGCCTAACCAGACACAGCTACTGCCCGACGAGTTATGTCACTTCAGCAACCCAATCAGAAGATGTCCAAATCAGCCAATGACCCAAGGTCGCGCATCCTCATAATTGACACGCCCGAGGAGATTCACAACAAAATCATGAGTGCGCGGACAGACTCTTCGAACTATGTTTCCTATGATCCGACCAACCGGCCAGGGGTATCGAATTTAGTGGAAATTCTATCTCTCTTCGATAGCCAGGGAAGAACCCCGTGCCAGCTTGTTGAAACCCTCTCCCAGGCATCTCTTAAAGACCTCAAGCGGATCGTCTCTGCAGCTGTCGTCCAAGGGCTTAATGGAATTCGTGCGCGCTACTTTGAACTCTTGTCGGCAGACGAGGGGAAATATCTCGACGCCGTCGAGGCACAAGGGGCAAAAAGGGCCCGCCTTAGCGCAGAGGAAACTATGACCATTGTACGAGAAGCAACTGGACTGTGAAAGCCAATCCCTGCGGGTTTTCGGCGTTTTTCTTCTTCGGTGTGTTCTGGGAGACGAATGTCAACACAACTACTTCCTGGCATAGAATAACGATGATAGATCATGTAAGATTGTGTAGAAAAGTATCCCATGCCAGTAGACGCCCCAAACCGACGCCTGCAAGTCATCGATGATGGTTTATCATGGATCTTCCGTTGCATTGTGCGACGCTCCGAGCTTCAAGGTCCCCCTATAGACTCAAACACCCTTTTCCTAGACTCTTCGCATCGGCCTCAGGAAGCATAAGCAAACTTAGACCCTCGTGCAGCAAGCCAGAAATCTCGTACGACCTGGTTGGTTCCTCTTGAACCCCTGAGGCTACATGCCAGAATCAACATTGGCGTTACATGCTCTACATGTGGCTGGGTCAACTCACTTGATAATCTTCCTGACAAAAAGAGCCTTCTCGTCATCAGAAAGTTGTTGGCCGGGGAATGACGAATCATACAGAGCTTGCTCGAGCCATACACGGGCTTTGGCATGATGGTTAACCATCTTCTTTAGAGGCTCGCTGAGCCTATCTAACTCGCTCCTCGAGGCATTACCACCAATATTTCGGATGATCGACCGAGCGAGTAATGGGCCAAGCTGAGTAATGGCATGATCTATCGTTTCTCGTACCCCTTGATCCGTGGGCTTCAGCGTCATGAATGTTGCCTGCGCACCCCATTAGCAAGTTATCAAGGATAATACTCTAGGTCGAGCAACAGACCCAGAAATCAGCGGCTGCCGCTTTCGGTAGTGGTTCGCGCCCATCTAACACCCGCAAAGCGTACATGAAGAAGAATTCGGCGAGCGGAAGGTAGTCGGGATGAAAGAGGACAGCGGGCTCCCGTGACGTTAAGCGATTTGTGAATTCGATGCCATTCTGTGCGAGTTCTGTATCATTGTCCGGTTCTGTAAAGCCAAGCCAACTGAGTTAGCAGTGCATCTAGGTGCAACAAGAATCATCTTACCTGGCAGTTGCTGAAGTAGACCTATGACCCATCCGAGAAGCTTAGCCCTAGTTTCGTCGACTGCGCCTCGTTTTACGTTTCTCAGAGAGCTGAGAAGAGAGCAAGCTGTGCTCACGAATAAGCCGATTCGAGGTGTTTGAGACGTCTGTTGGATGAGATAGTCACAGACAAGTCGGGGAGGAAAGACAAATGGGCCACCCTCATATTCGGAAAACCCTGTTCGGAAGATATTGCAAATACTCTCAGCCACTTCGCCGCTCTGTGGAAATGAGCTTTGCAGCTGGGCAACCAGGGACAGAATCCCTGATTGTAACTGGTCAAGCCTTGAATCCTGGTTGGTCGGCGAGAAGTCTTTTTCTTTCTCCAGGTCGCATGGTACATCTCCCGGTACCTGGAAGCCTTTGCCGATGCTAATCAGACATCTCAACGCCTTCAAGGCCATGTGAAGAGGGAGCTCGGACGGTTCGGTCAACGTTGAGCAACGGTGAATGTCCAGAGAACCTGCCGTTGCATCAGGCGGGAGCCTGGGCAAAGACAGTAACTGCACAGACTTGCGAGCATCATGCTGAACGAAGGAAAGGAGAGCCTCAAGGTGATCAAATTTTGAGTTTCCGTCCTGGACAGCCTGTATGACAGCGGCAATAGCCCCCATGATTCTTTCACAGGCTAGGCAATCAAGCTGGCTCTGCGTGGCGATGGTCTGATACTGACTCAGAAATGCACTTACCTCGGATGCCAAAATAGTCCGAGATGAGAAACAAAGTCGTTGAATCGATCTTGCCGCAGGCCCAGCCAATACAGGATCGGCTAGGACAGAAAAGAGCAAGTTAAGCGCAGCTGGAAGGCTTTGCGTCTCGCGCTCAAAGTAGTCCGCATATTTTTCAATCAAAGATATGCACGTCTGACGTGTGCGGCCGGGTATCGAGTCACTCGATGTCTGTAATATATTGAACAAGGGCGAAGAGAAGAGAGCGCTGAGTGTCTTGTCGCACCTCGGATCGCCCGTCACACAGTCGGCCAGAGATCCCAAGCAGAAGGCTGCAGCTTCAAGATTTGACCATGAATTGGATGATACCGACTGAAGAGTTAGGTTTCCGAATGTCGAAATCAATGATGGCCCCGTCACAGTGAATGTCGATTGGAGAAGGTCAGCGACGTCCTTTCTTGCGTCTCCAAATCCTGCACGTTCGGCCGAGTCCCAGCTAGCAATAACACTAGGAGGTGGGTAAGCGATCCGTTGCCAGACTGTCGATACAGCCTCCAAGACGTGAGATGTAGCCGTTGGTACCCAGGTCTTGGAATCTTCGTCCTCTGAATAGATACTGTCCGTCAATGTCTCCACATAGGTGGACCAAAACTCTAGAGCAGGGACGAATATCTTGTCGTCGCTGACGGGGTATCCTTGAGCAGAAAGCAGGCCGCGCAGGTGTCCGAGAAAGCGTGAGGACCGGCCATCGACACCATGAATTAGAGCCTCAACCTTGGAATCGCCAAGAGCAATCATAAGCTGCCCGAACTGAACAGAGTCGAAGTCAAAGTCTCCCCCAATAAGGCGTTGATAGCGTTCGCGAGACCACTGCGTCTCGAAGAGAGAAAAGAGAGACTCGTAATGGTCTTCCGTCAGAAACCCGGAGTAATTGGACAAGATATCTGAAAGCAGCTCCACGGCTGGTTCGTACAGTTCGTCCTTGGCCAACGACGCAATGGTTGGTTGTATTAGGACACGGAGAGAACCAATAAGCTCGTCGCTATGAGTTGACATCCTCTGAGAAAACCATATCCACGACTATGTCAAGTGAACAAATGCTCCTGGTGAAAGATTCAATTGGTGCGAGGAGGCCTTACCTGCAAGCAAGTTATGGAGTCTTTCTGAGTGTCATGGCTTGTTGAATCCACAGGCACCTGACGTGAGAAACCATGAGACATCAATGCCAAAACGTCTGGAACGTTGCGCGTAAGGGTCTCGTATAAGCCCATGCTACAAGCTAGTCAGTAGGGACGAGGATTAGAAAGAGTATCGCATGTTTCAAGCACACGTACTGCTTTGCTGAGTTCATTTCTATCTTGGCTGCTTCGTCTACCAGTGACCCTGAGAACCACAGTGCGGCCTGGAGCTTTCGAGAATGAAGTGTTTCTAGAACATAAGACATGTCAATGGATCCTTCGACCCTTTCCTGAGGTAAAGCACTCCCCTCTGACAGAGAACAGCAAAGATGGCGGATACAGAACTCCCACTGTGCAGGGAAGCACAGAAAAAAGGTGACCAAAGCCGAGGATAGCTTTCTGATGACCATGGCCCCAGAGCCGTCGTCCAGCGATTTGACAAACCAGCCGACCAGATTCTGTCGAAGTTCTAAAGCATCGCCACTTGACAGAGATGGACTGTGTTCAACGTCAGCCTATGGAAGGTGGACATATAACAGGAAAAAACCGCACCTCTCGGTATTCAACTTGACGATCAGTGTGAGGGCACCAAAAAACTTAACCTTGTCATCTGCATGGCCCAGGAGATCTCGGGCAATCCACCAGCCGGATGGGGCTCTTTGCATGCGATGGAGTGTATCTTGAATTCGGGCGATAGTCTCAGGGTGTGCCGGTTGATAAAGGGCCAAGACCAACTATACGCTGTCAGCCAGAGTGCCGGTAAGAGCCGTAGATGAGCTGAGTGGCTTACGGCCTCAGCCTCTTGGATGGTCGATGGCAGTGGGTTATCCATCGTGGTAGATATATGTGCTCGTCCTCAGCCTGTCAAGACTGCTGGCATAATAGACCTGTGGAAGATAAAACTACGCGGACGAAGGCCTGCTATCGTGAGGGCTCCTGGGCAGGTTCAAGCGAGCTTCAGCGTAGAAGGTGATCCAAGTCAGGAAAATACGATATGGGGAAGTAAGGCACACAGAGGCCGGAGAACAGAGGCCGGAGAACAGAGACCAAAAGGAGAGAGGCCCGTCTGTTGGGAAACAGAACGAAAACAAGGAGCAGTAATTGCAACTTTGTCGTGCCTGACGGTTTCTTGGAGACTCAACCCGTTGTTTGTTGAAAATGATGAGTGATGACCATATGTGAAAATGCAGTTATGCAACAAAAGGATCGAGAGCATGGGGCTTGAGGCACAGCTGCTTGCTGACGATGCATGGAGGCGAATGGAGATTACAGAGAAGGAAGAGGGGCGATATTCTACCTAGGTACCCAGCTAAAGCATACCTAGGTAACTACGTTTACCTGCAGTACCTGTCAATGCCATGCGAAACAGTGGGTGCGGGGCCTGCAGGCACTGGATCCAATTGGGAAGGAGTAGTCGTTTGTCTTGATTTGCAGCAGATAGATTGAATCGAGCAGGTGCAAAGTGCCAGTTGCAACTGCTACGCTGCTCTTGTAAATTCAGGTGATGTTATGACAGCTTCCCAGCGTTGGCTGAAGAGGTTTCATTTGTGAAATCATGTTGAAGTAGACGTCCAGTTTGCTGTCAAGATGCAAAAAGCACACACTGAATGACTGACTGACTGGTGGTACCTTGGTGACGTTCCTACCGATGTACGGAGTACCGACCTTCGAGTGGGCTGAGGCAAGGCCTTTTGCAGACAGCTCCCTGTAGGTAGGTAGATACCTAGCTAGATAGGTAGTGCACACCTCTGCAGGGTAGCTGTGACAGCACGATGGCAGGAGCTACCCCCCACCAGCAGTCGCCCACATAACTTATTGTTCATATTATGTTCTGTCACTGCCCTGTTGCTGCCTGTCAGGTCACCCCCGCCAAATGCAAGTTAAGCCATCTGTGGTATTTAGTCGGCGTTCCCATTGCAAAGCGATCGCGCTCATATTACCTTTCGCCGCCATTTCCTTCCGCCTCTCTCTCATGCTCTGGAGCAGTCTTCGTCCTACCTTCAGCATCGCCTGCCGGCCCGGTTTCGCATATCCAGCGATAAAAACCCCGTTATCATCAGCTCTGCCATTCGTCGGATTTCAGATTTTGTCACCTATTGGCTTAGGCCGTCGAGCAGTTCACCAAATCCCAGCCGTCAATATGGAGCGAATTGATACAACCGGCCGTCTCTCAAGGCTCAGAGAGTTAATGAAGGAGCGCAACGTTGACGTCTACGGTATGAACGCACCACTACATTCAATCTGAGGCGCGAGGATGCGGCACAGGTACTGACTTTTCGGGCCCCTCTTACACAGTCATCCCATCCGAAGACTCCCACGCCTCCGAATACATTGCTGGCTGTGATGCCCGGCGCGAATTTATTTCTGGCTTCAGTGGCTCCGCTGGATGCGCTGTTGTCACTCTGGGCAAGGCAGCTCTGGCCACTGATGGCAGATACTTCAATCAGGCCTCCAAACAGCTCGACCAGAACTGGTTATTGCTGAAGCAGGGTTTACAAGACGTTCCTACCTGGCAAGAGTGGGCTGCCGAGCAATCCGCCGGTGGCAAGGTAGTTGGTGTGGACCCTGAGCTCATCACGGGCTCAATTGCAAAGAAGCTCACGGAGAAGGTAAAACGATCTGGAGGGTCTGATCTGGTACCTCTGGACGAGAACTTGGTAGACCTTGTGTGGGCCGAAGCCCGCCCGGCTCGTCCCAAGAACCCCATCAAGGTGCTGCCGGAGAAATTCAGCGGCAAGGATGTCAAAACCAAGCTCAAAGAGCTGAGACAAGAATTGGACAGGAAGAACTCACGGGCTTTTGTTGTGTCCATGCTGGACGAGATTGCCTGGCTTTTCAACCTTCGCGGCGATGATATCCCTTACAACCCCGTTTTCTTTTCGTATGCCATCATTACATCCGACTCAGCAACCTTGTACGTGGACGCCTCGAAGTTGGGCGAGGAAACACACGCCTACCTCACAGACAATGATGTCTCTGTGAAGCCTTACGAGACCATATTCGAATCCATCAACACTCTGCGGTCTTCTGACAAATTGAGCCAGGCGACTTCCGGGGCGTCTTCTAAGAGATTCATGATCTCAACCAAGGCTTCATGGGCCTTGAAGCGCTCCCTTGGCGGAGATGGTCAGGTTGATGAGGTTCGCAGCCCCATCGGAGACTCTAAGGCTGTCAAGAACAAGACCGAAATGGCTGGCATGAGGGCTTGCCACATTCGAGACGGATCTGCCTTGATCGAATACTTTGCCTGGCTGGAAGATCAGTTGGTCGCGAAAAAGGTAAAGTTGGACGAAGTCCAGGCGGCCGACAAATTGGAGCAGCTTCGGTCGAAACAAAAGGACTATGTGGGGTTGTCCTTCGATACCATCTCTTCAACTGGTGCAAAGTAAGCAGACTTTCCATGACCTGAATCCCCCATTTCTTTCGTCCCTTGGATGCTTATACGAGAGCAACGGTTACTGACATTTCTCTCAAGTGCTGCTGTGATTCATTACAAGCCTGAACGTGGCGCATGCTCGATTATTGACCCTACCGCCATCTATTTGTGTGACTCCGGAGCTCAGTATCTCGATGGAACTACTGACACAACGAGAACGCTCCACTTTGGACAGCCGACCGAGGCCGAGAAGCTGGCTTACACTCTGGTTCTCAAGGGAAATATTGCATTGGATACTGCCATCTTCCCAAAGGGTACGACAGGCTTCGCAATCGACTGTTTGGCTCGTCAGCATCTATGGGTAAGTGGCGATGCCCAAAGCAAAGTTGATTCACTCAAATGGCTAACATGGCTTACTTTGCAGAAAGAAGGTCTGGACTACCGGCATGGAACAGGTCACGGCGTTGGATCATACCTCAACGTACACGAGGGCCCTGTTGGCATCGGTACCCGCGTCCAATTCGCCGAGGTCGCCCTAGCGCCAGGCAACGTTCTGTCGATTGAGCCGGGCTTCTATGAGGATGGATCATACGGCATTCGAATCGAGAATGTGGCCATGGTGACTGAAGTCAAAACAAAGCATTCCTTTGGCGACAAGCCCTACCTAGGATTCGAGCACGTCACTATGGTCCCATACTGCCGAAACCTAATCGAACCCAGCCTGTTGACGGCTGAAGAGAAGGCATGGCTTAATGCCCACCACGCAGATATTCTCCAGAAGACCAAAGGATACTTTCAGGATGATCCTCTGACTCTGACATGGCTAACCCGGGAGACTCAGCCTTTCTAGGAAATGAAGCTCAGAACCGGACGAAGGCGGCAAGAGTGAAGGTGGCAGCAAAAGATAAACGGAACACAACATTGTGGAATGGTCTTGTCAAAACGGCCTTATTCAGTCGTTCCTTAGCGCCCAAAAGACGCGGTAAATCCAATCCATGTCGGTGTGCGAGCTGCGAGTTAGAGGTCAGCATTTGATGCGACGTGCAATATCAAAGAGGTTGGCTTCGAAGGAGGTAGTAAATACATAAAAGATAAACATGGCCAAGCCAGTGAGCAGGACCAGCGTGTGTGACAAAAAGCCTACCAGAAGGCCAGCGCTGAATCCTGCACCTCTGTTAGCAAAACATCTTACGTCGGCTGAGCAATTGTGTGATGGTCAATATACCAGACAAGGTACCGCTTGAGAGCTGCCTCATAGCATCGGGGCTCAAACCACCAAAGGAGCGACTCTGGGCGCGAGGTGTTGGTGACGCAGACGATGTGAGATGCGAGTTGAAATAGTTGTGATTTTGTCGGCAATGCAGTGAGTAAGCGACACAGATGCCACTTCCGACGGGCCATACCAAACGCCGGCCAGCCAGTCGAGCAGAGAGAAGCCCGCTCATGGTGTCTAGGAGTCGATGCGATGGGATCGTCTTAAGAAAGTCGAGTGAGTGATTTGCCGCCTGAGTTTTGGAGTTGCTGTTCCTATGTACAAGTAGAGGCGCCGAGTGTGCACATAGAAGACGTATTGATTTGAGGTTGATCCACGTCTGGACGGTGCGTTGTGCAGGACGTCCCCGATATATCTCGTCCTGAGGGTGGATAGGTATTAATTAGTACAAACTGGGAGGTAGTGGGTAGGTATGTAGGTGTACCTTGCGTCTCACTGACGTAGGGGGCTCGGTTACAGCAGCAGGTACAGAGGTGTTTAGTAAGGTACCCATTCAATGATGTACACTATCCCCAAGTGAGCCATAAATTCGTGGATAGGTATCCAATATGCCATGCCATGCCATGTCTTGGAGCTCGACTGCCTTCCTGAAAGGAACACTGCTACCTACTACCTGATGCTGCACTACAGGGTAACAACACGCACCCTTCCCTTGGCGACATGACAGCGAGTATACAGCGGGACATCTCATCCACGTATCCAGTTATCTATCACGCTCCATTTTTCATCGTACACAGGTCTTGTGTATATCTAGCCGTGTCATAGGCGCCTCTTCCAATTGAACTTGAATAGAAAAAAGACAAAAAATGGGGGAGGAACAATGGGGACAACAAACCCCAGACTCCCGACAAAACCACTGCCGCAAATGACTTGGGTATTCGTACAATAATAAAAGGAGAGATATTGGCAATCACGCGAATCGTCTTGCCGGGTTGTTGTGCCATATCTAGTGACCTCAGCCTAGCCCACCCCAGACGCCCCGAATGCGCCTTGCGAGCTGAATATCTTTTTGCATTATTGTTACTCTCTTAGCATGAATAGCGCAGAGGTTGGTGTCTTCGAAAAGGTGTACCAAGAAAGCCTCCGCAGCTTCTTGGAGTGCCTGTATCGCTTGCGATTGCCATCGCATTGCTTCGCCTCGGGGCCTCACCGACTCGGCAATTTCGCGTACCTGTAAGCAAGTTGGTATGGTTGGTCAATTGGGCGATAAGAAGAGATATTACGGGCAACGTACAAGGCGAGAGAATGGAAGTTGACGCAGCAGAAGCTGAGTGCCACTTTGGTACTTTCGGATCTCCCTGAGAGCAACTGTACCAGGCTTGTAGCGTCGCTTTCCTCGGTTCGGAATAGGGTCACCGGCTATAAAGTAGTCAGAGGCATGCCTTGGCAATTTGGAGTTGAGGGCACCAGAAGTCTTGCGTTGCACGTCGCTCTGACGGGATTTCCGATGCAAAGCGCCTGACTGTCTCTTGTTGGGGGCCATTATGCGAAAGAGAGAGGGAAAGAGAGCTTTCGGCGTCGTGACCTCTAGTCGCAATGGAATGAGGCTTGCGCTGGCTTGAGGGCGGCGAAGGAGCGGGAATGCTATGCTGCGATAACGGGATGTGGGAGAAGCGGACGAAAATAAAGAAGGTGATGGCGGTAGAGACAGAAAAAGATATTTCGATTGAGCTTCGTCTTTGCAACAATGCCGTATAGTCAGACGCCGACTTAAACGTTGGTTGCCGACAGTGTTGGTGACATGAGTGCAGTGTTAAACTGCATGCGCGAGGGTGAAGGGGGCGTGTCTAAACCGAATTGGCGATTTGCCAGCCCCGCGATTTTCCCTGGTTACGACAGGGGTTATGCGCGACGGGCGCGTTTTCGCGCGTGCTGCACGCGATGTACTAATTTAGGAGACAGTGTTAGAAATGATGTGTGCATCAAAATCACCGTGTGGCTGATGAAGTATGGCGGGTGTGCGCCGACGATGTCTCCTCCCATCCCTACACGGTCATCGGTCGCCAGCTATCTTTGAACAGGTACGTACCGACCAAAAGCACGGTTGGTACCTTATCGATTGTGGTGTTCCAACCGTCATCTGCAGATGCCACTTTCAGGCCGGCAGCAAGTCCATCGTACTAGGGCCATCTCTTACCATACATACCTCGTTCGTCTTTTGGGCATTCGAATCAAGATTTAGCGCCAGCAGAACGTTTACGTACCTTCACCTTCCGACTCCCATCCGTTCGCGTCATAATCCGCCGGTTGGCTGTCTTTCGAGCTACCCTGTCCAGAAGCCAACATCACGGACGTCTTGTTCCCACATCTCGCAATATCCATTTTTGTGTGGCAATACCTCTTCTGCACACCGCGGACCTGCACTGCTTCTCCGTGTCACGATTGCTGGGCGATGAGCGCAACTGCCTCGCCTCCTGCTTTGTACCTTTGAACACCAGTCAGACCAACCCGCCGCACAGCATGGATCAGATGATGGGTGACGGGGGCCGGTTCCCCCTTGAGACGTGGTTTTGGGAAATGCCCATATGTACTCGATGGTGGACGACAGCCACAGTCCTCACCAGCGCACTCGTCCAGTGTCAAATGGTCACCCCATTCCAGCTATTCTACAGCTTTCGTGCTGTCTTTGCCAAGTCACAAGTTCGTCCTTCACTTCGTACTTCCGATCCCCCCGCTTCCCCTCTTCTACCAAACGACAGCCATTTTACATTCACCTCCGTTGGAAGAGAGATTAAGACTAACAATTCTTGATATCTACTGTAGTACTGGCGTCTTCTGACCACCTTTTTGTACTTCGGCCCTTTTTCGCTTGACCTGTTGTTCCACGTATATTTTCTCCAACGCTATGCCCGTCTTCTCGAAGAGTCCTCCGGCCGCTCTCCAGCCCACTTCTCGTGGTTGCTTGTCTACTCGATGACAAGTCTACTGCTTCTCTCGCCGTTGGTATCGATGCCCTTTCTCGGCCACCCTCTGTCATCTACTCTTGTCTACATCTGGTCGCGACGCAACCCCGACACGAGACTGAGCTTTCTAGGCCTGCTAGTCTTCACCGCTCCTTACCTTCCTTGGGTTCTCATGGCTTTCAGCCTTATTCTGCATGGCTCTATTCCTAAAGATGAGATTATGGGTGTTGTCATCGGGCACGTCTGGTATTTCTTCTCCGATGTGTATCCACCCTTGCACAATGGCTCACGCCCATTTGATCCCCCAACTTGGTGGAGACGGCTTTTCGAGCGGCGACCGACGGAGGAAACGACAGACGGGATTAACAACGAGATCGTTGTCGCTGGTGGTCCAGAACTCGCTGCCGACGTCCGATGAGAGAGTCTTACCATTCGGGCCTTCTGAGGGGTATATGTACGCACGAAAACCGGTGGGGAAATCAACATTGGCATGGTTTCGGCGTTTAGGTCACCAATGTCGCGATTCTGCGGCTCTTCATTTGCATCAATATCATCTTCGACAAAGCGCCTAGCCTAGATGTGCCTTGAAATGTGGGTAGAATGGACTGGGTTCCGATAGAATGTTGCTAAGCTCAATCTACTACGCGCGCGCTCAATCAATCGTCTTTGCAGAAACGCGTGCGTGGCTCACTTTTGCCCCTCCCAAATGGTAGTCTCTCAAGGCTACTGCAAGCCCTTGTGATTCCAATAGGGGCTCGATACCTACAGTACCGGCCCAAAAGTCTTGTTACAGCAAAAAGAACACCCAATCAAGCAATTAGGATCCCACCGTGTGACCCATATTCATAAGGGATTTACACAACATTATCATAATAACCGGATTGTTTAGCCTTGGTTTATGTGAGACAAGCATCACGTGACCCTTATAACTGTCGCAAGACTTTTGAGCTGGTATTGTATGTACCTAGATAGATACCTATGTCAGCGGGCCATACCGCACTCTGAATAGGTACTCAGATCTTTGGCGCCGCGATCGGCAGATGTAAAGGGGGATCGGTGCGGAGCCGACGCGGCTAAGCGCACGTGCTGATGAGCAAGCCGCTGAAGAATGGACAGCGTGACAGCCTGGGTATACACTATGACCCCACATGTAAAGCCAATAGCGTCATCTCAAAACTATCCGACAGTAGCCCCTCAATCACGCTTTCGATATTCTCGTCCATTGCGCATCAGAGCAAGAGCAAGCATAGGCACACCGTTTAATCAAACGAGTTCAACCCCGTGAAAAGGTTCAGCTGGTCGGTTGTCCCAGTTTTTCTTTCCTTCGGGGGAGGGCGCTGCAACAACTGACAAATCACGCTCTTCCAGTCATATACCCCCTGGCGCTTGCGAAAGACAGCCACAATTCGATATGAAGGCCTATTGGTATGATAACCTCGATGTAAGTACTAATAGGAGAGGCTGATGGTACATCCGCTCGACCGTCTTTTTCAGTCCCTGACGATGCCTCCTTTGCTGACTTCTCGTGAAACAACAGGGTGACCAGCGCCTGGCTCACGACTCGGGCAAAGAAGTTACCGTCGACGAGTTGAAGAAATTTGGAGTCGTTTACCACCGAATCTCCGATATTCATGGCGTTGATAAACTTGCAGCTGAACGTGGGTACAGGAACAGGGATGAGATCATCGTTTCACCGGAGAAGATGGGCGACGTCTATGAGGAAAAGGTCAAGTCGTTCTTCCACGAGCACCTCCACGAGGACGAGGAGATTCGCTTTGTACGCGATGGGCATGGTTACTTCGACGTGAGGAGCGCCGATGACGCATGGGTTCGCATCCGCGTTGAAAAGGCAGGTGTCGCCCATCGGAATCTGGCGCAGGTGGGCTAACCATAGGCAGGACGATCTGATTATCTTGCCCGCTGGCATTTACCACCGGTTCACTACCGATGAATCCAACGTGAGGCAGCACCTAGAAAGTTTCATTTCCTAAGGTGCTCTGCTGACTGCAAACAGTACATTAAAGCCATGAGGCTCTTCAAAGACGAGCCCAAGTGGACCCCCTTAAACAGAACTACGGATTTGGATGTGAACCCGCACAGGAAGGAATACGTGCAGGAGTACCTCCAAGGCAAATTTTCTGCTTGATTAACGCTACGCCAGAGGGGCCTCCTTGCAGAAGATGGAATGCAGTGGTCAAACGCTTGGAATCTCAATGCTCTACACCTATGTCACTGTCCATTTTCTCATTCGTTCATGATGTACCTCATGTAATTGAGATGACTCTGGGGCGTATATAGTGGTTCAACCCCCCCCCCCCCCCCCCCCCCCAAAAAAAAAAAAAAAAAAGGAATCCGGTGTATAAGAAGGGTATCTAAATTACTCATTAGTTTTGGCACTCACATCATGGCATGCAGTCAGATATACCGAAAGTACCATGGGGGCCGACCACTATGCGAATGTCCAAGCATGTCCTATATAAGAGTCTGCAGCGAAACCCATGAGCCTGTGAACAGTTCTGTATGACTACCAAGCATCCTGCTGGGACTGCTGCCATGTAGTAGCGCTTCTTCTCTGTTGAATTTCATTGCGCGTCGCCATCACCATGGCTGAGTTTTGGGTACTTTTTATGGACATTAATAGAAACAAGCTCAGTCCAACTTGCTTCACCCCTCTTCTAACAGTGTATGCCGATATGCTATTATCCGTATGTTGAGTGCTACATAGGCAATACCCCGTTTTATGTGGGTTGTGGGTATATAACTAGGTAGCTACTGTACTAGCGGCAAACATGGAAAGGTACGTATACAGGCTGCCAGCTCAGGGTTCATAGCACAGGTTATTTCAAACCCATATTGTTATTACTTGAGTCTTCGACATCCACAGAATCAGTTTAAGTTACGAGTTCAATAACCGCAAATATACGCCGTAAAACGACGTCAATTTGCCATTAAGCCATTCGATCTGGCAGCTTCGCGCTTCACGCTGCCCACCTGCAACATGAGCGACTACATACAATCTTTGGCAGCTTAACACAATCAGCTTCTCGTCTATTTCCTCAGAGGTGACGGTCCCTGTTCGTCTTGCCATTGCAGATAGTACCTGGAGCTACCCGGTCACCCAGACCTGCAACGCATATTCGGATTTCTGTGCTTTCATTGGCTACTTCCGCGGGCTGCGCAGAAGCTGTTCCAAAGCTCCACGCACATGAGGGCAGTTACCAGACATTCTAAACCGCTGGCCAGGCATTGTCATCCAGCCCTATGGATGTATCCAGCGAGCACAGCGCAGCTCAGTCTGCAGCGGAAGGGGCCGGCAAAGTAAAGCTGCAGCTCCCGTCTAGTTGCGATCCGCCTCAAGTAGACGGTGAGAGAAAGCAGTTGGTGTGGGTGGTGAGTAATGAGGGCAAAATCCTTTCACCTGCTATGAGGCACACACGTTGACTTCTTGTTGCAGGTTTTCGGTGGAACGGGCCACATGGGCAGGTCTCTTGTGAAGTCCGCCTTATCCAAGGGAGATCTTGTTACGTCCGTAGGGCGGGTCTTTGAGACGAGCCCCGAAGATATGGCGGTGCATCAAGACAAGGACAGTTGCCTCGGACTACTATGTGACGTACGCTCAAGAGACTCAGTCGCGCGCGTGGTTGATCGAACATTGGAGCGGTTCCAGCGCGTCGACGTCGTCGCCAACTGTTCTGGATACGGCGTCATAGGTGCGTGTGAGGACCAGGACGAGCACGAGATTCGGAACCAGTTCGAGACAAATTTCATGGGGACCCTGAATATCATCCAGGCCACTTTACCCTACTTCCGCCAGCAGAACGGCGGTCGCTACCTTATCTTCAGCTCGACGTCTGGAGCACTGGGTGTCCCCGGCCTCGGTCCGTATTGTGCCACTAAATACGCCGTCGAAGGACTGATAGAGGCCATGCTCTACGAAACGGACTCGTTCAACGTCAAGGCAACCCTCGTGGAGCCGGGATTTGTACGCAGGGATGAGCCCGATACCCTAGCGACCCCACTGCCTACCTGGGGCCACTTCCTTATTAAGCCGGCGAGCGAGGCATATGCACAAGCAACATCACCAGCATTACATGCCAAGAGAATGGTTCAGTGGCTCGGTGACCGGCAACCGACGAGTGCTGTTAAGTGTGCTGAGCTTGTCTGGCAACTGGCCCACTGTTCTTACCCTCCGCTGCGGTTGCTCTTGGGAAGCTATGCAATTGAGAGTATTCGCGACAGGTTACGGTCTGTCACGGAAGAACTGGAGGACTGGAAGCATTTGAATTTCCCTGTGCCTGAAATGGGCGGTGAGACCGAAGTGAAGGATGGTAAGCAGGATCAAGACGAGAGCATGGCAGATTCCGGGCAAGATGTGTCTGGTCAAGGGACGCGAGAAGTGTAGATTGAAACATCGTTGGATGGGACGATGTACATGTTCTACAGTAGGTTAGTCGCGCCGTGTGCGGACTCCATGGCACTCGATTGATGGTATTGATTTAATGACCGAGAATATTGCGTAACTGCATACATGCTAGATGTACCAGATATGCAATTGTACGAGATGTCGCGTCGCCGCTTTGATACCCAATCTCTATACAGAGCAATACTGGGTAGCTATACAAGCTGTTACCTTTAACACGTACCGTGTAAGCCCCCTTGCATTGCATCCGTTCCGTGCGTGGCTGGACCGACTGTCCCGTTGGAGCTTACGTGCCAAAATTTCTCCACCTGGCCTATAAACTACCTGGAACAACGCAAATTTGGCATGAAATTCCATGACCCTTGATAGGTGCACGCGTTTTCCCCTGCGTTCCTGTTCAGCGCTCGTGAACATACCTATACGTCTCTCCTGTTTGTTTCTGCACCCCCTTTACCTCAAGTTCTTTCCATTCACCCTCCGACTTCCCCAACACCAACTGATTCTGCCACATCTGTTGTCATCAAGCGTGCAAAGGGGAACGGCCCGTCGAGGATATTGACAGAAGCGACCTTCCTGTCATCTCTCTTTCTTCGACAAGAGACCAACTGAACTCCTCCAATCGAGCCTGGCGCATTTGCATCCTCGTTCCCGAACCCGTCCGATTTGAAGCCAACGTCGCTAAAGTCAGCTTGCTTCCCCGCCGAGGTCCGGCACCATCCAGACAGCGATTGCGTGCCAATAATCAACATCATGTCAGACAAAAAGAATGAGGACTACGAGCTCAACAGCTCGGAGTCATTTGGTGAGAAGGATGGCTTCCTGTCTCGACCTCCCCCAAGGACGAGGCCTGCGCTTGCTTCGCCAATCAGCAAGATCGACAATAGCCCTGGCATAGCCATTCTTGCCTACTGCTTCTCCTCCATCAGCATGACGGTCGTCAATAAGTACGTCGTCTCGGGTCAGTTCTGGAACTTGAACTTCTTGTACCTCGCTGTCCAGGTGCGTTCTCGCCACGTCCATAGCCTGTCAGAAGCCCTCTTCTAACACCTGAGTGTTCGCAGTCTATCGTTTGTATTCTTACCATCGTCGTCTGCAAAAACCTAGGAATGATTACAAACCTAGCGCCATTCGATACTGATAAGGCAAAGAAATGTTGGTCACAAACATAACGCAACTTCCATCATTGCCCGACGCTTACGTCTTCTCGCAGGGTTTCCCATCGCGCTGCTCCTGGTTGGCATGATTTATACCGGTACCAAGGCGTTGCAGTTTCTCTCTGTGCCCGTTTACACCATCTTCAAGAACCTTACCATCATCGTTATAGCCTACGGCGAAGTTTTGTGGTTTGGCGGTAGCGTTAGCCCCCTTTCTCTGCTCTCTTTCGGCTTAATGGTCCTCAGCTCGGTCGTAGCTGCATGGGCCGACGTAGCGCATGCGCTGGGGGGTGGCTCTCATACCGCCGAAGCTTCGGCCGCGGTTTCGACTTTAAACGCTGGATATGCTTGGATGGGCATGAACGTATGCTGCACAGCGGCGTATGTACTGGGCATGCGCAAGGTCATCAAGAAGATGAACTTCAAAGACTGGGACAGTGAGTATCCATCGGCTTTCCGCCGCTGCGTCGTGGTTTGAAAACGGATTTCTGACAGAAGAGTGATGCAGCCATGTTCTATAACAATCTTCTGACCATTCCCGTTCTCATCGTCTGCACCCTTCTGACGGAGGATTGGTCCTCAGCCAACGTACAAAAGAATTTCCCGGTCGAGACTCGTAACAGCCTCTTCGTCGGCATGATCTACTCGGGCTTGTGCGCCATTTTCATCTCGTACTGTTCGGCATGGTGCATCCGCGTCACATCGTCGACAACATACTCGGTTGTTGGTGCGCTCAACAAGCTTCCTATCGCCATCAGTGGTCTCGTTTTCTTTGACGCCCCGGTCACGTTTGGCAGTGTGTCAGCCATTATCATTGGATTCGTCAGTGGTATCGTATACGCGTGGGCGAGGATTCGACAGACGGAGGCTTCCAAGATGTCTTTGCCGACAACGCAGCCCATGAGCGCGAGCGCGCAAAGCAACAGGGATGCCAATAAATGAGAAACTTAGTGTCAGGCCTCTTGGAAGGGACTCAAGACAAGAGGCTGATTGTGGCTTGTACAGCTGTGTGCGAGACCGATGCGGCATAGCAGCATGACGATAATGGCCGTTTCCTATCCGACCTTGGACCACAGCGCAGGGGCTGATTATATACGGCTAATCAACCTGCATGGCTGGTATTGCATGGCCAGCTTGGGGCAAGACATAGACCAGTGCGTTGTACAGTAATGCAAACCCTGGGCATGCACAGGGAGGGGCATAAGAGGACAACTTGGCGTTGAGATAGTGCACGGGGTTTCATTTGCAATATAGCGTGACAGTGAGGGTGATCAATGTAGCTTCCTCCAATGCCGCGACTTTGATCTACGTATACCGCAGCAGCTATGACGTAAATTTGCCAGGAGAGGGGTGGGGAACGATTGTTGAATTGAGATATGACTCTTTACAGGGAGCTGCCCAAAACGATTCGATTCAACAAGAGGAAGCGGTGGGTTTGGTTGAGATGAGCTGCCTTTGCACTCAGTCAGTTTCTTACACTAAAAGTACGCGCGATAAGACAAGAAAGGCCGCAGTCGCAGCTAGCCAAGCATAATCTCCTGTATTTCGATATTTCGTAATTCTGCGGTATGTGGTACACCACAAATATTTGTTTGACTGGAATAAATGCTTTATGTTGACATTTTCGGCGACGTAGTTTTTTGTGTGGGATAGGATTCAAGGCCCAACGAAGGCAAGCTGTTCTGGTTTTTTTTTTTTTTTTGTTTTTTTTTTCCTAATTTGATGTGTTGAACCTTCAATAAGAGGTACTTTCAACATACGGCAGCCTTGAGAAAGCAAGCAAGATGAAAAGGTGGCACGGCAGCCGAGGCTGGCATGCCACGCATCGCTGGGCAGGGCGGATCAAATTTTGGTGGGGGCCCACCACTTGGAGCTCCCACGCGGTTGAAATTCCGCCCTGTCCCATCACCAACCATCCCGTCCCACGTGCATTGTCACACACCCAACTTTCCTCTACCTGAGACTCTTTGTTAGCACTCCCATTGTGGTCATCTAAAGTCAAGTCGAGCCACATGGCAAGCTGATCAGTCACCTCGAGCAAGACAAGAACAAGCCCATCCCACTGCTCACGGCGCAGCTCAACGTTCCGAGCCTCCATTTCTCAGCTGTTTGCCTCTTTCTTCTTGTCTATCGCCGTCTTGCAAGAGCGATGGCTTGAGCGAAACCAGAACCTTTCTTCTGTTATAGACGAGTCTCGCGCTTTATACTCTTCCAAGCAACTTTGCAGTAGTGGCGGTGGAAGTGGCAATTGACCAACATGTTGCCCTTCATTAGCAAGCGTATGTAATGCTGCTCCTCGGGCAGAACTCTTGCTCGGGATTCTGTTGTCTGCTCCACTGCTCGCTGTACGCCATGCTAACTCTCTCAACGTCGTAGCTTTCGAGCTTCTCGCCTTACGTCTCGGCGCATCTTCCGACGAACGTCAGTATTTCCTATCGCGAGTCTAGTCACCGAACAGAAGCCAAATTGAGCTCCACGGGCGACACCATTGATAGCGCACCATTGCTGACGCTGTTATTCCTACAGTCAAGCTTGTCTTCTCGTTCCTCATATCGTACCCTCTGGCTGGTCTACTCAAGCGAGTTCCTGATGCCAGGCCCGACCAGAAGAACCTTTTTATTATATGGTATGCCCGTCGCTTCTGGCTACCTGCTTCTCTTCTAGCTTCTCATCGGCTAACATGTTACACCTTTCCATTAGTACATCCACATTCTATCTAGTTGGTCTCTTTGACCTGTGGGACGGTGTGCGTACCCTTGCCATCGCCTCTATCGGCGTCTACAGTATCGCCAAGTACCTTCGTACCAGTTACTTCATGCCATGGATTGGCTTCGGTTTTCTCATGGGCCACATGTCCATCAACCACATCGCACGTCAAACTGCTAATAACCCGTCCTCTGTCGATATCACGGGGGCCCAAATGGTCCTTCTTATGAAGCTTAGCGCGTTCTGTTGGAATGTGGCAGATGGCCAGCTCCCAGAGGACCAGCTATCTGACTACCAGAGGGAGAGGAGGCTGGTTGACCTTCCAGATATATTGGACTATGCCGGTTACGTTCTCTTCTTCCCCTCTCTTTTTGCCGGTCCTGCCTTCGATTACATCGACTATCGCAAGTGGATAGACACGACAATGTTCGACCTACCTGCTCAGGTTGATCCCTCCAAGGCACCTCCCGTGAGGAAGAAGAGAAAGATACCTCGCAGTGGCACGCCCGCCACCCTGAAGGCTGCTAGTGGCTTGGGCTGGATCGGCCTTTTTATGCTTCTTTCCAACTACTATCCAACCGCCTATTTGACGAGTCCTTCATACATGGATCATGGCTTCCTTCACCGGGTATGGATTCTTCACATGTCTGGTTTCACGGCCCGGTTGAAGTACTACGGTGTCTGGTGCTTGACAGAGGGAGCCTGCATTCTTGCTGGTTTAGGCTACAATGGCGTGGATCCTGTCACCGGCAATGTATCATGGAACAGGTTACAAAACATCAATCCCTGGGGCGTCGAGACGGCTCAGAATACCCGCGCCTATCTCGGCAACTGGAACATGAACACCAATAATTGGCTGAGGAACTACATTTATCTAAGGGTCACGCCGAGGGGAAAGAAGCCCGGTTTCCGTGCAAGCCTTGCTACATTCGGCACCAGTGCTCTGTGGCATGGTTTCTATCCTGGCTACTACCTGAGCTTCATCCTCGCTAGCTTCATCCAGACAGTAGCCAAAAGTAGGACAGCCTCCGCGGTGCCGTTGGATTGCATAATGGACTAACAAATACAACAGATTACCGTCGCTACTTCCGTGCCTTCTTCATCGATCCCAGCAGTGGCGCGCCCACCTCCGGCAAGATCTACTACGATATTCTTTCTTGGTTCGTTACTCAGTTGGGTATGTCGTTTGTCGTTGCTCCCTTCAATATTCTCGAGTTTTCCGGGTCGGTCCAGGTGTGGGCTCGCGTCTATTTCTACGCCATCGTGGGCACCGTATTGTCCATGGCCTTTTTTGCCTCGCCCGCCAAGCAGATGTTGAGGAAGCAGCTGGAGCAACGGCAAGGCAAGGCTGGTGCCAAACTCACGCGCACACTCAGTCAAGACAGTCTCTCTGGCCGGGAACCCGTCTTGGGCGTAGCGGCGGATCCTCAGCGCGAGATTGACGAAGCCATGGAAGAAATCAAGGCTGGAGTGGAGGCCCGGCAGAAGAAGAAGGCGGCTTAGAATGAGCACCAGCGGTTTGTCAGTGGCATCGTCCGAATCCGAGCCAGGGAACCCATCATGCCTCTTGTACAAGCAGCTGTTGCTCCCATTCCAGACAACAGTCTATAGCCAAGTACATGCGATTACTGCTGCAGCTCATCGTTATGGAAGACATGGTATAGGTAGTGGTAGAAGTGTCCCTAGAGGGGCGCGTCATTAGAGATTGATGGCTATATGGGTTTAAAACTAAAGCATTAAGATATGTCTATTTCCCACAGATGATATGCATCGTCGAGATCTGTCATTTCGAATTCCACTAAACACCGAGTCAGGTAGCTTGTCACCTGTGTAGGACCGGGAGGGTATCGTCAAGCAAGTCCCGGTAGCCTATCGGAAATGCAGAAAACCAAACAGACTCTGCCACTTGATTGCCAAGTGTGAGCTTACTTGGCCTGATGTACAAATACAATAGTCGTGTACGGCACCCAGTACACATAGCAAGCGCCTTCCGTGCTCGCATCAGAGGGGGTTTACAAGGGGAAAACAAAGGATGGCAACACATGGTCCATTGAGCCATGGTACTGGTATAAGGAGAATCGTGCTGTCGGCGATGAATGAGAAAAGGTCGTATGTGCGTGCATGTGTCTATGTAGATGAAGGAAATTGTAGTCGTAGATTCGTTAGGGCCGTTGTCGGGCATTCATAGCCCATTCGTAATTTCGAGATGCTGAAATGCCAAGGAAGATGTCGTTCCCCAGAGTTTTCAAAGATGCCAGAGAGGCCGTCAAGCTGCTACGCCATTTGGCCCCAACCCTGCTTGACACCCACAACAACGAGGGCAGCGATAGCGCCAATGACCAGCAACCCAATGACCGACATGTACCTATTAAGTGCGCGCCACCACCGGGCACTTTGGAAGAGCGTCTCGTCGATTGCCAGGACTCTTCGGGGAAGATTACGTTCGTCGTCCAGTAGGCTCGATCGGTGGTCGTGCTCTGCCATCTCGGCATGAGGGTCGGGGGGAAGCGGGAGGAAGGCAGCGATCATCCATGCTGTCTCGTATTAGCTCGCGCTTACATAGATCCGAGAAACGAGGCCCACTTACCGAAAGGCAGGATGAACCCGATGGCAAACAATGTGACTTGCATGTTTCGCTTGCCAAGAATGCTGCTCTCTGCAGACCATGCCATCGAGGGAGGTTCCCAAATACTGTAACGGCCAGCCCGTTGATCACGCCGCAAGTGAGGCGACCATATGCTCGAAGTCTTCTTCCGCAATCCGGTGCGCACTAGGTGGTTCTGCAGCGGCGCCTGGCCGATTTCCAAGGACCCTACGTCGGATAGTGGGCGGGGATTGGCGGGGTCGACTTCCCTTGGCCGTCGCCGTTGGCTGTAGATGTTCATGGGGAGATGTTCGACGCTGGGCGAATGGCTCTGGAACGAGCTTGGCGGTCGGCTATCGTTAGGGTCCGACATCATTGAATCGCCAGAGTTAGCGAGAAATCTGCGTTCGCCACTTCCATAATAAAACCTACAATGGGCAGTCGGGTCAGTAAAGGGTACAAACACTAGCTAATCGATAGTTTTCATTTGCTGAGAAACAGGAGTTACTTACTTGGCCCAGGCTGGGATGGACGTCGAGTTCAGGCTGTTAGCGCGAGAACTCCCCGAAGAGTGAAGATTCCGATCAGAAGATGAACTTGAAAAGAAACTAGAAAGACGGGTTCGCGATGGGCGTTGATGAAGTTGGTGCAATTCTGTTAAACCATCGCCGTGCTCGTCTTGGTCGCTCACCATGCGAAGGGTATTTCCACGACTGTGTGTTGCTCGAGGGCGTTCAAGAGAGTCGGTGAAAGATCGTGAGTGTGACAGTGAGAGCTCTTCGTTGGCAGCTAGGGATGATGAAATACTGAGCATCTGCCGGCTATGACTGCTTAGGGGTATGCTGCCCCTTCTCCCAGACGCAGACCAAGGAGAAACAGAACGGGAAGGAGGCTCGCTGCCTCCTTCACTCTCCGAGACAACGGTGGACAGTTGTGAGCTCCATTGATGCGGGTGGGCGTTCATGTGGGATGCAACAGGGACAACGCCAACGGCAGGAACAGTAGCCCTAGACACGGTTATTGTCTCTGGCTGCCGTTCAGGCTGGCCAGTCAAGCCGCGTGATCGATAGAATGCTGCAGGAGACGCAAGGAAACTTTGAGCAGCTTCGAGGGTAAGGTTACCGGAAATTGATTTGGCCGAAGCTGCGCGTCGCAAGGAATCTCTTGACTTCGACTTGTAGTAACCGAATCTTTCGTTATGTCTCTTCTTTTTCTTTTTGTTAGGTTTTAGTGGTGCCACCAAAAGACTTTCTTGCGAATATTCTGGCCGAATTCGGGAACGACGGCTAGAAGCTAGAGATGATGGCGCCGGAGATGATGCGCCATGCAAGACGTAATTCTGTTCGCTGTCTGCAGTCTTTGGAGGACTTCCCTCGGCCGATGATGGCTCCGGGGGGGAGGATCGGCCCAGAACTACGTAGTTGGAATGACTTGATAATGGCGGCTGAGAGGACTCGTCTCTCTCAGGCGAAGGGGGCGAGCTGGAACCGTACACCTGGTAATTTGTTGTCTCGGAAGTCGTCGACGGTGCATGAATCACGCTCTCGGTGTCGGTCGCTGGGGGTGAATTAGAGGAGTAGAGTTTGTAATTTGTCTTTTCTGAAGACGTTGATGCGGCGGCTGATGACTGGAAGGAGGTCTTGGTCTGCAAATCGTGGGTGTCGGAGGATAAAGAGGGATTGATAGTAGGCGCCTCGGGCAGCGGCGCGAGTCGAGGGCCAAACAGGGACGACGGAGAGGACGCGACCGGTTCGGGTTCAGGGTAGAGGAGGGTTGGCTTTTGCTCCTGCTTGAGATCGGGGGTATTAGGAACCTTGCGAAGACCGCCGACCATTCGATAATTCCAAGGAGACGATGAGGAGCCTGCTGCGGTGGTGATATGATCACCGGCTAATTGCGTGGATGAGGATGCCGGGGTGAGAGTGGATGAGAAGCTTCGGTCCGGAAGGGAAGTCACTGTCGAGCTGGGACGATTTTCACTGAAGGCGTCGGAAACACGCCCATGCGAAGTAGTGGTAGTCAACGACAAGGTGGGGGCTGTGGAAGAAGAGCCATGGTTTTCTTGGGTTCCGGCCCGTTGCCCCTGTGGCAGGAGGGAGAATGTCTTACCATCAGCGTTCAGGGCGATGAGATTGTGGCGACGGGACAAGGGGCGCTTCGCTGAGGGTGTGACAGACTCTTCGTCGTCACTGCGCTGGGAGGACCGGGGTCGCGCATTAATGGTAGTAATATCAGTCTGATGAGGTGGAGTGGTAGGGACAGGGGTAGTGGGGGACGACTGTTCGCCGGGCAAGGAGTCGGATCGCAGTTTCGAGCCTGAAACACCACACTCCTTGGCTGCAACCAATGGGAAGGTAGACGAAGCTGACGACAAGAACGACGTTCGGTTGCTGGAGGAATAAGAGCGTCGATGGGAATAGCGATCGCTCGCACGACTGGCGGAGCGGTCGTCAGCCCATGACGAGCTAGTGCGGTCGTGTCCTGATGGGTTGGGAGACAGTAGGGCTGTCGTGGACGTCGGTGTGCGTGATGACGAAGCTGATGCGGTGGAATCGCGGCTTTTGTCGCTCGGGCGAGGGGGGCTGTAGGGAACGATGCGGATGGCAAGGGAGTTGGACTGTGATCCTGAACGCTCATGAAGCGGCCTTCGTTGAGACCGGGAGGGGCCTCCCCGGGAAGGGCTCCCGGACCCGGACCCGGACATGCTCAGCCGGACACGGGGAGGGTTTGATCGGAGTGGAGCGGCTGTTGAACTTTGGAGAAGGGGGATGAGCGAGTGGAGGCGGGCTGTCTGGTTCGGCGTAGGTGGTCCGGGCCATGGAGTGCTAGAGGTGCCAGGGGTAGACGGGTGCACGCAAGGCCGGGACAATAGACGGGGGGCCGAGCGCGAGGAAGAGCTGCCCGGCGTTGCCGGCTTGCCGGGACCTGCACGGCTACAGTGATAGAGGGTTAAGACGGCACTTGGCCGGCCTGTGCTTTAGCTGTCTTGATTCAAGCACAATGAAGAGCAAGAACTTTCTCGTTGAAGCTTTCTAAGAGCAGAGGTGGCGTGCAAATCGAGGTAGGACGAAAGGAAACGAAGGAGCCGGAGTGAGAGGACTGCAGCTCGCGGCGAGGTGCAAGATAGTTGGCCGGGTTTGAGGTTGGGCTGGAAATGTCGACAAGCCGTCGAAAGCGTGGTGCCCCAAGATACTCAGTGTCGTCGCCCAAGAGGATTCAATTGATTGAAACGCCGGTGATGAATAAGCATGGGAATGGCTTTTATTCTTCATCAGGACGTGGGCAACTGAGCAACTGTGGCGTGTCTGTCTTGTCGGAAGGGGGTTTCTCTCTTGGTGAATTTCTTTCTTACTTTTCCTTACTCTCTTCCTGGTTTCTTTCTGGTTGGAGATCCGAGACTATATGTGGAGCGATAGCAGCCAAACTGTGAGAGCCAGCAGAGAGAGTGACTGAGGAGAGCTGAGCCGTGTGAGAGACTAAAACGATTAGATATTGGCAACAATCATGAGGGAATGAAACGAGTTGGGTAAATGAATGCGAGGCTACGGTGGTGCCAAAAGAGGGTGGAAAGATTATTACAGGCGGAAGCACCTCGATATTGGAAAAGTGGACGATAGATAGAAATAAAGGAAAAAGAAATGTCGTCGAGGACACGCCGCCAGACTCGAGAGGCGGGAGGCACAAGCCGAAGGTGGAGGAGAGAAGCAAAAGAAAAAGGGAGGGGGAAGGGGAAAGGAGACGAGAGAAAAGGGCCAAAGCAGCACTTTTCCAGGTTTGCTCGCTCCGCATCTTCCCACCCATTTATCTCACATCAAGCAAGGTACCTCGAGAGGTGGAGAGGGCGATGTGAGCCAGGCCCGCATTAGAACGCACCGACGGGGGTGGGCGAGAGGAGTGGAAGCGGACCAGGGCAGGAAGCGAAAAACGAGGCCAGGGATGGATGTGTAGTGTGGTAAAGAAGGTACGGGCAGTACTCTGCACAGAGCACAGGCACAGACAAATACGGAGACGGTGTAAGTCACATACCTTTCTTCGCCGTCCCGAGGCGACCTTACATGCGTAGACTAATGTTCTGCGAAAACGAGTATAGCCCGGCGTCTATGCCTTAAACTCCCAGTTTCGTCTTGCTTGCCCAATGGCCAGCCAGTCTCGGCGGCTCCTCCACGACCTGTCGCAAGACAACCGCCGCCCTGTCCTGAGAAAACGAACCGTCCGGGCTCATGCAGGCCCCGAATCCTGGCAGCGCGATGAGACCAGTTGCTTGCCGACGTAGGTAGGTATGGATCTATACTATACCTGGTGTGGACCGCTACGCTTTTTGGCTACACACTGGGCTACGCCAGGAAGCCAATGTCTTCTTCGGGACTCGTGCTGGTTGGACAATGTAGCCTTGACTCCCTGTCCCCTTGCTTCATTCTTCTCCTATCCGGTAGCTGCGCCAGCGGTTGGTATGGCGGTGGTCGAATGAGTAGGCAGGGGCACTTGACACCGTTGGGTTGCGTTGCAGGCGACAAGGGCTCGCGAACTGGTCCTGGACACAAGTTCCAGGCACGCACCAAACGATGAACAGCCAGAACTGGACACAATGCCGGGGGCGGTGCGGTGCGGCGGGGATTGCGGCTTTCCTTACTGCGCCAGCAGCTGAACCTGATCTGATTCTGCAGCAGCCGGATTGTATGGAAATGGGGCGTAGACCTAGGAACCGATTGGGCGATATGACAGGGTGATCGAGCTGCTGCCAGAAATGGACAGCAAGGAGGGAGACAAGGGCAGGAACAGTGGCTACCCGTTTCAGTGAGTGAGTAGCCTTTGGGGAGGAGAAGGTCGACGCAGAATGGCAATGACGACGGGGTCGAGGCCTTTTTGACACCTGGGTATTGATTGGACTGGAATAGCTGCATTGCTTGCACTTTGGCTGCCGACGTGGTTCACAAAGCGAGTGAGAAACAACAAAACAATCGGCAGTTCGCGTCCAAGTGTTCCCACCGCCGTTGGGGGGTCTGATCTTAAGGGCCAGGCGGCGACCAAGGAGACCCACGGCCGCGGACGAAGACGAGGCCTGGACAACCTGGTTATCAACGCTCGACGGCGCTACCAAGGAAGACGACTAGAAGGGTCACGGGCTGGCTGGGCTGAGGTGCGGCGCGGAAACAAGGCCACCATTACCTATAGGACCGCACATACATATACATATCCGTACTAGTTAGCGGACAGGGCAAGGCAAGGTAAGGCAGGGGTTATCGAGTGCGGTGAGCAGAGTAATAAGACGATGCCTAAGGTAACAAGGTATAATCTTAGCGGCAGATGAATCCGATCAAGGAGCATTTTGCTCGCGAACCCAGGAAAAGGGAACGGACCCCGGATCAGATCGAGCTTGGCTTCCCAAGGGAGAGGGTAAAGGGAGAGAAAATAGTACGTGCAAATGTGAGTGTTTTGGACAATTGCAATCACGGGCATGAGCCAGAAACGGGTCGTAGGAACGTCTCGAAATGTCTCGGTCTGCACGTTTAACGCGCCCCCGTCGCCGTCGATACTAATGTAGCGCGCACGGCAAATGAGGAGGAAGAGCCTGCAACAACTCCTGCTACTACTACGTAGTAGTCGCGATTTCATTACTGTACTTCCCGTTGGTTGCGCCGTGTCCATGAGTCGCCTATAGGGTCGGGGGCAGCAGTGTGCGCTAAATACCTCCTACGTGTGGCTGTGCGTTTACATTTCCGTCTCCACCTCATACCCGTCAGTCTTGCCTCTCCGTGTTTTTGCAAAGCCCTTGTCCTTGCTTACACGCCCGGTATCTTGGGTCCCTGATGACGATGACGGGTCGAACACAGCAACAGAAAGAAAGTTTTGTTCATTAATTACAACCGACAGGCGGCTGGCCACAGACCGGTAGTGGGACGGAAGGCCTGCGATGCTGTCATCCCATGTCCACGCACGTTGTGGCACATCAGGGTAGGTAAGTACCTTAGTTGATCTCGGTCGGCGAAGCAGGGTCAATAGATGCAGAACCAAGATGACTATGTGGCCCGGGCGAGTTTGGCTCAACCACCTGATTCTTGCATCATCCACAATCGATCTTGTAGTTGTTTACTCGGTAGAGATGCAACTCGGTGGTGACCTGACCGCTGTTGCTGTAGCTGGTGTGACGGCGGGTACAATATGGACGTGAGCCCAGGTAAGACACGCACAGTGACAAGATGCACAAGTAGTGGGTTTCCCATAGGCGGTTGCTCCTCCAAGGCCCTTGCGTAGGGTTCTTCTAAGAGGTGGTACGCAAGGCGCAACCTAAACTACCTACCTAGCCTGGGTAGGTACCTACATCGCACCACCTGCCTTAGGTAGATTGATGGAAGATGGCCCGTAAACCCAGCCGACCAAGTTCCCTCCTCCTGTCGTCCACGTACGTCTGGGCCCAGCAGCAGCAAAACTGCACTTGTCACCACCATTTTTAAGGCTTAAACTGTGGCCTTCGAACCATGAGCAGTTCATTGAGAACGGCCATCTCCCTGTTGGGCATGGTGTCTGAGTGGGTAGGTACTAGGCAGGTCCCCCGCTGTACCCGTAAAACGTTTCTCAAGTATACCCAAGGTCCACCAGATTCATTTAGTGAGATGCGGAGTCTTGATTAACTGCAACAGCATTTTGTATTTGCACTGCGAAGCTGCCCGGTACTTCCTAAACGCGCCACAAAAAGCCCCCAACGGCTGGCTCGGACTCGACTCGACGGTGTCGCATCAGTTCTCGGTGCTCGGTCGCCCGTTGCCGTGATGATACACCCCAGATTCCAAACGTCGGCCAGCTTCACGTTAGGCCCCTCAGGGGCGGCGGCTCTAAGCCTTCGATAGGCCTCATGTCTGACCGCCATTGTTTATCGTCTCATTGCCAGGCGCGGGCTGGCCGGCAACCCCGAGTTCGTGGTGTAGTGTTACCGTATTCCAGGAACATTGACCGGAGAGGAGGCGGGGACTTACATAACCAGACCAACGGATAGAGGGATAATAGATGATGCCCCTTGGCGTTTCTAAGCAAGAGGGATTAATTTCAATGGTAGACAGGAGAGAAGCAAGTTCCAGGGGGTGACTGACGGCGGACTGAGCATGGAGAAGGCCTTGGTTAACGTCTGCTTGAATTGGTCATTCTGATTGGCAGACAAATTGAAAAGCCCAGGTCACGGACCAATGCCGATAGGTTACCTATTCTACCAAGTCCAGCCGCCCAAGGATCATGCAGTTCGCGCCTTCGCTGTCCTTGCATGCGCAGGTAGTACTACCGCGTTGCAGCAATATCTACATACGGATACACTAGACGGAAAAGTGGGACATTACAGTCTGCAGGTTCTGACAACTCAGCAGCCAATTTCCCCTGAGGCGAAGGTGTAAAACACAGGGGGTGTCTTCCCCTCGACGCGCTTCCCATTTTCGGGGCTGTCGCCTTCAAACCGAAAGAGAGTCATGATTAAAATAAAACAAAAGAGAGGGAGGGAAAAGACTTGTAGGAGCAGCTGTACACGGTACGTGCTTTGGACCCCGGCAGGCGGGAGCGCCGGTCCTGTCAACCCGGTACCTTCGTCGGGCAGTGAGGCGCAAACAGTCAGATTCTCAAAATTCCAGACTTCAGATGATACGAGTGTGGGTAAGTAGCCTTAAGAGCCCCAATATGGGCAACTTGAGACATGCCCGGCTCGGCTCTTACACCAACAAATTGATGTCCACGGGGTGTTCCGCTTCCTACACTACACGTGAGACCAGAGAGTGTATCCTGGGGATGGCGGTCATTAATTATGCTGCCCCTGTTCGTCTTAAGCCAAGCTCGGCAGCTCGAGTAGGGCTGGCGTCTGAGGCCATGTCTGCAGCACGGTTTGAGGATAGGCTCGGCTCATGGCAAGCCACTGGTTGAGGGAAACCAAGTCTGCTCCTGGAGCGTCTATGCACGCGATGGGCCGCAGATGGTTTCGCTTCACTGAACGGTCCATCAAGTTGGGCTGCATACGTCTTGAGGACAAGTGTTTGTACAGGCTAAACATATTTGTGCGCTTGCTGGGCCGAACCAAGACACTCATTGATCTGATGTTGGCGCTTCGCGCGCGGTAACTTCGCGCTGGCTGGGAAAGAGAACAGGAGGTGCAGCTGCTGATTTGCATCATCGGTAGTACAGTGAGTGAGTGAGGATTGACGCTGCGGTTGCTAAGCTACTGTATGTCCCTACAGGTTTCACACATCCGAACCTGGTACAGATGCGGATACCCGATACCCGCAAGGGACAACGTGTGATTATGTAAGTCGGCAACCTTCGAGGAGACCCGCAAGGAAGGTCAATGAATGAATGTGTCTTGGTACCTACCTACCTACCTTGGTACCTGGTATGTGTGTGCTAAACTGCCTAGGTACCCACCCGCCGTGCTTCACAGAGTGTGGCCAGCTGACCGGTATTTTCCACATCCAAGAGGTTTCGTTCTTGATGTTCGAGGCAATTCTGGCCTTCTCGGAATAGCCGCATCATATACACCCAGGCTGTTGTCTTGCACTCAAGCCACCATAGTCTGCGCCTGTCAAGGGATCATTAACTTTGCCTTCAACCGTTCACGGCGCGAACCACGTTGCACGTCGCCCGGATACTACCGAGTTGACCCGGCCGCCTCCATGTCTACTGCTAGCAAGTTCGGCTTTGGGCCCGGCGCCGGCTCTTCCGACATACAACCAGCGTCACTGCAGCCCCTAACGGCAGGCGCAATGCTGGTATGTACAGAGTCCTCTCTCCGAATCTGCCCCAAACCTTCCTCGCCGGCCCGCTACACAGCCACTAATCCATGCTTTCAAGGTCGTCTATACTGCCATCTACGTGCTACCACTCTACATCTCACCCGCCAGCAGACCCTCACCGACGCTTTCTCGAGATGATCCTGCTGTCATCCGTACCCGCATAACTTCTGTCCTGTTCTCCACCGGGGTGTGCTCTGCCTTGACCTATGTTATCCTGGCTCGCCTACCTGACGGTGCTCTGCCCTTTGGTCCCCTCCATGCCATGGGATACTGGCCGCTGGGTATAGTTGAGTCTGCCGCATGCCTGGCTCTCACCGCAACCCTGTTCGCTGCTCCCTTGTACGAGACTCTCCTCATTGACGGCGTGTGGGAAGACTGGCGGGCTTTTGATCCCCTGGTTCGCGTCTGGACCCAGTGGACGACGTGGCGTAATATCGTCATGGTATGTTGTAATTCTTTCGTGCCACTCAGTTCATCTTACCAGAAAACTAATCCGAATCTCCAAGGGGCCTTTGACCGAAGAGATGTTGTTCCGATCGGCTTCGGTGCCGTTACTCCTCTGCGCCCGCATGTCCCTGACCCAGACCATCTTCATGTCCCCCGTCATCTTTGGTCTCGCACATGTTCACCATTTCTACGAATTCCGCATCAACCACCCCAAGGTGCCTTTAATAGCCGCCGTTGCCCGTTCTGTCATCCAATTTGGTTACACGTCTCTTTTTGGCGCGTATGCTACCTTTTTGTTCCTGCGGTCGGGGAGCTTGCTAGCCATCGTGTTGGTGCATGCTTTCTGCAACGCAATGGGCCTTCCTCGCTTCTGGGGAGCCGTTGAGCCCTACTGGCACGCCCATGGACACTACACGCAAGCTGATAGTCGGAAATGGACATTTGTTTACTATGTACTTTTATTTACTGGTGCCTTTCTTTGGTGGAGTGGCCTGTTACCCCTGACTGAGAGCTCGGCGGCCCTGGTGTCGCAGGATGCTTGAGGGGCGCCTTGTATGTATAGTTACGGTAGATGGGATTCGAAGAGGTATGTATGTCACATCCTCATGTCAACATCCATCCCTGGTAACGAGCCTGGCATAGCAAAGTCATCCTCATTCCGCATCCTCCGGCGCCGAAGAGAATCATGTTCGCGGCCTGTGCGAGTCCCTGCTTCAGCCTCAACTTCTCGTCGGGCCTCTGCTCGGAGATCTTGGTTGATGTCCTTCCCCTTCGCTCTTCCCACTGATACATTGGTCTCGGCCAGGCCGTCTTCGGGCCCTCTGGTGTTCTTCTTGCGTGGCCAGAGATTTGGTAATGCAATCTCCTGGAACCGAGGCTCTACGCATCGCTCGTCGAACCAACGGTGAAGACGTGCCTCGATCAGCTGGGCGATCTTGGGGACATCTTGCAGTCTTGACCGACTGCCAAGCAGACTCCGGATTGATAGGTCGAGGCGGTAATCATCCATGAAACTGAAGGTCATCATGGTGGGGGTTGACTGTGAGGGATTGCTGGGGATGAAGGAGATGGATAGGGTGCCGCTAAATCTGACCACCGAGACGGAGAGAGCCACAGGCAGCACCGCACTCAACTTCTTTGGATAATTCAGGAGAAGTTTGGTCTCAAGAGCGAGAGTCAACATGTCGCTAAGGTCAACATCCATCCGTGCCTGTAGCTTCGTCCCCTCCCTCGTGGCTGCGCTGGCATCGAGTGTCCTGCCATTGCCTAGGCTCAGCCCATCTTCGTCCACGGGGATGATACGACAGTTGCTGAAAATGGGGAAGTCTTCTCCCAGACTCAGTTCCGTTACGCGAATCTCGTCGACGAAATCGGGCCTTGAGCCTCCGTTGAGTGCCTTAGTCAGGGAGCTGAGGATGGCGTCGTCATGCTGTGCATCGCTCCGAAATTGTGCGATGGTCTGCGCCACGAGGACGTTGAACCAGTCCAGGCTTTCCGGCTGGTGGCCGTCGACGTTGTAGTAGGTTTTACTGAGAATGGACCCAATGGTGAGGTTGGGAGGGTTGCGGAGAACACTCGACTTCTTGCGGTTGAGCGTCTGCTGGCCCTGCTTCGCATTGGCAGTCCGCAGGCTTAACAGAGAGCGCTTATGAGCTAAAGTTCTAGACCGGCGCTCCGTTGCTCTTAAAGAGGCCGTCACCTCGGGCGAGGGAGGATCGCCGAAGATGAAGAATTTGATGAAGGCGGCAAGGACCAGAACCACCGACAGCTGGCCCAGAATGAGGCCTTGTGTGAACGAGAGCCTAATCCAATGGATATTAGCACGTGACACTCCGTCAAAAACAGATGGCATATCTATGGATATACGACTCACGTCGGTTCTGCCTTTGCTGGGCAAGTGTCCGTGGACAGACTCTCCATGCTCTTCGTCGTTGAAGGCGAGCTGGTCAGCGACGAGAAGAATCGTTACTATCTTACTACAAAGCCATGAGGCAGACCAATGCAGATTTACAGGTTGAGCTTAAACGTTGAAGAAGGCCCCGGCCAAGCTGTCAAAGAAAACCTGGCGCTGTTGAGATAATTGACCAGGTGGAAAACCAGAGAAAAGGTGCCCGTTTGACCGGATTGGCACTGTGAAGAGGCTAAACGTCACTACTGGGCGGAGATCCACCATCACCCAGTGTTTCACCCGCGTCTTCGCACCTGCCCGGCCCACATGCCAGGCACCATTACTGGCACTGTGCCCGACGTACCTGCCTTGCGGTACCAACCCAACGTGGATGACTGGGGCACGTCCAGAGAGCTCAGGCGAGCTGTCACGGCGAGCTACGTATCCCATCCAACGACAGCGAGGGATGCGCCAACGACTTCGTGGATAACGACAATCACGACCTTGCATCTGACCCCATCAACCCGGCTTGCTCTACGACCGACACATACGGGGCATCCAACATTTGTATTCTCGCGTCTTCTTTCTAAAAATAAAAAATATAAGGTGGTCGGCAACACCCTCCCAACGAATCTGGACACAGCTCAGGACCACCTGACCTTCCCCCCCCGTGCCCACGGCTTAACTCATCGGACATTTGTTCTCTGCGCTGCACGCCTGTCAGCCAGGATGGATGTGGCACAAGCAGTAGCCGGCTATGTATCTCGCATGATATCCTCGGCCGATTCTTCATCGGCAACCCAGTCGGCGAAGATGAAGGTTCTTTTGCTGGATCGCGAAACAGTGCCCATTGTGTCCACAGCCATCACTCAGTCAGCGTTGTTGAACCATGAGGTCTACCTCATCGATCGAATCGACAACGTGAACAGGGAGAAGATGCGCCATCTTCGTTGTCTTTGCCTTGTTCGGCCGTCCCCTGAATCGATCCAACTCCTAATCGATGAATTACGAGAGCCCAAGTATGGTGAGTATCACTTGTACTTCACCAACGTGGTCAAGAAGTCTTCGCTCGAGAGACTTGCCGAAGCCGACGACCACGAAGTCGTTAAGCTTGTCCAGGAGCACTTCGCAGACTTCATTGTCATCAACCCCGATCTATTTTCACTCGGTCTCGGCCTTCCCCATCAGCGTATCTGGGCGAGCAGCCCAGACACTTGGAACTCCGACGCTCTTCAGAGAAGTGCCGATGGACTCATCGCCGTACTTCTCGCTCTAAAAAAGAAGCCTTTGATCAGGTATGCCAAGACCAGCCCACTTACAAAAAAGCTGGCAACAGAGGTGCGATATCGGATCACACAAGAGGACCAGCTTTTCGACTTTAGAAAGGTGGACACGCCACCTATTCTCCTCATTCTCGACCGGCGTGAGGATCCTGTAACACCACTACTTACCCAATGGACCTATCAAGCCATGGTACACCATCTACTCGGCATCACCAACGGCCGGGTCGATCTTAGTGATGTGCCGGATATTCGTCCAGAGCTCAAAGAAATCGTCCTGTCCCAGGACCAGGACCCTTTCTTCAAGAAGAACATGTATCTCAACTTTGGCGACTTGGGCGGGAACATCAAGGATTACGTCGAGCAGTATCAGTCCAAGACTCAGAACAGCGCAAACATTGAGTCGATTTCGGATATGAAACGCTTCATCGAGGAGTATCCCGAGTTCCGTAAGCTCTCCGGGAATGTTAGTAAACACGTCACTCTGGTGTCGGAGCTAAGCAGGCGTGTTGGGGCGGAAAACCTGCTTGAGGTGAGCGAGCTTGAGCAAAGCCTTGCGTGTAACGACAACCACGCAACCGATGTAAAGGTATGTATCGCCAACCATAGAAATGCTGGGCCTGCGCATAATGACTAACGCATGCGACTCTCCCATAGAACATCCAAAAGCTCATACAGTCTCCCAGGGTTACAAGTGATAGCAAGGTTGGCCTCGTTGCTCTCTATGCTTTGAGATATGAGCGAAACCCCTCGAATGCGCTTCCTATGCTTGTCGACCTCTTAGTGGCAGCTGGCGGCGTTTCGGTACGGCGAGCAGATCTCGTCTCGAAGCTGGTGACATATCATTCCACGCTACAACAGTCTCAGACCCAAACAGGTATCACGGATATTTTTGAGGGAGCCGGCATTTTCGGAGGCGCTGGCAACCGATTTAAGGGACTCAAGGGCGTCGAGAATGTGTACACCCAGCACAGTCCTATGCTGGAGAGCACACTCCAGAACCTGATTCGTGGAAGGCTCAAGGAGCAACAGTATCCCTTTGTCGAGGGTGGAGGCACCACTCGGGACAAGCCTCAAGACATCATTGTTTTCATGGTCGGCGGCGCTACGTATGAGGAGGCCAAGACGGTTGCAACTATCAACGCAAGTACGCCTGGAGTGCGCCTAGTTCTTGGGGGTACAACGATCCACAACTCGGCAACGTTTCTAGAGGAAGTTGAAGACGCCGTATCATCGTGGCCTGAGACTCAGAAACCAGCGGCGCGGCGATAGAGTACTGACTGGTCTTAACAATCTTAGCGCTAATTTGGACGAGGAGGATTTAGGTATAATAGGGCTGTCTATGAAGACCTAATCTAAGCGTGTTTTGCAACCCAATCCGGTAAAGTTGAATGTCTTGCATGCCGACAATGCGAAGGAACAGAACATTAGAAAGCACGGGGAAATTGAAGGCGAAAAAAGTGATGCCTATCGATCGAGCACACAGAGTCCAAGCAAAACTAAAAACATACAACACCAGGTATTCGCTGGTCGTCACCGACCCAACTACTAATCCGGCCCTCACTGGCTTATCTATGGGAGAGCGGACGGGATCCCGAGTTCTCCAGTGGGTATGGTCGTATGTGTCTGATTGACAAAGAAAACGGTATATAATGAGGTGATACACAGCATAGCAGTCCAAATTCATGAATATCTAGGTAGGAAGCATGGGAAACACAGGCTCATTGGTCTCCAGAAGGGCCGCTGGAAGACGTTGCCATTGAATGCCGCATAAAGGAATCGCTGTTGTGGAACGTGTTAACAGTTGCCTCTGTCACCGCTCTCAAATCAAGCTATTGGGTCTGGCGTGAGCCTGATCTTTGATTTAGTCGGGTGTGTTTTGATGTAAGAATTCAAGCTAGCACATGTATTGACTGGTCTTGAAAGGGGCTACACCTCAAGAGATAAGATAGATGTGCACTCAAGTCTGTGATCGGTGGTCATAGGCGCCGTGCGCCGACAATGTCACTGTGCTACACTGTGACACTAGGGTGGAAATCTCGGCGGATTCGCAGGCCAACATTGGAACCCCTAGAAAGCGCATCTTTAACCGTTGTGATCAAGGTCGTCACTACAACGAATTATCCAAAACCACAGGGTTTCTTCTAGCACACCAGATATAAACTGTGCACTGAATCAAACGAATGATTGGGTTTCCAACGGGGACGAACAATGCGATCCGTCTCAACGGCGTTGAAGCTGCGGCCGCGCAGTGCTGCTCGAAAGCTGCAGCATCTTCATTCTCCACAGACCCTCGGCAGGCGTGGGTTTGCAGCCGTCGCGGAAGGCGCCAGGTTTGCAGCCAAACACTTAGGCCACCCAAATCATTACTGACGCTTAGCAAAGGCCGTTCGATGTTGTCGTGGTAGGAGGTGGCCACGCGGGTGCGGAAGCATGCGCCGCCGCCGCCCGAGCCGGCGCGCGAACAGCTCTCGTTACCCCTAAAATGGAAAATCTCGGCACCTGCTCCTGCAACCCTTCTTTTGGAGGCGTTGGTAAGGGAATAATCCTTCGTGAGATTGACGCGCTCGATGGGCTGGCCGGCAGGGTCATAGACAAGGCCGGTGTACAGTTTAGGGTCCTGAACAGAGCTAAGGGTCCTGCGGTCTGGGTACGAAGAAGCTCGCTTGCTTTCGTGTTAGTTGGAACTGTGTCGCTAACGCCATGATGGTTATGTGTAGGGCCCTCGAGCGCAAATCGACCGAAAACTCTACCAGAAACACATGAGGGAAGAGCTGGAGACATACCCCAACCTCTCAATCGTCCTCGGCAGCGTGTCCGACATCGTCACGAGCGCAAACCCAGACACCACGGGCTCTGCCCCAAGCAAGATCACGGGAGTCCGCCTTGAGTCTGGCGAGGTGCTCCCGACGAGCGCCGTAATCATAACGACTGGAACGTTCCTCAGCGCCGAAATCCACATTGGCATGAAGGCGTACCCTGCAGGACGCATAGGGGAAGATGCGTCCTTTGGCCTGAGCAAATCACTGAAAGACGCCGGCTTCCGCCTCGGGAGACTGAAGACAGGAACTCCCCCACGCATCGCCAAAGACAGTATTGACTACACTCATCTCGAGAGGCAACCGGGCGACAACCCGCCGATGCCGTTCAGCTTCCTAAATGAGCGGGTCACTGTCGAGGAGCAGATGTCATGTCATGTGAGCTACACCAACGAGAAGACGCACGCGATTGTGCGTGACAACCTGGAAAAGACCATCCACATCCGAGAAACGATCAAAGGCCCGAGATACTGTCCGTCGCTGGAAGCCAAAATCGTTCGGTTTTCCGACAAAGACAGGCATATTGTTTGGTTAGAGCCCGAGGGGTTCGACAGCGACCTCATCTACCCTAACGGGTTGTCCATGACTGTGCCGCCTGAGGCGCAGGAGCAGATTCTGCGCTCCATTCCAGGGCTAGAAAACTGCGTAATGACACAGGTGGGCTACGGCGTCGAGTATGACTACATTGATCCCCGAAGCCTCAAGGCAACGCTCGAGACAAAGACCATTGCCGGTCTATTCCTAGCGGGCCAAATCAATGGAACCACCGGTTATGAAGAGGCTGCTGGGCAAGGGATTATCGCCGGCATTAACGCTGGCCGATCTGCCCTGGGTCTTGCCCCAGCCGCAGTTTCGCGAGCGGACGGTTATATCGGCATCATGATTGACGATCTCATTACAAAGGGCGTCACTGAACCGTACAGAATGTTTACAACCAGAAGCGAGTACAGGCTGACGTCGCGAGCGGACAATGCAGACCTTAGGTTGACCGAGCAAGGACGGAAGTGGGGCGTCGTGTCGGACAAGCGATGGGCAGCCTTCAGTGACGAGAAACAGCAAATCAGCGACCTCGTGGCGTTGCTATCGTCGACGAGCAAGAGCAGCCCAGAGTGGTTGAAGCAAGGATTCCAGGTAAAGGAGGATACCACCCCACGTGACGCGACCGATATGCTCCGGCTGCGCAACGTAACCATGGACCAAGTCGCAGCCGCGGTGCCTGGTGTCGAGGCCTTCCCCGAGCGCATTAGGTCTCGCGTGCACATCGAGGCCACGTATGCGCCCTTCATCAAGCGCCAGCTGGCCGAGCGTAAGGTCTTTGCCCGGGACGAAAGCCTGCGGCTGCCAGCCTGGATTGACTATGACAAGGTTCCCGGGTTGGCCATGGCCGAGAAGGCCGTTCTGAAGGCCACCATGCCCGAGACTCTAGCTCAGGCGAGGCGGCTAGAAGGCATCACGCCGTCCGGCTGTGTACGTTTGCTAGGCTATGTTCAACGTCAACGGCGGAGCACAACGATGGCAAACATGTCCAAGTCGTTGCGGACGAATAAAGAGGCCCCTGAAGGTAAGGGCATCTCCCCGGTTCCGTAGACGCCCCTCTCGAAGGGGTAAAATGAATGTAAACTAGCCCCAAAAGCAGTGGGCAGTTTGACGTTTGATAGAACATTTGGTGTGATGCCTGCCGTCCGAGTAGGGGCCCCGTTTTGTGATCATAATGTACACTACTTTTTTTTTTGTGCCAACCTCTCCGCAACACCCCTTTTGATGCGTATATGTTACAAAGTTTTCTTCCCAGACCCAATTGAGAAAATGTTAAATGTTTTACAATACAAAGGCCTTGCTGTTCGTTTCCCTGGTATGTGACGTCCAGGGCCCTCTGCTGACTGGGGCAGCAAATGCCTCAGTTAGTTGACAGCGTTGCAAAACTTATACGTTCAGCGGAGGTAGCTGATGGAGAAGCTGCGAGACTTCTCAAACCTTGGTGGGTGGCGTCAAGATCTTGACCGCGTCTTTAGTATAGATGTAGCTCGCGCCACTCCACACTGTCGTGGTGGCCACAACGTACCTGCCACCAAAGTCAGCATGTCCATTCATTACCTCTTTCCCACCACTTTCATCCGTCGTTCAACTACATGGACGGAGGAAAGGGGACCAAAGTTGAAGGGACAAATCCAACGTACTGCATGATGGCCAACGGTGTTGAGAGATCGTAGCTGAACACCGGGGCGGCGGTCGTCATGCCAATAAGGATGAGTTGGAGGAACGTATTATACTTGCTGATGGTCGTGGGACGGACCTCGGCCGAGGGCAGAGAAAAGTCCCAATATCGCGCAAAGGTCTTGGGGGGCGGTAGGGAGACCCAACGGTAGTATATAGCAGACATGGCCAGGCCGACATCGCGGCCGAGGATGATGGTCGCGAGCCATACTGCCGAGGATAGCCCAAGTCAGCGAACATGCATTATCATTTTCCAGCGCACAGCCTTGCTTCTCCCGTCACGCACGCTCGCGCGCCCACACATACACACACGCACGCACGCACACACGCCTTACTGCACTCCTCCAACGGCAGACAGACGGTCTGTAGACTCACCCGGAAGCGACCCCTGCGCCGCCAGACACACCGTAAGGATGGTCATGAGTGTCTTATCGGCCATTGGGTCGATGATGGTGCCGACCACCGTCTGCTGCTTCCATCGCCGTGCGATCCAGCCGTCCAGTAGATCCGTCACGCCGGCGTACGCGAACAGGCCCAGTGCCCAAGCATGCTGGTCGTGGAGGATGAAATAGCCGACAAAGGGCGCAGCGACGAGGCGCGATAGCGTCAGTAGGTTCGGCAGGGTACGGATGTCTTCATGGAGATTCTTCGGTAGCGTCGGGAGCTTCGCCGCGATCTTGCTTGCCGTGCTGCGTTGGAGAAACGGTTAGTCTCTGTTGCACACGATCGTCTTCTTCCCCCATTGCGCCACAGTAACAGCAGCTCCCACGACGCGGTTGGACTTACCCGGACGGCTTGCCGCCAGGCTGGGACGTATAGCGGGCGGCACATCCCAGGGATGGGCATAGCGGGCTGTTGATCGTATTGTTGCTGATAGGAAGAGATGTTTGCCTGGGCGACGGCCGGTGGTACGCTGATGACGACAACGCATGAAGTAGGCGATTGCCGCTGCCGGAAATTCGATCTAATTGTAACAATGCCCTTCGGCCACCAAGCCTGAGAATCAACATCTTCGTGTCGTTCGCAGAGCCCCGACTTGGACTGAGTTGATGCTGACCTTAACTCGCAGAAGCAGATCATGGGTGGGGCACGTAGGAGTTTGGCCAGTCATTGGCCCCCTATGTCACGTCACTCCGCGCGTCGTCATTCATCGTCCCCAAGGAAGCTCATCCGTTACTTGCATAGCTATGTCTTTTCGCATAACCAGCTCTCTGTCTCTCTTAAAATAGGTAGGTACAAAACCAATAAAGTGTGCAACTGTCCCCAGCCAGTCAAGTCGACATAGCAAGACTGCATGCAGTACGCCCCAAGGTTACACAAAACACACTAAAAATCTTCATCGCGCGGCATACCCAACATGTATGGCTGCAAACTGTAATTGCTTTCCAGGTAAACTTTTTTAACGGCGCAACCTAGACCTTTTTCCGGCTCCGAATACTCTGGGGCCGCATTACCCCAGTCTGGCGTGCCTGTTTCGTTCTTCCAAACAGTACAAGCTCATCGCAAACCGCAGCCTCGGCGCTGCGCTGTTTTTGGTTCTCCACCTTGCTCGACGCCCATTTTTCTTCTTCTTCTTCCTGTCACTCAAGGATATGTAACCCCGCAACATTTCCACACTGTCGTTCAAGGGCGATCCTCTGTTGGACCCATATCATAGTTGTATCCTCCTTCCGACGTCCAACACCGACGGGTGTTGGACAGCTGCGGTGGCTGTAACTTTTCTGTGCCTGGCGATGCTCATGTTCAAGTTCTACCCAATGAGTTGTTGTTGCTGCCTGGCCAAGCTGTATTTCCCTGGGAGATATACTGTCCCTGGTCTTCCTCTAATTGTTCGAACGAATTCCAAGTTTCGCGAGTACCTAGTCCGTCAAATGGTTGTAGCGACCGGTCACCACCCAGCCCCGATTCGGAGTGAACATTTCGGGGAGAGGGTGAGGGGAAGGGCTCGTGCGGCGACAGGTCGTGAACACGTTGCTGCGAGTATAGCATCGAAGTCATGTAGTTGCCACCCATGCCGCGAGAGGGATCTGTCGGGACGGCTGGCAAACTGCTGGCGAGGCTCATATCCGGGCCCGACGTAGGTTCGTAAGCTGCTGAGTGACGCCTAGGATGATGCTGCGACTCGAGAGCCATGGTTCGGGATATGTCGGGGGTCAAACCGGCGCTAGGAGGATACCGACTGGCTCTGCTGATGTTGTCATACCCGTAGCTTGGGTGCTGAGCCTGTGCATAGCCCACGTTACTGACGGATCCCGGAACGCCGCTTAAATATGACGACATATAAGGCGGTTGTCCAAACTGAGGCCCGCCCATGCCGCCGCCCATGTGGTGCAACGAGGGCACCGACATGGCCCGTGATAAGCTCTGGTGATGATGGCCGTTAACCGGATAAGCGTGAGCGAAGAGGCCGTGGGCGCCACGCGAGTCGTCCATTTCGACCTCGTCAATGGGAGCCCGGAAGTTCTGTGACATGATCAACTCCCCGCGAGGGATGATGGTGGAAAGCTGGTGGTCCTTTGAAGGAGTCATGAGCTTTCCTTCTGTGACGTCTTCCACGTTGTAGTAAGATACCAGATGGTGCGGCACGCCTTGGTACGTAACGCTGATCGTCTTCTTCACGAGACCGTTCTCCTTGAAAGGATATGAGTCGACTAGAGAGCCGATGAGAGCGCGTTCGGCCTCCTTGTTGCCCTGCGAACCATCCCCCATGCCCATGCTGGCGCCCGTTCCATTGACGCTTCCTTGACGCGTGACCTCAGGCTTTGTAACACCCGTGGGCTTCTTGTTGCGCTTCATGGCACGTTTTTTCTCGCCGGGAGGGAACGGTCTGTCGAGCTCGCGATAAATAAGAAAATTACCCAAGATTCGACTGGGACTCCAGGCAACACCGTCGGTCCAGCGCTTGATCCCGGACGAGTGTTCCTCATAAATGAACACATTGCCACTCTTGATAAGATCTTGGCGTTCGCGATCGTGAGGTCGTCGGGGGACGTGATGCAGGGCACTGCTCAGGCATGCCTCAAACAGAACCAGAGCATCCAAAGTGGAGGCAACATGGCCAAAGAAGGTTGGGTTTAGCGGGACGTTGGAGTTTGCCATTTTGGCCTCCGGTTGCGTCGAGTCTAATCATGTAAGTTACTTTCACCAACGTTTGCGGAAATGATTGCAGAGTTGCGCCACTTACCGACCGAGTATGCCGTACAGGAGGGAGGTATATCCAATAGAGTACAAGGCTGGAATATGGTGGATGTAATGCGTGGCCGGTCGACTTGGTTGCAGGGAACAGCCGTCAGCAAAGCTGGTGATCGTTATTGTTGGTGTTGATGCGCTAGTGTTGTTTGTTGGTGCGCGTTATGTACGTGATGATCTTCGCCAGAGCGCGAGGTCCCGACAAATGACTATGGGGGAGGAAGAGGATGAAAGAAGCGCGGAAGGGGAGCTGGCCTTTCAACAGCGAGTGGCAGACCAAGAGGTGTCAAAGCTAAAGTTCAAGAGTGTTTCTCCGAAGGGGGAAGAGGGGAAGAAAATGGGAAGAGGACCTAATGGGTAGGGTAAGTACAGTTCGTGGGTGGAGCTCTGGATCACAGCAGTCGGACCTTGGTTCGGCCTGCACTTGTGGTCGTATCCAGGTTGCGGTACCACCTCCCCCCTGGCACCTCTTTTCCTTCTTCTCTCCTTGCTAAACAACTGATCAAGACCTGTGTGACTGTGGCCTGAAGACCACGACTGGGTCTGGCGAGGGGACCTTGAGTGGCTAAGTGGGAAAGTGCCTCGAATTGGCAACCGGATATATTTCCCCCCTTGTGATCTGTTGGCTGTACCAGGGATGGGGTAAAGCTTCAAGGTGGGATATGTATGAACAGTGGTCCGCAAGTGCCTATGTAAGAGGCTTGTGGCTTGCGTGGGCCAGGAACCGGAGGTTGATGGTGAGATCCAGTATTTTAAGGTTTGTCGAGCGCAGCACGGGCGGTACGATGGGCGGGAGTCTTGTTAGCTGCGCGTGCTGGTATTCCCTCTCTGGCCCTGCTGAAAGGACGGTACGGTGTGGCTGCCGATGACCGTGTGGGTTTGACATGTACGTGTACGCAGATGAACAACGCTGGTCGAACCCGTTGCAAAGGAGGGAAAACGGTAAAAGGTTGTGGGTGGCGGGAAAGAGCAAGTAGTAGAAGGAGGAGTGTAGGAGGAAGGTTGATAGTTGAAAGGTTGATGAATGCGGAGCGGGACCCTTAGAATTTAGAGGTCGGGAAGGAGGGATGCAAACAGAAGGAGGGCCTCGGAGGTTTTTGACTCTAGAACCAAACGGTTGGGCCTCGAACTCGTGTAGTTCCTACAAGCTTCAGGAACCGGGGACGCAAGAGGTTGATGTACGGGGACTGGATGTCGCGGGGGACTTATAAGATGTCGGTGCCCGACGGTAAAACTGGTAATTGCGCGCGAAGATCGGAACACTGGATGAAATATGTACTTTGCTGTGCAGTGCAGGTGCTGATGCGGTGCGACAAGGGGAGCTCGCCCAGGGCAGCCGGGTGGAGAATACAAGACGAGGTCGAGCGAGAGGGCAGACGAGGATAGAACAGGCCTTGTCAACAGACAGGGCAGATCGGGCCCAAGGCTCAGGCGGGATGCCGACGTAGGGCCAGGCCAGGCCAGGCAAGGTGCCGTGGTCGAGGGTAGTAGGAAGCTGTTTGAACCCGAGCAAGGGTAGCAGATGAAGCTCTACCATGTACGTCAGAGAGCCAAGCAAGACAGGGCGGACGGGGCAGAGCGAAGAGCAGCGGCGTTGGTGAAGCGGTAGAAGGAGACGAGGACGAGGAGGGATGGAGGATGAGGAGTATGAAAGCCCTGCAGCGACAGGCATTCAACAACAGTCGCTGCAATATGATAATGGAGACGAGTGCATGTCCGTCTGTTCCTGGAGAAAGCAGCCGACGAACGTGGAGGTAGGGTGAGGCGGAGGAGACAGCGGCGGCGACGGCGGCGGCGGCGGCGATGAATCTGGGACTGGGGACTGGACGCAAAGACACACGACCCAAGGAGCAGACCGGCAAGCAGGATACCGGGGGGGGGGGGGGGGGGGGGGGTGCGTAAAAGCTGAATAGAGATGGAGAGGAGTGTGATGGAGGGAGGAGGTGTGAGAGGAAAGAGAAGTGGGGTGGGGTGAGGGAGGAAGTGGGTAGGAAGACCAGAGAGAATGAGAGAAAGAAAAGTGCAGCGATGAGAGAATGTGTGTGTGTGTGTGTGTGGGTGGGTGGGTGGGTGTGGGTGTGGGTAGTTTGGGGGTAGTTTGAGGGGGGGGGCAAGATGGGAGTGGAAACGCTCGGCGATCAGAGAACAGAAATGCCTCTCAGTGCCTGCTGAAGTAGTTAGGTATGGTAGGGCATGTAGGCATGCATGTGAGCCAGAAGAGGAGATGGAGAAGCTAGTGGGCGAGCGAGACGGACGCAAGAGCAGACAGACAGAGAGCAAGAAAGAGGTACAAGTATCTAATGACGGTCAGTAACAGTACCAGTGCAAGCGCAGATGCAGGTGTGCAAGGACTCGACTCGACTCGGCTCGAATGAGACTGGGTTGAAGTAGAAACCAAGCGCCCACGAGCTGCACAACCAGATAGAGTACAAAAAAGTGCATGCCGCAGGTATTCCCGAGGGGGGATGGGCTTTGTCGAGTGAGCGAGCGAGAGGATGAATTTGGACTTGGCTCAAATCGACTGGCGGACTGGCGAGGCCTACGAGCTGACAAGCAAGCAGCCTGGCACATGCACCCTGAAGGTATCCAAGTCTTGTCTTGGGTCCGGTATACCTTAGTATCCTGCTCTGCTTTGCAAAGGCGTTGCTGTTTACGCTCTCCTTCTCAGTGATGTACTGGCGGGCCGGCCTGGTCGGTAGCGCGGGTGCTTGGCACAGGCAGTCCGTACTTCTGTAAGTTGGCACTACGTTGCGTACGAGACTGGCGGCCAAGTACCGAGTGTTAAGGCACCGTGACTGATGTCCAAGCAAACGTACCAGGCGGTACTCCTTGGCGCGGCACTATCGCCAAGGGCAGGGTAGACAATACAACCTTCATGTAATGTAGTCCAATACTACTGGCTGGCTGTCGTTGCTGCCGTCGCTGGTGGGATGGACTAGATGGGCGGATGTTGGGAGTGAAGAAAAGAGGAGGGCAAATAGTCCAGCAAGGTTAAGCTCAGGCGCCTCAAGGTCTAGTAGAAAGAGGACAAGAGGCGGCACGCCAAGACAACGGAGATGCCATCGATCGAAGGGTAACATCATGATAGATGATGCTTGTTGCTTTGTTTGTGGTTTTGGTTCGCCCAAGATAACTCGGGAGATTTCCAATGTCCTTCTCCCCTTCTCCCAGAGTTAGGATACCGGCCGCCGTCAAGTTGGTATTTGTGAGTGAACAATGGCGTAACCATCATGCTCATTTTTTGCCTATCATTTCTGCCTCATCTATAGCGGTGGTGGAATGGGTGTTCTACTTGAAAGGGGGGGTGGGGTGTGGGAGCGCAGTGATGTTGTTGGTGATGAAGTTGGTGGTGGTGTCTCGATGCCGAGTTGGATATTGATGCTCCCTCTATACGGCGACTGCCGCCGCTACGGCTGCTCCCAAACAATGCAAGGCACAAACAAGGTAGAGGATGTTAGGGATCCCCAAAGATCCAGTGTCTTTCGGAGGAGGAGCATGCTGTCTCGTCCGGGAGCACAGCCAAGATGAAATGAGGGGCCGGGTCCCAAGACGCCGATTCCCCAGTCTTTCTTCAACAGAATCCCAAAGTCAAAGCCTTGGAGACGGGGTTAATCGATGGAGGCTCACCTCGAGGTCGCATCCACCACAGCAGTCTACGTATTGTTGGACGTCTGCAGAGGCCAAGGGTAAGCAGGTCTGAGGTCCAATTTGATCCACCTTTGCAGCAAGGTAGAAAGTACAGTGACTGCACTGCGGTGATGAGGTAGGATCTGTTTATTGCAGCGGGGAGCTGGCCGACGTCGAGATGAGCCCGGGGGCCTGTTTCTGCGACGCCACAAGGAGACGTGAGCCATGTCTTCGCTACCTTGAGTGGAATTTTGTTTCTTTGCCCAACGAGCGTCCTTGCGAAGCAAAGCGGTGCCGCCAAGCAACGTCGAGTGAAGTGGGTGGTGTGAGCTGAGGCGATGGGGAAAAGGTCGGATGGACCTCGCGTCTCGAAAGGTGGTAGCGCCAAGATCATGCTCGCTGAATCTCCAGGGGCCGGGAGGTACGGGCTAGATGGGTGTTCAGAAGGTACATAGTATAGTATGGGGTGGACAGGGGCGGGGAAGATGAAGGCATACTTTGAGGCATGTTACTGAGATACGGTGATGGATGGGACAAGGTATAGGGGGGTAAGAATAGAATGGGACGGATAGGATGGGGTAGGATAGGCATTAAACGGGCAAGCGGAACGGGGAGAACGGGAAGGAGTAGGAGTATGAAGGAGAGCGGCGATGAAGTGAAGGAGAAGCACGGCCAAAGGTATCAGAATGAGGCAAGAAGCGTGCGTGATGAGACGGGTACGGATGCGGCAGTGCGAGGGAGTCGATGACGATGACGGGAACGACATGGTGGATGCGTGCATGCATGCATGTATGCCATGGAGAGAAACGCGATGCGGTTCCTGAGTGTACCTGCTTGAACTGGCCGTTGCCGTTGAAGGATGAAAAGGTCAGAGCGAGCGAGAGAGGTAGGTAGAGAGGAGAGAGGACCACTTTGGCCTGCCTTAAGAGATACGTACCGTGAGCCGTGTATGTCCTATAGCTACGTAGGCAGGCAGGTAGTTATCGACTCGTGACTACCTCACAGCCTCGGCACCTTGAGGTAGAGAGAGGGTAAAGAGGAAGGACGCCTTTCTCCTCGACCGTGTGATCGATCTACGTAAGTCAGAAACCAGGAACTCGAGGTACATACATGATACCTGCCACGCTTCGTTCCACTACTTTCCTCGAGAGACGGACCTTCTAGCCCCCTTCTCTCGTACAACGTCTCCGTGCGTGTCCCCTCGCCGTCATCGCTTCACGTGTTTCGCTGAAGGACAGTCTACGACAACCGCTGCCCAAATGCCCACCCAAAGCAGTTGTACCACTTGCCTTGGCTGCCTGGCCTTATACAGTAGACTGGATGGAACACCAAGGTTAAGCCTGTCATGGGAAAGGCAAAGCACGGTTGGGCAGCTAGCAAAGAGGGAGAAGGGGAGCACGCAGGCGGGAATGGAAGGAAAGGCAACGCAATGCAATGCAAGGAAAGCACAGCCCACGGACTCGATAGACTGTGGCGTAACGGAATAAACAGCGGAGAGAAAAGGGGAAAGGAGAAAGGTGAGGAGGCGGCCGCGGAGAGAGTAAAAGCTTGCCCGGTCAAGGGCTGGCAAGAGACAGGCAGTACAGATGACAAAAGGGAAGGGAAGGTGGCATGTCGATACCGATAGCTCCAGCGCCCCTGCTCTGGAGAATCTGAGACAGGGAAACACGTCTCCGTCTAGGTAGTGACGGATATCTCCTTAGCCACATGTCCGTACAGAGACAGGGATAGAAAGAGGGAGAGCGCCAAGCGAGAGGTACGTATCTGCAGCTGCTGTTGGCACACAGGCCACCCAGCAGCGCAGAGACCAGTAGCAACGCATAGCCGTCGATATTGGTAGTCCGTCCGTCCGTCCATCACGCCATCAGAATTCAGCGACCAGCGACTGCAACGCTCGTAACGCCCACGTTGGAACACTGAAATTCCACATCTCGAGCCATCCATCCACGGGCCCTCCGTGACCCAAGATCCCATGCCAGCCTGCAAAGGCCACCAACGGCATTACATGGAGAGCCATGGCGAAATTTGTGAGCCGCGTCAACCACACCCTCGCGGAAGGTACACCCGACAAGAAGACAAGGAGAGGGCGTTGAACCATGTACCGGTACTATCAACGCACTTGGTGAGGCATTGAAGTCTGAATATCGCGAAAGGCTGGCGAGAGATGCGTCTCTCGATGGGAAGGGGGGGTGTAAGGACTCGTTCCGATTGCGAGTTGTTAGTTTACCCGCTCCAAAGCTCGATGCCACCAGATATGTCAAGTACGCGTGTCAACGCACCTACCGCAGTAGTTAAGATGCTGAGAGCAGCCGCCAAAGGATGTGTTTTGCTCCGAATCCGAAGCGCGCCATGAACCCGGCCGAGAAACAGCCATGAGAAACGCTAAGGCAGTTCGCAGGCATGCTACGCCAATGAAGTGCTAATCTGGTTTCGTCCGTTTGTTCCCCCTCTGGTGATGTTTGTTCCGACTGAACCGGCCTGAGACTGGACGGAACGGGACTGAGCCCAAGGAGCTAGAATGGACCGAACCAATCCGCCGAAACAGCCCAGACCTACCCTTCATCGTGCCCAAGTACCTACAGTACCTAGGTAGGTTGTTCGTCGTGTCCGCGAGGGTGATACGTCCCATGGATTCAATGCTGCCACCAACATATTCCCAGAACAATGGCGAGCGAGCCCAAGCATGGATAGACTAGGATGTCACGCCTTCTCTTGCCCAGTAGGGCATTTCTCCTCTCGTTGGTGGTCGAATATACTATTCCGGATTGTGTACGGATAGTCCACCATGCTTTGTTGACGGTTTCCCGCCTTATTTCGATTCTATCTCCACGACTACCACTGACTGAGTACAGTGTTGGTGCTGTACTCTCTTGCGTATCGCTCCAATGTTCGCTTGTGTTCCGAGCTGCGTCAAGGCACAACAGCATCCTAGAACCACCTCTTCGTCTGAAGCTCCAAATTGATGCCGAAAGGAGTGTTTGTATTGGCGTTGAACACCGTCGGCAGAGTGCCGGAACCACTGGCGAGCGTACATCCTGGCAAGAGATTGCAAACTACCTATCTACTGTGTAGGTAGGTGCGTAGTAGGGAGGTACGTAAGTAGGCGATAGGTACCATGGAAGGCAGGTGGGTAGATAGAGACAGCGGTACGTACTATACGGCGCTTTTCTGTATGGTCCTGGGTGTGCCCGTCAGACCCGCTAGCCAAGACAATGTGAGAAAGTGCCATGGTCGGTGCTTGTGGCTCGTTTTCGCAGTGCCAGACGCTATTAGCTTCGTGGTGTGTCAGAGCAGCAGGGAAGCGCAAACAATGCACGGAAAGGCCTTGCGTGCTAGGAAACAGCAAATCAACAACAGCGGGGGCAGGGGAGGAGAGGGCAGTACAGGGGTGCTTCAGGCCGAAAGCAGCTTTGGCTTTCAGTTTTGCTCATTTAGAGCTCCGCGCGGGTATTGATTCGTGCCTGAGCAGGGCCCGGGCTCTCAACCCCGGCCAGGATCGCTTGGTTGGGGTGTTGGAATGGTTAAAGATCGATCCGACAGGGAGCATGGGAGGGAAAGGATACGACGCCAATGTTGCTAATGCTCTACGCAGTAAGGACCAGGTCTTGAGCTCAAGCTTCACAAGCTAGTAGACCCCTTCCATTTCCTGTCCGGCTCTATTGTTCACATCTGAGGAAAATAAGTCAAGGTAAGTATGTAGTCAAACATTAACTGGCTGGCCCAGCAAGTGTGATTGGAGTGTCCGCATTAGGTAAGGCACAGATGACCTGTGTCCGAAAGGGACCATGGTGCCTTGGACGCAGCCACAAGGCGGCTGGCACCCCACGTGCTATGTGTTATGTGTTATGCGAGTAAATGTTTTGACAGTACCGTATCCACTGGGTAAATACAGCTCTGGCTAATGTACGTGCTAACGAGAAGTGGTATCGCGGCTGCCAAATAAGGGCTGGCGTGCTGGCAGAAACAGGGTTAGTTGGTTGGTTGATAAGTTTTCAACGTTAATTGTAGTAGAGGGTGTGGTAGATAGGGGGCTGACCGCTTTCCATGATAGATTTAGCGCCTAGGCGGCCGCTTTCCCCCTTACCGTTAGTACGTACGTTAGCCAGAGCTGTATTTACCCAGTGGATACGGTAGTGTACCGAGAAAGCCACAACGAAAGCCACAGCGAAAGCCACACACCGTTGGGAGATGGAGGGTACGTACCGTGTGGGCGGAAAGACAACAAACTACTTGGTAGGTAGCCTCAGACAGCTATTCGAGGAACAGTTGACGGGTCCATTAAATCCCTTCAATATGGCCAGCAACCGAATCCGCCGTCAGGTCGATGGACTGGTTGGCAAAGGGGCTACCCATGCGGGGTTTTTTTTTTTTTTCCTTGTCGTTTTTTTTTCCCTTCTTTTCTCTCGGTAACTACGCAAAGGCCTATCTATGACTAACCGTCATTCCACCCATGGAGATGGAGAAGAAGGAGGCAGGAAGGAACGAGTGGCAAGCAGAAGGACAGGGGGTTGGGGAAGTAAAAGTGCACCACAATTAAAAAGAAGAAAAAGGGACAAATGCCACAAGCCTGTGAGTTTGGGCAAGGGACAGGACAGATCCGCTTAGTCACGTGCAGGAGACAAGCCGAGCCAGTAAGTTGCTGGTGAAATAACAGGAAATCATAGGAATCCTTGCAATGGGCTGCTAACGCCGGGATCGCTAGCGGGGTGTGAGGCTCAGGTCCCCGAGAGGTTGAAGAATGATCAACACATGGATGGGAATTAGGTGGCCGGCCGATGGATGGCAGTGCGGCCAAATAATGGATGGAGTCGCCTGTTGTGGTTGAATTGGGTGGGAGGACAGAGATGTGTGTGTGTGTGTGTGGGAGAAAGGAACAAGTGCTGGTGGGGGAGGGCGTGTGTGTGTGTGTGTGTGTGGATGGCATGTTGGGGGTGTGTTGAGTGAACGGACGATGCGGTGATATGGTGGTCGTTCAACTCTCTTACCGGTACCTCTCTTTCTCCATCCCTCAGCGCCCGCGTGGGAGGGGGTCCATGTCCTTTTCTCGTGACAATGCAGCCCGATGTCCTCGCAATCCCACAGCTACGCGATATACCTGTACAAATGAAGACATGGGTGGCACCAGTGTCTTCCCTTAGGGCGCGTGGAGAAATAATTGGGGGAGGTGGGGCTTGCACCACCACGTACAAGGTACCCTGTACTACCACCAGAGCGCACCGTCGTCATCCACCGAGGGTCTGTTTTCCCAAACCGAATGCTACTACGACAAACGCATCTCCGCCATGGAGTGGTGCCATTAGCAAAGGGCAGAGAACAAGAGAAACATGAAGGGGGGAAAAAAGAAGAAGAAGAAAAGGGGGGGAGCACGTATTACAGAGGGAGGAGATGGAAAGGCGGAGACACGCGAATACACAGCATACAATATACAACTTATCTTGGCTCACCTACAGTCATTCACTGTTCACTCAACGTATCGTACCTCACGTGCCTAGCCCTTTCATCTGCACCGGTGCCCTTCAATGCATCGCAACGCCATCCCAATCTAGCCCTAGGCATGCAGCTAACGCACTTGCGTTCTGGAAGGCCAGGTCCGGAATGTGAGTGAATGGTGAGCGCAACCAAAACCATCTCATCATCTCCAACTCTCTTCTCCCCAGCAGTATGGTGTATGTAGCATAACTAGTTGGTCAAACGAGGGTAAAGCCGCCCACAGCACACGCACCACGCATCACACTGCCTTGACATAGTCTCTCTCCCCCCTTTTCCGTTCGGAGCGGGAGGGGTTTAAGCTCTAGGACACAATCAGCATCCCCCCTTCGCAGAGCTAACCTTATTGGCATCGCAGGGCGAGCCGAACATGTAGGTATGTGCTTGTTGACCGGCGAGGTCTCATAACATAGGTCAATCGCACAGACTGGATGGTAAATCGCCTTATTACGGTGGAGGTGAGACATGGACACTGGCGGGTTGGGTACAAGTACGATGGTACCAAGCCGAAGTTATTGCCCTGCTAGGTAACCAATGCTTACCCCCTGCTACAGGACTTCTCTGTTGGTGAATATTTCCCCTTTATTATGATGCCAGCTATGGGGTGTAATATCATAGGGAGCAATGACTTTCCCCTGCTACCTGGTACTTCGTATTGCCATGGTGAGAATGACACGCATATGCTGGGCATGATGCATTTATTCACTGACAATGCAAGCGTGGCGCTGCTGATGGGTTATCCCGTAATCATGGCAAGTGTCAATTCAGACTAATGGCGCGCTGACCATTGTGCTGCATAATGTAGGTAAGCAAGCCATCTCGTCTACGTTGATTGAACCACATAGGGTTTACCGAAGACGGACCGGGGCCCGTCAGGAAAGGTACATGGTAGGTCGCTCGCCGTTCGACTTGGAAGTTAATCCTCACCCGGGGAACTGTGTGTGGGCAGGTGATCGAAGGTCATCCTGGTCGGAGTAATGCGTCCAAACACGGGCCTTGAGTTACGGCACGACAACTTACCGGGAGTATGGCCGAAAATTAATTGCATGTCAAAATACCTAGACTCATCCAATTGCTTCAGTCAAAGCTACAACTCGGGTGGCAGAAAACGTAAAGGCAGTTCGATGGGCATAGCGTTTGGCGGACGACCCCCGCCAGTGTGCTCTTCCACGTCCCGCCCAGTATTCGCCTAGACGTCGCCATTCATGACACTCGTCGGTTGCACCATGGCCGTATACTGCTGGCCCAATATAGCCAGTTTCGTTCTCGCGTTTTCCCATGTCCCAGGGGCCACACACGCCATACCGTGTGTGGCGCGCTAACCACCATAAAGGGGATCGTGGGGACCAACTACTCTCCAATATGCCACTTTTAGCAGCGTGCTGACGTGCGTACCTTGCAAGCGCCTGTGCGTTTTGTTACACCAGCAGGCACCTGGATGGCCATGTTGGAATCAAGGAAGGTCGAAGCCAACGCGCCAAGGCGATCAAAAGGCGCATTGTGGCGGCGTGTGTGTGTGTTTGTGTGTGTTGATCGAGGTGATTGTAGGGGCGCGCGTCCATGTTCTCGTACCGCAAGCTGGCAAGCCAGACGTTGTCGGTCATGGATGTAGCGAGGCGGAAGCAAACCCTATACAGTCCTGTCTGGCTCTGCCTAGGACCACGTACGATGTACTTTACAGAGTCGAGGAGTGGAGCGTGGTTAGGCGACGGCTATGCAGCATCCATGTCAAGGCATCCTAGCCTATACGCAGATTTCCGACGCCCCAAAGTGATGAGGCCCAAGGTTCACCCATACATATGTACATACAACCTGGTGGCTCCCACCACGCATCTACAAAGACTTCATCCTGAGTCTTGTTACGACAACCTTGGATACCTGGCCGCCCATTGCCCGTTGTCGGAGCTGCCTCCGATGTGAGGGCGGCGGCGGCGGCGGCGGTGGTGGTGGTAATGGTGGTGGTGGTGGGGAGGGGGGATGATCATCTCGCATGCGCACGGATGAGAGGGACGGGCGCAAGGTGGCTAGCGTTGAAGGCAAATTTACGTGCTGGCTTACGAGCAGTAGCAGTAAATATTAGGACGTCCGAGGGCAGTCGGCGTTTGTCGGCAAGTGAGCTTTTGTGCCCCAATAACCCAATTCTGCTGGCTCAGCGACGACGTGACTGTTAGCTACCTACCTAGTTATGCGGTAGATCGAGGCACTGAATGAATGCCTGGATGCCTGCATTTATGCCTGGCGGCTTTGGTTTTCTTCCTCAGGCACGCACATACGGGAAACACCTCCCGTGTGTACTTGGGGGCCTTGAGGTAAGCGGAAGCCTGAGGCCTTGGACCCCTGGGACTCGGGACTCGCTGGCATCAACGTCTGGCCTCGCATCGCTTCACATCGCATTGCATCACGTTGCAGCCAGTGTGCTACCTACACTATTGTACTGTATCTCCCTCTTTCTCTTATTCACTGCTCGTGCGCGTGCCTCCTGTCGGCATCCCGGATATCCGTGCATTGTACTGACAGGTGCCTACAATGCCGGTCGTATGTGTGTTCCTTAATATGAAACTTGACAACAATAATACACCCCAGCTCTCAAGCCTTTTCTCTTTCCTTTGCTGTTTTCTCTTTCGCCCATTAAGGCACTGTCAAATTCGCAGCTCGGTCCTGCGGGCATTCGGAGCCAGCCCCAAGCCATTGATTCTGCAGCCGGACATGGAGATTGCCGGGGGGCTGATTCGTTGGGGTTACGGCCGGAAGTAGGTGCCTACTGCTCCGTCCATTCCTCATGAATCCATTCATCTATCTTTCATTACATCCCATCTTCTCGCACGTGACTGTTGGTTACGACTCAAGCTCGCATTATCCCGAAAGCTCTCCAAAGCCTCCATGGAGGCACGATGAACGCACTCGGGCCATGGACCCGGGATCGACGCGCTCTTCACGCCGCATCCTTGGCCTGCCGGATGGATGTATGATCCCTAGACGCTGACTCCCACGGGCTTCTGTCTGCCTTGTTTTTCTCGCTCCCGACGGCTTCGATTCCGTCGAACCAGGTAGGTAGACAGGTATTCCCAGCATCGTTGGTTTGACCCCGGTGGAAAGTGGCCAATTTAAATCCCCAAACAGCATGTGTGTATATCTATGTATCGGCGCCAGAGCGGTAGCGGGAGCAAGAGTCATTCCACCCCCCTGCTTCCATCGTTATAGCGAAGATCGGCCCTCTCATCTCAACATTCTCGTCAGCCATCCCTTAGCTTCGCTACCGCCCGAGAGGATAACCCGACCATGTAGGTGTTGAAGGGCAAAGAGTGTTGCAAGACACCCCACCGACGGCGTCGTCGTTGGTTTAGCGAGCGCAGGCCCGAAGGTCCGCAAGAATTAGCCGTCGGCGACTTCACGACAGCATCGATCGAGTCGAGTAAGTCGTGTCCAGTGACGACAACGCAGAAGCCATGCAAGGCCGCCAATCGTATCCGTCCCCGAATGACGGCACCGGCTGTCGGGACCATAGCTCCATGTCCGTCGTGCTTGACTCCAACAGGAGGAGGTCTTCTCTCCATCCACAGACTCCAAATCAATCACGTGGATCACCATTGTGTAGGAAGCAACCCCGACCGACTGCAATTACCCCATTCTGGATCAGATTTGTCACCCACTCTAAACTAGAATTTAGTGTCGTTAGCTGGCTACCTGTCTCTCCGTGTTCGGGCCCTCTAGCAGCTACGCAAAAGAAGCAGGCAGCCGAGAAAATCCCCCTCGTTCATCAGTCGTGGTGGTGAGTGGGTGGGTGGTGTGCCACCCTGCGTGCGAGTGGCCTGATTTTTGTCGTTATTCCTGGGGCATGTTGCGCCGAGTCGAGTGGTCTCGTAGCCCGCTGAGGTGAGGCCTTGGAAAGGGCCCGAGCAGACGCTGTCTGGCTTTGTTTAGTTGCTCGCCCTGTCGTCCGTCCTCGGTTCGCCTCACGTGGTGAGACCCTTCAACGAACAGACGCCTGGACATCAAGGATGAGTGTGTGCCTGTGCTGCGACGACCTTGAGAGGGACCGCTTTGGCAACGCGCATTAACCTCGACATCAAAGTAGAGCGAATCCACGGATACTCCAGTTACAAATAGCAGCAAAAAGGCATGGCATGCATGGTGGGGGTTCGAACAAAGAGAAGATGGGCCACACCCGAGGTGGAGGCGGGGTTTCCGCATTCCGCGGGCCTCCGTGACTGCATGGTGTGTATCTGTATGTACTATACTACCTACTGAGATGATGCTACCACTATGTACACTAGATCGCATCAGCATTCAGCAGAGTGGTTCGGGCTACACTGTACCATTTCCGGTTGTCTCCCTTCTCTTTTCTTTTTTTTTTTCTCCCCCCCCCCCCCCCCCCCCCCTGGCTTCTTCCATCTCGCCGATGTGCCCATTTAACCTGATGATTCGGCCTTCTGACCCGTTCAACCAATCACCTGCCTGCCCGTACGTGGATAGTTTGACTGGTATCGTCTACCATCACATGAACGATGATGGCACTCACTTCTTTGCTCGAGGGGACGTTAACAGGCAACAGGACAGGGGGCGAGAGGTAAGAGCCGGGGTTTTGGAGGACTGAGGCACAGCGAGGCCGAGAAGTTGAGACGATATGGCGGAGGGGTCGATGGCCGTTGACCCAAGTACTTCCCTTCTCATTCTCACGATGGTGCGGGTACAGTGGGGTGGTGGATACGCCCATGAATGATCAACAAGATACAAGACGGAAGGCAAAATAGTTTAAGCACAAGAGCGAAGAGAGACCCCATGCGCCGCGCGTGCCCAACCCTCTCCCCCTCCCTCCGCCCTTCTCCCCCTCCCCATCTCGTCCCATCCTGCTTGCCCCACCCATGCTTCCTCCTTTCACCGGCCCTCATGTTGCCTCATCTTGGCTGTGCGTGCAGCACTCTAAATCTGCGCCCGCTCGCTCGCCCGCAGCGCTCCTCACCCTGCCTGTTCCCCGTCGACAAGCGCCCCATGGCCTCACCCCAGTGCCTCTCGTCCTCGACTTCGTCCCCGTTCCGGTCCCTGTCACTGTCCCCGCCCCGGGACGACCTGTCCCTACGCGTCGCATTTGTTACCCGAGCAGAGAACTCTTGGGTAGGTCCTGTCACCATGACGGGGGCTTGTCAATGTTTCTGATGGTTCCTGCGGTGTAACCAACCCGAACGATTTGCGTACGACTCGCGCCAGCACGGCCGGCCCCCTCATGAACTCGGCAAAAGAAACCATGATTTCGTCTCGCATCTCGTCGCTTGCCCCCTCCCCCCTTCTCCCTCCTCACGATGCCCATGCTGATGCCGATGCCCGTATGCCAAGGCAGCATACAGCGTGCTGACATGGTAGCTGCAGTCCAGGCTCGAGCTGGGTCCCACGTGAACCAAGCTCCTCTGATTCTTCCTTCCTCCGTCTTGAGCTCCAATACAACTGACAAGATCGGGGCTCAGACCCCGACGGCGTGCCATCAACAAGCGACTGAGGACAAGTCCTCGCGTTCGCGGCCTGTATGTCAAGAGCCCATTACTGGTCAAGGCCGAGACAAACAGAGAACAAGATGGCATCCTGGATCAAAGAACCAACCCGGCTGAGGTGCCAGTGCGGCTACATGCCCACGGCCTCGACTGAACTTGCATGGTATATCCGACTTGCAATGTATTTGCTACACCATGCTACTGTTACTTTTATGATGATTACGATTGTTATTTACTATCATTGTTGTTGTCGTTGTTGCTGTTATTATTGTTACTGTTATCATTATTATTACTACCATTACTACCCCTACTGCCGTCCGCCAGCTAGACTTTGCTAGACGTACAGAACGGGGCAGAGCCGCCAATTAATCCATCCGGTCTCGATCTCGATGGCATGTTGTTGTGTTAAGCCTTACAAGTGTCACATCTTACCTGGTTGACGGGAGGGTTAAGATGCCGTGCCACGTTGGCTGCAGCACGCCTGCAGCACGCCTGCAGCGCAGCTTGCATATAGGGGCCGCACTAAACATTTAGGTCCCGTGCAAGGCAACGATGACGCCGGACAGTAACCACCTAACTGGTGGGAGCCGTGTAACACACAAACAAACAAACAAACGGAGAGAGTTGGCAATTCGTTCTTTCCCCGGCCAGATCTGGCGCACAGCCGTGATCCCATTGGGTTCCCGTCGAGCGGCTCATACCCTGTGTTACCCAAGCTACCTAGTCCAAGGTCCAGAGATTTGTCTCGCTTCGAGAAGGGGGCGCGTATGGCTCCCCTGTCTCCCCCCTCTACTCCCCCCATAATGCGCTCTCGCCCCAGTATCCACACTGACCGCCGACCACCGGCGACCTTACCATTGGCCATTGATCATTGGAAAAGATTACGTGTGACCCGGCGACGGCCCCGCATATCATCTTCCAGTTCCACGCCACGGGTACTTCTCTCTTCTCATTCTTATTCTTCTTCTTCTTCTTCCCGCAACCATGTCTCATCCAAGTCTTCCTCAACATACTTGCGAATGCCTAGGCCATGAGTTGGTGTCCCGAGGGCCTGTCACGGTCCACTATCAGCCGCCCTGACCCCCGGCAAGAAGCTTCGTCGTCGCAGAAGTGCCGTGCGGTGCAATGCGGCTGTTGTCACCGCCATCATCTCGCTTCGACTCGACCTCATGGCGATATCCGCACACCACAACGCTATACAGGCGCTGCTGCGTGCATCCGGTTGTTTGGCCAGACTCAGGGCCGTTTTTGAAGTGCAGACCCCACCTCGTCTACTTATTTTAGATAGCGTAGGCCATCGTGATGCCCTCTCTCCCTCGGTCTTGCCTTCTTTCAATTTGTCCGTCCGTCCGTCCGTCTGTCTACCTCTCTGCTTCCCTGCTTCCCTAGGTACTCACCTTCCTCTCTCGCAGTCCCCTGTGATGTTTCCCGGTACCTCTTCTCTCCATTCCCCGCGCCACACCAGTCTCGACTGCATCGTGACCTTGCTTCGTCTCGCCCGTTCTGGCAGTCTCGCAAGCACATCTTCACCTCAGCCCAGGCCACACCGGATCAACCGGGAGGGTTTGTTCAAGTCGCGACGGGGGGCTATGGCAATCAATCAATCAAGCAAGCATTCTTGTCCCAAGGAAGGGGATACCCCCGTCTTGTCGTATGCCCACCTACACTCGGCAGTCAATCGACCCTCCCCTGCCCGGCCTTCTTGGCCCCCGTCTCAATGTCGACCGGTACAACAGTCACCTGCACCACTCGCTAAGTAAGCCGGCCCTTGACCCCAGCTCCCGCTCGCAAGCGACATAGACGGCCAGGCCGACAGTTAGAAGAGAATGTGACAGCCGCCGCGGACTCCGCGGCTTCTTAATGGTTGCCGTGCTACGCCCTCCCACGCTATGCCATGTTCAATCTGGCGTGGCATGCGGTGCGCTCAACATTGCCTGCCACTGCCACTATAGCTGTGCGGTGAAGGCTGCCTTAGACTTGCCGCCATGCCGCCGAGATCTTGGCCTGATACATGGAAAGAGTTTATGTCCGTTGTCACTTGGGTGGTGTAACGGTGTGTAGCACAGAGAGAGAGAGAGAGAGAGAGAGTCTAGGTCAGAGGAGCAACAAGCTATCGGATCCTCGTCGCGCATCTTCCTCCGCCGGCGGCTGCATTTGTCGTCCGTCATCACAGAGTCAAATCAAGTCGAGTCCTGAGATGCCTTTGTCGTGCATTCCCCTTGCCCACACTCCTCTGCCCCCCCCCCCCCCCCCCGAACTTCCGGATGCCGGTCGCTATGACCGCCGCCGGCGCCGAACGACTACCACGACCACCGCGCATCGCCTTTGTGGCCCCCTTCCCCCAGCCTCGCCAACCCCTCTTTCTGGCCGTGAGCTCCGCCGACACCCTCAAGGCGTTCCTCTCGTTTCGGACCAGCAGGTTTCAAGCTCGGGTTCGCTACGCTCGGCTAGCTCGTCAAGGCGACGCCGCATGGTGCGAAAAGTTTCTGTGGTGCGGGTGTGGCGGGGGGGGCACAGCAAAATGGGAACACGTTACGCAAGTGAAGGACGACGACGACGACGACGACGACGACGACGGTGTGTTATCTTGATGCCAAGTGCCAAGCCTTGGTGCTCTTCCTGCTCTCATCACCCAAAAAAAACTTTTTTTCCAAGACCTCACAGCTCTCCTCTCCTACGTTCACTCCCACATTGCGCAGTCACTTCGCCAAGAAATGAGTCTTGCTTTCAGATCGCTGCGTCTAGATGAATGATGGACCCACGCCTCTGCGGCTATTGATACCACTTTCGGCTTCACTTTCTTCGTCACCATCAGCCCGATCTTGGCTGGGTTTAATCGACTTTTCCCTCCCCTTCTCCCCCGCCGCGATACATACATAGTAGTATACACTACACATTGCCTTCCTACCTGCCAATCCGACGTTAATGTGCATCAGGTGTACCGAGAAGGCTAGCGGCTCTGCTTCGTTCGGTGCTAGCTTCCATCCCGGATATGTTACCTGCTTGGCTCTTTCCCTCACCCTAGGTTCGGCAATTTTGCGTCCGTCATGCCTTTCATCATCTCTAGCATGACGCCGGCGCGGTCAGGACGACACGCAAAGGAGAGAGGGAGAGGGGGACAAATCATCATTCAAGGCGGTCCTCAGCTGGCTAGCCCGCCTTAGGCTAGCACTGGAGAGCCACGGCCTCCACTCGATGCCCCCTCCCACCGCTGTCGCTTGCAGGCACATGCAATACTAGACTATGTGAACTAGTCTACGAGGTATGCATTCTCGGTCTACCAAACCTTCTGGCCTTGATCAATCATCATCATCGAACCTGCTGCCATGGACTTAAAGGAGTAGCAACGATTCCGGATACTCTCTCAGTGATGAGCCCCCCCCCCCCCCCCCAGCCCTCACCCCTGACGTGTTCCTGGTGAACCGTTTCCCTGGGCCCGAAGCCAGCCCCCCGTCGCTCATCCATCACGGTCAGTGTAGGTGTCTGTCTTGTGGGTTGTGGTCGAGTGGGGCAGGAAGGACGGAAGCAACCTTTTACAACAGAAGAAGACAAAGAAGACGGCAAGCTTGCCCCTGGCGTCGAATCCATGTGCGCCCGTTGGGCATGTACAGAAATTGCCTTGTAGTAGTTGGCGGGGTGCGTGTAATTAGACAGCCGACAAAGGTGCCAAAGGGTGCCCGTCTCCGCCCCCTGTCCAACACCGAGTGGAAGTCTGCGAGTGTACGGAAACCTCGCCCAGGCCTCGAGGGGTCCGTCCGGTCCGCAGATCTGATCAGGGATACACTCCCACAAACCCGCGAGAAATGGCGCAGGTAATGAGTCTTGAGTTATTACATCTACCGGCTTCTTCATCTATTTTTTCACCTTGGTTCTAATTTCCTTGCACTGCCTAGTCTGCCTTATTCGCAAGGGGATTGCCCCAGAATGCAGTTGAAACTGGTTTTGGATCCCGAACCCCCGGACCTGGTCGGTGGACGGGTATCTGTGTTGTGTTCGTACACTGCCATTCTCGCTGTGACCCTGCACGTATGCCTCAAGCGGTAGGTTTACCCGCCAGTCAAGCAGAAATCTAGTGTTCGTCAACCGCTCGCCTCTACTGGGCACGAGGGGAGGGGGGCTGGGTGCCGGCCCCATGTCACGCTGTTCGACATGCAGAGAGAATTTGCCCGAGGCGGTTGCACCGATGCAACTCAACTCCTTCACGTACATTCATTCATTCTCAACTGACTGCCCTTAGCACCCACAAGCGCGCGCCGGACGGCATTGCTGGGCAGTGGGATGAAGAGTCGGAGAACCCGGAACCACCTTGGAAGAGCCTTGCTCCTGCTCCCGTTGTCTCCTTGGGGTTGCATGATCTCCTCTCCTCCCTCAAGTCGGCGCCAACTCGACCCCATGCCCCTTCCCTCCCCATCTTGCTCGTGACCTCTAACCCAGCTGACCTATCCCCTCCCTGGTCCAATCAACTGCGTGCACAGGTCCCAGCGAAAAGGGCTGATCGACGCTACACCATCTCACAGAGCGGCATTGTCCACCAAAACGTCCGGGAGGTCTCATCGCCATAATCTCGAACTGTGTAAGCAAAGGGAACGGTTCCAAAGGCGGCAGGGATCTGTTGCTTCTCTGCCATCCGACACATGCAGCCCGTGTAACTTGGGTGTAAGTAGCGTACACCAGCACCCCAAGGTCAGGGGGGATGTGCGTACTTGCAGTAGATTCTGTAGATGGGAAAACAGGCAAAGAGAGGGAGCAGGATCCGGAGGGAGAAAATCGGAAAGGCGCTCATCTGGGCCCTCGCTGCTGCCGACCAGAGCGCCCCAGGTCTCCAAGCATATATCATGTATATGTGCCTTGCCTCGTAACTCTTCCCTTTCCTCTTCCAGGATGACACTTAAAAAAAAAAGAAAAGAAAAAAAAAGAAAAAAAAAGGAAAAAGACAGGTACAAGGGAAGAAAAGTCAACAGTGGTTATGGGGCCCAACAGAGCAGGGGGTGGTTAGCGCCCAGCCACTTGGGGAAAAATAGACACAGGAGAACAGCCGATGAAGACCAGAAGAAAAAAAGGTGTTACCCACGTCGCGCTCACGACAACCACACCACCACCCACACCACGCCCGCACCCACACCCGCCCACAGTCAAAATCCAAGAAAAGAAAGTCTGGCAAAAAAAAAAAAAAAAGTCTCTATGGTACCAAGCCCGCGATCTCACAATCTGGAGTTCGCGCTAGCGGCCCAACTTACCAGGACCCCGACCTTGCCAAGCTTTCCATGTGGGCTTGGGGTACTTTGCACTTTGTAGTGTAACTTCACTACACCGCATCAAACCAACCCATCTCGCTCGCTCATCTGTCTCGTCAACGTCCGGCCGTCGAAGCCCTCGCTATCCGGACACGATGTATGAGAACCCGCGCTCCGAAGCGTTTTGAAATTCGCTACCGGCAACCGTGTTCCTCCTCCTCTTACTCGCTAGGCACGCGAGAGATGAGTATTGGCAGAAAATCCACCGCATCACTCTCGGCTCACGTTCCAAGCAAATGGTCAGGGCATGTAATAGCAGTAGCGTAGCACTCCGAAGAGCGTCCCATTTCCCGTCCGGAATCCATTGGTAAAAATACGTCGTTTTGGTCGCCGACTACGGTGGGGAATCACGCGCGGCACGGACAGGGTCGCCCATCACCAACTTCAATCACCATCGCCATCGCCGCCGCCAAGGAGATACACTTTCGTTTTCGTCTTGCTCATCCACATCGCATTCCCCGTTTCATTTGCCATCGCCCCCGCCGTCGTCGGCTATACAGCGTGCTACCGGCTCACGCAGTATCACTCTGGTGGGACCCGTGCCCGCAAGTCCACTGCGGTCGGCGAGCATCTTTCATGTTATTTACACCCCTGATCAACCGGTCACTTTCCCATCGATCCCACCTCCCCCTACATACAATCTACATCGAGCATGTAACGGTCCGCTACAAGAGCCACCCTGGACGACAGCAAACCCCCCCCCCCCTTTTCTCCTATCCGCCACTGATTTGAACGTATTGCACGGCTGCATCCACATGGACCATCGTTTACCTACTCATACCCAGTCGGCCGGATTCATCCGGCATGTGGGCCACCGCCCTGTACTTTGGGATTTTGGAATGCTCGAATGTGCGTCTAATTGTCCGCAGCCGCGTCTTGTGGGACATTCCTGTTGCTTTCGGCAAACACACACCCATCAGTCTGTCTAGGTACCGATGTCTCGTTTTCTCCCAGGCGGCTTGCAACCCGCCAACGGTCGCCAATACATGCCGTAATTCATCAGGATGCGACCCAACGCCTGGATTCCTTGTTCAAATCGGTCTAACATACAAACCGCAGTCTGCTCATTGCAATGATGGCCTTGATTCCGCACACTAACATACCGCACTACCTACCTGAGAGCAGACTGGTCACTACCTTAGACAGTAAACAAGGTGATGGAGGGTGCTCAGGCGAAACCCACAGCGACATGCATGCCCAGGCACGGCAAGATTAGTGCCGCCATCGGAGGGCTAATCAGCCCGGCCGACCCGGGGCTTGCTCCAGGTTGAGACGACGCCATACCAGCCGTGAAGATCCATGTCCGTGCGTTCTCGTGTAGGCACACCTGCAATACACGACGCCGAGCTCTATCTCGCTCGCTCACCATGCTTCTTGTTTACTAGTGCAGCATCGCAGCTGCTGCCATTGGCCATCACCTCTCTCGAAGGGGTGTCTCAGTTGAGTCGCACCTGCTTCTCAGTCGGCCTTCATGAAGAACCATGGCCGGCTGGCTGCCGATTCATCTGACGTGTAGCGCTCTGCCGGTACCTTCATCGGGATGGGCATCGTTGTTCCAAACACACCCTCAAGGCACCGTGATTCGTCCTGGTCGAGTTGTTGTTGTCGCCGTTTCTCCTGGCTGTCTGTCACTGTCACAGCCGGACCCCCTTCACCTTTCGACATCGGCGCCTGCCCCTGTGCATCTTGGTCGGCTCCCGGCCGTGTCCCGGTGTCCGCGGAGCCCGGCAGGTTACCATCCACAGCGACTAAGACGCCGCACTCCCAGTTACGACATGTGAGCTTGGGCGCTCCTGACTCCCGTTCCTTCACTAACCGACCCCTAAAATCCAATTTGAGTCAGCCTTATGGTAGATCCACGCTGTTTAATTTTGCTGCTCTCCGTCTCTTCAATCTCCTCCCAACAACCCCCTCCCTGCCCTTCGCCTCGTCGCCGAATGCAGCGTTAGGGGCTGTTGCCAACCGTGAGGTGTCCCGTATGACTTACCATGCGCTCTCAGATAGATTTGCACTACCCATATATGCCCAGGCTGCGCCGTCGCGCGCCCGGACAAAGATGGCTTTGGTGTGTAGAAGCAAACCGCTTCTAACACTCTGGCAATCTCGGAGTAATTCTCGTGGGAAAGTGGACGATTTCCACCACTTCTCTTGGAAGGAGATGGTGCCGGCAGACTGGGCCATCATGTAAGATGAGCATACAGGGAAAACACAAGGGAATTTTGGCAGCAGGATCGACCGGTACCGCGGCGATCCCGGGCTGCAGACAACTTACAGATCTACCGCCCCGGCTACTGGAAACGGTACGCTCGGTCGGGAAGTAAATACGGACATGGCGCTGCAATTGGAGCGGCTCATTGCAGACCAGTCTAGAACCGCCCAGGCCTGCTTTTGCGGCCTTGTTTCTGGCCGGTTTAAATTGCCTGGCATCGTATTCCTTGATACCCGAATCCCCTACAAGAGGCCGCGGCACGTTAGCATGAGGTTTCCTACCTTATCAAATGACAGCAGGCTTGCTAAGAACCAGACATACCTTGGCATGCATAGTAAATCGCTTTTAAATAGGCATGGTTCAACGAACCCAGTGAAGATGCCTAAGATGACAAACTGATTAGCAACGCCCCATGCCACGCGGGCCGCCAAGACCCTGACAGTCTTCTAAGCCAAGATAACGCTTGCGTACCACGTAGTCAATATCCACGGCATCCTCAGTTGCTAGACCCAAGCTTCGGACGGTACTTCCTAGCCCACAGTAGCCTAAGGTCAACAGTTAGTAATATTTCAACACGCCACGGCCGTGTAGGCCTCGCATTCCGGCCAACCGCGGGTTGACTGGCCTGTGTGCTGCCAAGAGTCATTGGCATGGCTGCCTGCACTGAATATCGATGTCACCGTCAGTCATGGGATCATCTCAACTAGGATCGTACTGGCGCTGACTCACATAGAATGAACGAAGCCGTAGCGGCTTGTCTCGGTAAAGTCGTAGTTGTCGAGACTCTTGACCAGCTTTTCGTCCAGTCCAAGAGCTCGTAGGAATCGCCGGAGCTCGGTTCCAAACAGCGTCTCGGCCGGAGGCGCAGCCTGCTGAGTGCTTTCGAGCTTGGGCAAGTCGATCAGGAAAACCATCTGCTATTGATCAGCGGAATGGCCAAGGATCTGCCAACTATTGGGGGAGGGGGCAAACGTTTTCTAGTACTCCAGTCTCGCCCCAATCATATGGAACCAGATTACCGGAAGGAATCACAATGCGGAGATAACTGTAAATCAATCAACAGCTGCCGGTAGCTTAAATAATGAAGACCAACGTACCCTTCATACTTCAGAATCTGCAGCTTCGAATGCATGTATCCGCCGTACATTGGCGGAAAGCAAAATCGGACAAGGCCAGTTGGGGCGTTTGCGCGGATGGCAGCTTTCTGGAGTAGTGAATTGCAACGTCAGTCATGGCTTCCAACTTAAGCCAATACAAGACCGATTGCGGCTTGTTTTATATCAGAAGACACACCTCAGCCTCGTTGTTTGCATAAGCAACGAGCAGCAGCCTAGTCTGTCTGACGTTGACCTTGGAAAGGAGCCACTCCTCGTCCCACTGGAAAGATAAGAGTACAGCCAGCTGTAGCTTGTCCTTCTGAAGAATCTCCTCGATCTTGATGTCCTCGCCGATCCTAGGATATCCAAGAGCCCAAGTCCGCTTGAACGCGCCTTTTGGGAATGGTAGTTGAGGCACGTGTCTTGCTGCAGTTGCTGCTTCTAATGAACCGAAGGTGGCGCTGGAGGGCCGGTGCCCTTTGGGTGCTTCAGCTCGCTGTATCTTTGGTCTTTGATGCTGATCATCAAGCTGAGCTTGAGTTGCTGAACGTTTCTTGAGTCTTGCAAGCCGCTCTTCCTCCATCCTCTTTCTATCGAGCACCAAGGATCCAAAGTTGGTAGCGGGGGCTGGCTTTGGGATATGTTCTGAAGGTCTCTCGGTAGAAGAGGTCGTTGTCGTACCCCCGATCTTCAGGTTTTCTTCTTCCTGCAAGGAAAGCGCAATGGCCAAGGCAAGATCGGGATCATCATCGGGACCTGGCGATGAAGAACGCGCCCGCTCGCGGTTTGAAGCCATGCTCGTTATCGTGTGCCGGAGGCGAGTTCGTTACAGTGACGACTTCCTCGATCTCTACTTACTTGGATGGCAGTTTGATCAAATCCACAATTGGTGATCACTCAGCTAGTCGTCTTTGATATGGCAATCAGATGTAATGGTGGATGTTGAGCATTGTGCGACGTCCATATGCAGGCGACGTGTAACGGGGCACTTCGAGTGGACCTGCCTGTCACGAAGTCATGTGCTTTCGTGTTGCATGTCACCCCGATATACGCACATCCTTGCTGGTGCGGGGGTTTATAATCGGGTAAGTGCATGTAGCTGAATGCCCAACCTGTCGACAGATAGCTTCTCCCTAGATTGACTGGCTATTCTGAAATGGAGCTTATGATCTCCCTAATATCAATTTAGATGACTTCTATGTCTGTTTAGTAGTGGTTCTTCTCGCTTCTCAAAACATGGTATCCGCCTAAGAATCAACACAACCCTTTGAACCCTGTATGGCTACTAGCAACAGTAGGGTTCCGAAAGAATCATCTAACAATAAGTGCACAGCCTTATAAGGGACAGCTACATTTTCCAACTGACTGTCGAGGCCCATCGCACCAATCGTTGGTCTGAGCTGTATACGGATTCGGAATTTCCGAGGAACCTGTATCACAACACAATAAACAGACTATATTGCCAAGAGAAAACCCCCTAGATGATTGCTACTATCAGGAGATAAGGAACCTAACGGGAGGAAACCCCGTCTAAATTACGTCTGCAAGAGATTCCGCGGTCATATAGACCAACAGAGCTGTACAGAGTGACTCCAGAATGAGATTGCTTCTATGCTCAAGGCCTGGACCTGTTGTATAAGCCACAAGGTAGCTTGCCATCAAAATAAACCTTCCGATGCCGTCGATTCGGTAGAGATTTTGCACAAAGCCCGAGAACTTGTAGCCCTAAGTATCTTTTGAGAAGCATGTAGAAGGCTCTCGGCAAACTAGTTTCCCTAGTAGGTATGCTTACCGGATAATACCCGTGGGACATCACCCAAGAGGTCAAATCATCGGTAAAATCATTGAAGGGACCATGTCAGATCTGTGCCTCGTTCTTATTGATATCGAGACTGGGACATGGTTTGTCTTATTCGAAGAGACAATAGGTGACAATGCAGTCAGCCCGCCCGCCAGGTTGATGCCTACATCAGAGACCAAACCAGACCGCTAATATAGTTCGCCCCATCGTCAAACGGTTGTTCCACGACTTACTCATGGAGCTTGTACACCATGACCTTGGCAGCTTTTTATTAGGCTTACCATGATAACCCTTGATAATGTCGACAACTTCGGTAGAGGATGGTTTGTAGGTCCCCCAAACAAAAGGCATACTAATCGGTCCTAATCCCGAAAAGTCATCCGCAACGTCTTAGGGTGAGTGCAATGACAGAGAACACCTCAAATGGCACCACGAGACCACTGCTGGAGAAACAAACACGTGCTGGACCTTGAAGCCAAACGCAACACAAGCACATTATATCTTCGAAGATGCACATATGGAAGCTCTGAGCCCATACACCACGGCAAGACATACGAGCAGGACGCGCGTCTCTACCCCAAAATGTCCTTGAACAGCAGCAATTAACGGTATCAGCTTCTCGAGGTTGTGAGCAACGACAAACCAAGAAACTACAAACCTTCTTGCTTACGCTATATAGACCTCTGAACCTCTGACGAGAACACTGAGGACCAAACTCTGGAACGGAAGAAGCGGCGCTGACTGGGTCGTTGACAGCGGCACCACCTCTGCACGGTGCCGAGAACATTGTTCCTGCATGAAAGCGGCACATCTAGTTCGATGCTTCAGACTAAAGCCTCGTTCCACGACCCTACAATATGGTATTGAAAGACCACTGTCGCCGCTGCCCGCCATTCGGAGACGCAGTATCGCAAGTTTAATATGGAGGACTTCCTCAAATGCCCACTCTTGTCCCGACGACATGATCTACCCTGAAAAAGAGGAACGAAGACAAAGCCCCAACCATCATTAAAGTCCTTACAAGTACATCAATCAACATGGCAACAAATACAACATACCCAGGCTATATGGAAAAGGAATTTGGAATTGTCCTAACTGAAGAAAAACATCAATGTCGCTTTCGGGTATCAAGTTGAATTTCAGGTCAGCATGTAAAGCAACCGCCAGCCTGCCGCTGCCCGCAACCCCAAGACACCCAACAAGACAAAAAGAATAATCATCAGATAGTAACCGCATAGACTCCTGTTCCATGCCAGTTGGTATCAAGTAGCCTTGGCGTCCTTAAAAAAAGGGCCAAGAATACTAAGGCACCGTGTAACGCCCGAGTTGATGAGTGTAATGCAACTGGCTTGTTAGTAGTCCACCCACAACGACTGCCTATGAGTATAGAGGGCGATCTCCGGACTTGGCGGTTGCCAATGGCGATTCGAGTTTAAGAATACGTCGCAAATTGTCCTCCATTGCGCGTAGGTCGGCAGAGTGACCACTCTGGGATTCAGGAGTGCTTCCCATAAAACCGTTATGAACATACTGAGCTGGAGCGCCAGAAGCTGACGGCTGGGCAGGCGAAGCTGGGCCTTTAGGTCCGAACAGATACTTTTTCAGAGCCTCAGAACGGTCCTCGATCGGCGGGGGCTCCGAAGTTCTCGCGCCGTTTGGTGACTGATTAAGGGCGCCGCGAGCAGCCCGAATGCGTTCCTGATACGGCGTGGAGAAGGCAGGGCCAAGAGGCTTGCCAGAATGTCCGTCGAGCTCTGCGACGGAGATACCACTGGACGAACGCTGAAGGGGCATGCGATGTCCAGGATGAGTGTTGTAGGGCTTAGCAACAAATGGACTGTTGTAACCATTCTTTGGCGAGGGAGCAGCGGGAGATTCGGAACCGACAGGTCGCATTGACGACTGGAGAGAACTGGAACGCCGCGCCTTCTCCTTTTCAGCTCTATCAGCTCTGAAAATGGCGTCGAGAGGCGACTCCTGGGCCCTGGGTACAGTAGCGGGGTGCTGCGGTGTAGAGTGCTCATGGTCAGCTGGCGGAGGGGATGGTTGTTGCTGAGCATCTCGCTTCGGGCCCGGAGATTCAGGGATCGACTTCGAATAGAAGCTGGGCATAGGCAGAGCCGACGGAGCAGGCGAGGCATGGAAAGTCGCGCCAGCAAAGGCAGCAGCGGCAGCAGCAGCAGCAGCAGCAGTTGGCTTAGTGTTGACGGGAATGTTCTGCGGGGTCGAGCGGCGGTTCTGGCGAGTGACGTCGGGCGAGGCTACCGTATTGGGATTCTTGGCTCGGGGCTTGTTACGTGAACGCTGCTTGGAGCCAGCCTGGTTACCGGTACCAGACTGCGGCTCAGGGGAGCCAGAGTATGACTTCTGAGGGGTATGGGGATTGCCGTGATGCTCGTAGGCGAGGTTTGAGACGTCGGCCACGTCGTTCTCGGAAGCGTACATCTTCTGGCCGGCAGCCTTGCCGCCACCACCCCGACCCTGTCGGGGACGAGTGGGCGTCGGCTTTGCTTGGTTGGTTGTCTCTTGCATTCTGGGTAAGAAGTATTGCGCAATGCAATTGGTTGCGATGGGTTCGGGTAGTAGGAACCAGAGTCAGAGTTGGCGAAGAAACTGCCCCAGACTATGTTCGCTTGTGATGAAAGGATAGCGTGGCGAAAATAAAGATAGGGCAAAGTGTATAAGGCAGGTATCGGGTTGACTGTCTGTCTGTTGGTTGTTTCGGCCGCAAGGCTCTGTATGAGGGTGCGTGTATGTATCTAATGACTGTTTCGATAGCGCTAGCCAAAGATAATGGGCTTTTCTTTCTTGTTTCCCCGTGTTTTTGTTGGGTTCAAGAGCCAGGGGGATGATCTGTTTGAGGAGGCGGATTGGAAGAAAGGGAAAGCGAGATATAGAGGCCAGTGTTTGATGCAGGAAAAGCGCGTGAGTATTCTCTGCTCATGTTGCCGTGCGGACAGTAATGGGCTGAAGCGTCGAGTGAGGTGACAGCGAAGAGGACGGGGGCCAGGTGCGATAGCGTGCAGCGAAGGAGAGGAGAGGGGCTTAAGTAACCCGGGTGTTGGTGTGGGTTACGGGTTGGCCTCGTTCGGCAGCTGGCAGTAGTACATACGCACCGTACAGACAGGCTGACAGACAGACGCCGCCCATGGCATTGTACTCCGTAGTCTTCCAATTACTTATCGCAGAGTCCTCAAGTTCTTGGCACCCCCGATAAGAACCCCCCACAGTGTTAACATCAGGCCTCATGGTGCGCAAGATATTCCCCACTTGGGTTTTCTTCCCACAGCGTTTATTTAGCCCATGAGCCTTACCCCAATCCACGGACAAGCGCACATTGCCTCACCATCCTTGCTTTCCGTCGCCCAAGTTGGCCCCGGTGTACGGTGTGCGAGTCACAGCCCTGGGCTTTGAGAGGGTGAATGCGTCACTATCCTTGAGGGGCGAAGCCGCATGAAGTCCAGGAAACCTGGAAAACTTATGACGCCCGTTGCTCGGCTGGGTCAGGATGCTCAAAAGCTTGGAGGTCAAGCCTGACTTGACTTGGCTTCACATGTACGCGATGCCTGGATGTGGTTGGCTGTTCACCTCACCTCGGTGAGAATTGTTTGTTTTAAAAAGCGTAGTTGAGTGTGCACGCATATCACTGCTACCTATTACTGATTGGTAACTAGGAAGCTATGAAGCGCACATATTCTGTCTATGAAACCAAATAAAATCAGAAGTCCAAGATGGGTTCTGTGAGCCACTTGAGACATTGAAGGCACCCTCCCCGCTGCTTGAGGGGCTGGCCCAGTCCGATATGATCCTCTATACAGTGTGCGACGAGCGCAACCTACTTAGTCATGGACCCTCCAAGCAAGCTGATTTAGGCTCTGCAGCACTGCGACTACAGTGACCTTTCGTCCGCACCGTCCGCTAGGTAATACTTAGGAAAGCACATCAGGCAGCAGCAACAGCAGAGCATTCTCCGCGAACCCCTCTAGCAGGTCCACCCCACCCCGCCGTAGCTGTCGCCGGCACTTCCTTACGAAATCGGGCCGCCTTCATCACCAGTAAGTAGCCTTGCCTTCTTTGACCTTGTCTGCCCGCTGCCGCCATACCCAGACATCGCCAACACACACAAGAAGCCAAACCGACCGACAGCGACGAGCCGCAACAAGTACCGCGGTGGAGATCACCGATTTTTTCTACTTCCTCTCGTATGAGCCGCTTCCATCATCTCTGTAAGCGTGCCTGCCCGCTACCCGGAAGGCTAGACGACGTCGCCCGCCACCCTTCTGACGTTGCAGATCAGTGCTGCCTATCCACCCGTAACAAAATAGAAGGTGCGCATATCAAGAATTGCCCAAATGTTAGCCTACCCCCTACAGCGAAATTCCTACAGACTCTCCGAATCGATTGCAACCCGTCGAGGCCTCTATTCCCTCTGCCGGAACCGCGCCACTAAACAGAGTGCCCGCGCTGACCGCCTCAATTTAGTTCAAACCCGGCCGCGAACCTAGCTACCATCATGGCTGATGTCGACATGACCGATGCGCCCGGTACCGCGATTGCCAAGAAAACCGCTGATGGAGAGAGCAAGGTCGCTGAAGGCAAGAAGCGCTTCGAGGTCAAGAAGGTGAGAAGGTTGGCGTTGGCATGCCTCGCACAAGCTTACCAGGTCCAGTGGAACGCAGTTGCCCTTTGGGCGTGGGATATCGTTGTTGACAACTGCGCTATCTGCAGAAATCATATCATGGATCTCTGTGAGTTGATAGCCCACGCGGCAGACCCGAACCCTCCCCCCCCCATCTCCCCTCTCTTTCTGTTTCGGCATACTAATCCTCCTTACAGGCATCGAGTGCCAGGCAAACCAGGCCTCCGCCACCAGTGAAGAGTGTACAGTCGCTTGGGGCATCTGTAACGTGAGCCCTTCCCCTAATCACCATGGCGTATATTCTTACTGACCAAGTACGTAGCACGCATTCCATTTCCATTGCATCTCGCGTTGGCTCAAAGCTCGGCAAGTCTGTCCGCTGGACAACCGCGACTGGGAGTTCCAGAAATACGGCCGCTGAAGCGGTGGTGAACCCGGACGGTACGGCAACCGACAGCAGCGCAACATCATACCACAATGGCTGCGGAGCATTATCATACAAACAGTGGTAATTTCACCAAGGGAGAGTTCTGCACGCAGCTAGCACAAACGGCTGAGAAGGGATTGGGCTCACAAGGATGGGCACAAGAGTAGATACAGAACCATAAACTGTTACTGAAATGACGGCAACCTCTTGACTTCCACTATCCTGACTTCTCTATTGTAGCCATGTTCTGCGTCCCATATACTGATCCAGAACCAGTTCTTGAGCCTGGTTCCAGCCACTTGACCGGGTGTTGTTTGTAGAAGGGCCAGGGGGGTACAATGAGGAGGAAAGTAAGAACGGTTCCGGCCAACCCTACGTAGACTGCGAGCTTAATATCTTGAAGCAAGTACCCGATGATGAAGGAGAGAGCCTGAGGAAAACAGTAGATTAGTATGTAAAGCGTACGAACCGAGAATGTGTATGAGTTGCGGGTACTTACTCCAGATGCCGAGAGGACGATAGTCGCAAGCAGGTCTGCCAGTTTCTGGCCTTCAAAATCCTACGATAAGGAATTGGTTAGCCCGCGTTCACGATGACACCATTGATGCTATGTTGTATCGAAACGTACAATCTGACCCTCCGCCAGATCGCGAACTTGCTCGAGGATTTGATCAGCCATTGCGGTTGCGATTGTGGTGGGTAATCAAAGCGGGTTGGACAGTGGAATGGTTGACCTCGCGCGTCGTCTGTCAAGGGGTAAATCGGAAGGCTGCCAGTCGATGTGCCAATACACTGTACAGCTCACTTGGGTCGCAGTCGCAGAGCGTCGGGCCGTAGATGTGTGTCCGAATTATACTCCTCTGTCGGTCTGAGGTGATCAAGTGTAGGCTAAGCACCTAGGTAGGTAGGGGCGAGAGCGGTGTTAGAAACAAGTATGCCATTTCAGAGGCCCTGGAAAGCACGGACGATATCTGTTGGGCCTAATTCGCCAGCCCATTCGGCAAGGGCCGCGCCTACACCATCTGTCACTGGCTGACCCAAACGAATGGGTGGGCTGTGGAGACAAGCGACAAAGGCCGTGTGAGCTCATACTGTGTATAATCAGCAGGCGCGCCATGTGAACTTGCGGGAAAAAAAATCTCTAGCTGGCCTGTGCCGGGCGGCTTCTCCCTGGTTCGGAATTTTTAGTGAGAACCGGGAAATCCTCTCTTCCATCCTATCGCCTGTTTCCCCGTCCCCCATCGCTTTCCTTTTACCACAAAAAACCCCCAATACGCTCAGGACAAAACCGTCCCAACTGCTTATTCTACAAAGCCGACTTCTGCTCATTGCGTTGCACCAGGAAGGACGGCCTCATCTTTATCAGATTAGTCTGATCCTGCTTGGTTCTTGATTCCAGCACCTACATCAAGAAACAACGCACACTGGTTCCGGACTACGACGAGTTCCGCATCCTTGAAGGTCAACGTCCACGACAACAACAGTTTCCGCCGATCGCCAGCCAGCCTTTCTCAACAACAATCCTCTCAGCGAGCAATATTGCCTGTCGACTCCTCAGTCTCTGTACCATCGAACCGATTTCCCTACCACGCATCCCGAACTGTTGTTGAGACCGCCTATTTGCATCCGGCTTTCAGTCAGGTCTTCCAGGTCGAAAGACCCAGCTTATATACCACTCGACTCTCAAAACCACCAAGTTGGCTTCACTCGCAACTGACGCTACCTCCCCCACCTGTTCACTCCGAGGTCCTGGTTTCTGGGTCTACAGCGGAGTGCACAAGAAACCTCCGTAATCGGGCTTCTCGTCGTCGAACAAAGGACCATTGGAAACATCAAATCGGCAGCATCGTCGCGCGTCATCGCAGGCTTCTTAGCACACACGCCTCTCCTAGGAACAGGCACAGACTTCAGCCACCCTGGAAGCTCTTCATCATTCAACGCACACCGCGCCGCGGCCGCGCGGAGTGCGATTTGACTACGGTCTATACTGAACCCGCATCAGTTATGGGTATCGCAGTCTGAGTCAAGAGTTGTGGAGGCTTTTGAAGAGAAACGAGTTGAGCCTTACACTCTGTCGCCTCTCTTTCCCTTCAAAACGGTCTTATCAGACCGAGCACATCGGTCTCATCATCGGTTGTGGACTTAAGGAGCATCGACAATAGTGTTCCGCCAACAATTGCCAATATGTCTGATCAAGAGGAGAACACCTCGGAAGGCGTCTTCAAGACGCCAATCCCCGAGCTAGACGACCACCGTCACCAAATTGCGGCTAGCCCCCATCCGGAGCGGCCCCGAAGAGGCACTTTCGACACGCTTTACGGAGCGCGACTGCTGGGACCGGAGTCGGTCTCTGGTGAGCAGTCACCGAGCATTCGTGTCCGCGACTTTGAGGAGGCGATAGTGGACGATGAAGGAGGCGATGTCTCCCCTAGCGCACGCCGTGTGCGTCGCCCGACCGTCGAGACTATAACCGACCAAAGATCAGTCTCCCCACCCAATTCAGTGAAGGCCTTCGCCGAAGCACGCCGCCGCGAGCGTGGCATGTCCTTCTCCGAGTCCAAGGCGGAGAGAAACGCCAGTGAGGAGGACCTTCACCGAGCCGCCTCCATCAGCAGTCGGCGTAGCCTTCGTAGCCGCCCTTACACGGCAGACGATGGCGCTAGCCTGGCTACCAACCAGTCCGCGGCGGAGGACGTCTGCTTCCCACTTCAGGATCCTCGACGCAAGGATCAACTGTACATTGACTTCGACTACCTCGAGAACTTCATTCAATCCGATCGAGCTTCGCGGACCGCTAGTCGTCGTAACTCTGTACGGTCCTTCCCTGACCTTAGGCAACAACAAATGTCTGATGGCGGACCGCCTCAGCTGCAACTCAGCACTGTTGACGGTGATATCCTCAACATGCCCTCCGATTCCTCGGTGGGACAGGACGCATCGGAGAAGGAGAAGGAGGCCCCCGTCGAAGACGCTAAGCCGAAGCCTGCACCTACCCAGCAGCCCCTGGACCCCAACCGGTTTAGCTTCTTCTCTTCAGCTTGGGAGTCGACGATTCATGCAGCGGAACTTGGCGACTTGGTCCTTCCTGGCGAGGACCTTCGAGGTCTTTTTGCGTTACCCGCCGACGAATCTGATGGAGTTTGGTGGCTGAACGTTAACAGCCCTACGAAGGAGGAGGTCACAGCCATCTGCAAGGCGTTCGGCATTCATCCTTTGACCATTGAGGATATCACAACCCAGGAAGCACGAGAGAAGATCGAGCTGTTTCCGTCGTACTACTTTGCAAGCTTCCGGTCCTTCCATGCCGTTCAAGAAGACGATGGCTTAGAGTACGAGCCTTATAACCTCTACGTCGTTGTTTTCCGCGAGGGTACTTTGAGCTTCAGCTTCGAACCCAATGCCCACGCGTCTCATGTGCGGAAGCGTATTGCTTTGCTCAAAGACTATGTTGCACTTAGCAGCGACTGGATCTGCTACGCCCTCATGTAAGTTGACAAGCTACAAGTAGCGCAAACTTGTTTGCTAACCCTATTTCTTTCTTCATAGTGACGATATTGTGGATTGCTTTGCCCCAGTCATCCGGGACATAGAGCTGGAGGCGGATGCCATCGAGGATGGTGTATTTGTGGCGCGCGAGGATGATTCCAATCAGTTCCTACGGTCCATTGGCCGTGTGCGCAAGAACACGATGGCTCTGATGCGTCTTTTGGGAGGCAAGGCTGACGTTCTCCGAGGATTCACTAAACGCTGCAACGAGAACTACAAGGTTACGCCTCGAATGGACATTGGTCTCTACCTTGGTGATATCCAGGACCACGTTGTCACCATGGTTACCAACCTTGGCCATTTCGAGAAAATCCTCTCCCGCTCCCACAGCAATTACCTTGCCCAGCTTTCCATCAATAGCATCTCGCAAGGCACGCATACCAACTTGGTACTCAGCAAGATTACCTTCCTTGCGTCAATTCTTGTACCACTCAACCTGGTCTGCGGTTTGTTTGGTATGAACGTTGCTGTTCCGTTTCAGCATTCGTCTTCTCTCGCTCCTTTCTTCACCATCCTCGGAGGTTTGATCTGCTTCAGTATCGTGAGCCTCTCATTGGCCCGCAAATACAAGTATATCTAGGGGTAATATCTTGGAGTGTCGGTGAAGGATCGGGATCTTACAGCTCCTTTGTTATGTGTAACAAGTATGTCTTGGGCAGTTGCGGCATGTGCAACCAGACAACAAGCGCATGTTGATAATGACAAGCTAGATAGTAATAACATTAGTGCTTTCATGGGTTCAGACTTTGGATTGATCAACCGCAGCAGCCACATGATACAAATTCCTTGGGGGATGGCCGGTACAGTGCAACGCAGCAAAATTGGTGCATGCAGCTTCATGAACCATGGCCAAAGGATTACATGATACGGCAAGCCTGCTACTCACTGAGACATTTGCCATTTTCGGAATCCATGTGTATTGTTCGTCAATCATCTTGCACGAAAGCAGCTCGCTGCTCATATCACTGACGAAGATGGTCGAATATTGAGGCTCGAAGTGCCGTGCACAGTGCTCGGCCAATGGGAGGTCGTTAAGCAAGAGTGGAGACCTTGAAAAAGCTGGATAGAACACAGAGGTCAACTACATTACTCAAAGCCTTCCGGCAATATCCCTTACACTGTCGCAGACAACAGCACGCCTTCCTAACAAATAGTTGCTGTACCGTTGAAAACGCCAACAAGGACCTTCCACGGAACCTCGGAGAAAACACATTCAATTGGGTTACATCAAAGAAAGAATATTCCACAGCCAGAGCCATGGACTCCTCAAGGTTGGCCCTCGAAAACTCGGACCTCGAAAAGCTCAACGACAAAGATAAGCTTGAACTCCGCCAGTTCCTCGCCAACGAGCAACAGAGATCCCAGATTCAGTCACGTTAGTACAGGTTCCTCTATATCATTCCTCAGAGAGGCAGAACAGGCGGGAGCCAGGTCTGCGAAACACGACTGGGGGAGAGTAGTGTAGCAGCTGCGTGACGTTATGGATTGCTGGAGAGAACCACCACTAACAAGAGATGCCAACATGATAGAAACCCATGCGCTCACCGAGATTTGCTGGAAGAAGTGCGTCACTGGCTCGATTCGGAACTCCAAACTGGACAAGGGCGAAGAGGGATGCCTGGCCAACTGCGTTGACAGATTCCTTGATGTCAACTTTCTGACAATGAAGCACCTCAACAACATGCGCTCTGGTTAGAATTTTTTTTGCCCTAGTAAAAATATGGAACAGACTCCAGGGGAGGCTAGTAGACGGGATAACGAGCCACGATCGAAAAGTAGTTCGTGTACGAACGTCTCGTGTAAAGCACATGTAGAACTATGATGTAAAGAATAGAGTGGTACATTACAACATCACTAGCCAGACTTGCAATAACAACGGCTATGCCTAATCGGGTTCAGTTCACGTCCCAGTCGAACGAGCACTGGTCAACGCTGGGTATTCATCATTGAAAGTATTGTGAATGCCGCAGAAGTCATGCATTTATCGAGACTGAACACGGTTATGGTACCCTAGCCTGAGTACCGGGGGAATCGATTGGTGCCCATCGGAGATGCCACTCCTGGGGATTCTAATCAACAACCGTAAGACGCCCATGCCAATGCCTTTGCGGTCAATGAACCCGAATTGCTTTTGTTTTTGCTCATTCTCCTTCCCAAATTCCCATCATCCCGCTAGACTAAGCGCTTAAACGAGAGCAAGCTTGGTGGCGGCGATGTCAAGAGCATCGACGTCGGGGGTGAGGCGGGCGTAGGCCTTCTTGGAACCGTCGGGACGGATCAGGGTGTTGATCTTAACGGTGTCGATGTCGTAGAGCTTCTTGAGGGCCTGCTTGATTTGCGCCTTGTTGGACTTGACGTCGACGATGAAGACGAGGGTGTTGTTCTCCTCGATCTTCTTCATGGCAGACTCAGTGTTGAGAGGGTGGACGATGACCTTGTGCTCGTCGAGGCGGGGCTCGTGGGGAACCGACTTGCGAGGGTACTTGGGCGCGCGCGAGACGACGAGGGTCTTAGGGCGGTGGAACGAGGTGGTGTAGCGGACCTTGTTCTTGTAGTGACCGTGGGCCTATGAGGTGAAGATGTCTTAGTATCTGTCGCGAAATCTTCTTCCCTGATGCGGCATCGCTCCTTCCAGTCCGATATCCCAAGACCCGCTCGCCGAACTGGTGGGAAGACGACACATCGGAGTTCTTCAGTGTTAACTTACACCCTTGAGGGCAGCCTTGGCAGCGTTGTTGGCCTGCTTGGTGCCCTTAGGCGCCTTGGAGGCACCGCCTAGAGTAGAGATAGTCGCATCAGCAATCGCTCTTTATGTTTCAAAAGAACTCGCAAAATCTGCTGCAGCATGATGCTTCGGGAAAGGCCTCGTTGGCGGCGAGCCCCCCCGTTGCGGTCGACGAAACAGGAGATTTTTATCGAGTTGACCTCATAATGTATGTTTGTTTGGTGGTGCACCGGAATCTGGCGATATCCTGGCGGGAAATTGTGGTTATCAAGTACCTTTCTTGGAGTCCTTGGGGGCCATTGTGTATGCTGGAGGGGATGTTGGCTGGCTGGGCGGGTTAGCTGGCTGTCGCGGTTGTCGAGGTCTAAACGGGAGAGAAAAGAAGAGATTCCCGAATTCTTTTTCTCACAGACAGTTCGGTTCTGTGGGCTTAGGGCAGCTTTTTTTTTTTTTTTTTTAGCCCATCTGGTCCGTGCCTCCTCGATGTTTCCCTGATTGAGTGAGGAAGGGGCGCTCAGCACGGGATGGATCATTGTTTTGCCGTTTGGCCGCTCCATCGCCAATCGCATTCGAAGACTTACATCCATCGATATCATAAAAATCGATTGCTAGCTGCGTGTTCGTTGTGACTACCGAGTTGATGAAGAGCCACAGCTGAAAATTAAGAGGAGGCCTTGTCAAAGTGGTTCATTCTGCTCATCAAAACCAGCTTTCTTCTGAGAACCTGCCTCGTTTACAGCCAAGACTCAAAAAATATGGGCAGGAACAAGCCCGCCAGCAGGCTTCTTTCGAGTGGCCGACCCCCTACCCTCAAGAAAGCAAAGTCAATATCTCGCAAAGAAACCAGGACTCTCATCAACTCTCATCACACTTTACAGAAGAAACGTCAACAGGCTCTTGCACGCGGTGACGAGAAGGAAGCGGCAGCAATAGCCGCAGACATATCTGCCCTAGGTGGTCTCGAAGAGTACCAACGAGCCAGTCTTCAAGGGCAGAGGGTAGACCGGGGTGGGGACAGCTCCAGAATCCTTCTCGACTGGTTGCGATCAGCCAATCTACAGCCCTCGGGAACCATATCCAGCGGGAAGGATAAGGGCGGCGCCCATCGCCGGTTGCGAATGCTCGAGGTGGGCGCCCTCAGCACCCAGAACGCCTGCTCCAAGAGCGGTCTTTTCGAGATGGAGCTCATCGACCTCAACAGCCAGCAAGCGGGAATTCTGCAGCAGGACTTCATGGAACGACCTCTTCCCAAGGATGATTCGGAGCGGTTTGACATCATCTCACTCAGTTTGGTGCTTAACTACGTCCCGGACCACTCCCAGCGCGGTCAGATGCTTCTCCGCACGCTTTCGTTTCTCCGCCAGCCAGAAGACGCTCCATCAGAGACTTCCTACGCCCTCTTCCCCTCATTATTTGTCGTCCTACCCCGAAGCTGCATCGCCAATTCGCGCTACTTCTCCCATGATAGGCTGGTTGAGCTGATGAATCTCTTGGGTTACGTCCAGCTCAAGGGCAAGGTCACGAGCAAACTAGCCTATTCTTTTTGGCGTAGAGAATCTGCTCCATGTTCGCCGTTGCCAATAGTTGCCAAGAAAGAGCTCAACCCGGGGGTGAATCGAAACAATTTCACAATCACTCTCAAGAACTCATAACCCTCCCTTCGCACGCCCCGATTCCAACTGTCACTGTCACGGTGTTTGGAAGTCTACTAAATGGTTGCCGCGGTGGCCACCTATCTTTTGACCACACACGGGCGACTATGTATTCCATCTGACACAGTACGTGTATACTCCGAACAAAGGCGGGCTCCAATCGCCAAACCCAGCTGCCTTTTTCGGGCATTGCTCGATGATCACACGCTGGGCATCAAAGGTGATGCGAGTTCCAAGCGTTTGCTTTTGCAGCGATCGGCAGGCGATCACTTGCGTTGACGTCTCCGAATGGACGCCTTGAGAGGATTACGTTTCAGCAAGCCAACGATGACCTACATTGCGGGACATGCGTCGTCAAGAAGTCAAGCAACATACAGTTGCTTATCAGCAAACGCATCTGGTTAATAGGTCGTTGCCTCTACCGGCTTCGTATCGCCGGACGGACGGTCGGTGTTGTTTCTGACAGACATGGATCAATCATTTGCCTGGTCTAGCCTGTGCGGCAGAAGTACCACGAACAAAAGTCTCTAGATGGGGCGTCGGATAGAGCGACTTGGCTCGCGATTGTGAGGACAAGATAACGCCATCAACCGCAGCTGAATGGCCTTCTTCATTTCAAAGAATCCCCCAGCTCCCACCATTCAGCTTTAGCTCGCCTCAATTCGAGCACACGATCGTCGTGTCTCGGCCGGGATTCGATTGGCGCGGCGACATTCAAACATAGTGCTGCCCGTCTGTGGCACGGGCATGAGCGATGAGCATCTAGAACGGTCGCTTTGGCATCTGGAGAGGGACAGTGAATGAACAAAAGGCGCATGGATCTGTGATCGACGGAGACGGGAAAGCTGAACGTGGTGTTCACCGGATGCAGACTGTATTCGAGGCATTCCCTGCCAGTTCTCCCGATAGTGCTACAACTTTTAGCAGAAACGTTCCTGGCTGAAAATACTGCAATCACTAGTCGCTTTCTCAATATCTTAGTCCAAGACCCTCCAGTTCGCTAAAGTCTCTAATGGGTTCTAATGTTGGGCTCATATCCGCCGGAAGGGGTGCGTTGCCGGGGCGGACTACAGGTATGCTCTGCATTCCAGCCGCAATGGCGGCAGTGACTTCGTGGGGGTTGTCACTGAGAAACAGCCATTCCTCAGGCTTGGTGTCCTCAAAGTTGGAAAGGATAGAGGTGTAGCTACTAGGCTGGGTCTTGAGGCCGGCATTGACGGTATCGAACCAGCCAGAGATGAGGGACGTCAGGTCCGATGGCTGAGCGTCAGTGTAGCCAAAGAAGAGCTTCTGGGCGGGAACCGAGCCAGACGAGTAGATGACGAGGCGCAAGCCGGCGTCCTTCCAGGACAAAAGACGCTCAGCAACGTCCGGAAAGAGAGGCGCCTTGATATCGCCCGACTTGTAACCCTCCTTCCAGAGGTATCCCTGGAGTGCCTTGAGGTACGAGGCCTTGACGTCTCGGCTGACAAGGTCCCGGAAGTGCGCTTCAAAGGCGGATCGGTCAGACACGCAATCCTCCGGGAACGCATTCCGGTAAGCAGCAAAGTCGGGGCTGTCCCATTGCTTGTCTAGGGTAGCTGGAAGAGCATTGACGGCGTAAGGGTACTACGCGGAGGTTTCAGTACGGGATGACTCTTCAGCCGTGTGTGGTTACCCGGCTCGGAATAAGCAAGCCACCTCCGTGCCATCTGGGAAAGCAGCAAAATATTGGGGGATCGCCGGATACCCGAAGGACCGGGGAGGGAAGAAGGGGGAGCACGAGCGGGACAACGTACTAGAACATCTTTGACAAAAGATATGGGACACACGGTGCCCTCTGCAGTGCATCGAAGTCACAAATCAGCAGGTGTTGTCTTATCGAGCTTGCACCCACAATAATCCGAAGACATTGTCACCAATGACTAGAGGTACATAATGCGGTGAGGCGAGGTGAGGTGAGACGAGGCAAAAAGCTCACCGATGTCAAGCAATACGACCTTGATAGCGCCTAGGTTGGGTGCCATTGTGTATGAATTGTCTACAGGGGAAAACTTGGCTTGGTGCGTCGTTGGCAGCTGCGGCAGTAACTAAGGCAAGGGAGGTGTGGGGATCCGAAGGGAAAAAAATGTTTTTTTTTTTTTCTGATTGAAGAACCATCCAAAAATCTCGGCGAGACGGTGAGACTGAGACGCGACGCGTGATCGGATAATTAGGAGAGGGATTTGGGGTGGAATCCTTCAGCGACTTTCTGTTTCGTTGCCGTTATTCAAGCTTCCTGCAGCTGGTTGGAACAGGTTCGCTGGCGCCAGTTCATGCATGAAAGGTTGAATGCACAGGAAATTGGAATAAGGCGGTCAAGCCAGACCGGAATTTGAATGGGCCCGGACAGGAAAAGGGCGGTTGCAGTTTTGGCAGGTCAAGTGCAGGTGAGAGTTTGGGTGACTGTGTGGTGTGTGTGTGAGAGAGCCTAAGAGGGAGACAGAGTTGGGCGCAGCTGTGTGAGTGTGTGAGTGGAGATGACGAATGAGGTTCCAAAGGGCTACACCAAAACCTCAAACTCGTGGTCGCAGCCGTTGGACGAGACCCAATAGCAGCGCACCGTTAAGGTGACCATTCTCATGGCAACTTTGAAGTAACAGTACCGAAGCAGCGGTGAGGAAAAACGAGTTGGAAAAAAACATGTCACAGCACCGCGCCGTCGCCGCGGTACGATTGATCCGGCCACTGGGAAGGCAAACGGAAGAAACAAAAGGCAGCTTAAGTGTCTACCTATTACCTACCTACCTACCTAGGTCAGGCAAGGCGGACTAAACAAGTTCAGGACCGGACGGACGCGGCAGCCCGGGAGCCGGAAAGATGGTACCGGCGGGGGCTGTCGAGAGCCCGTCGGAGGTCTGTCATTGTGACTCCCGTTGGGTTGTGACTCGACAGAAGCACAAAGAAGCTCGTCGTCCCCGGTCCTCCTTCGGCGTCAACGGACCATGACAGGACGCCCGGGCTCTTTTGACTGGAGTGGAGCATCGCCGGCCCCCTTTTCCTCGAGGCGGGTATGGGCGCCCAGTCCTTGCATGGATGGATGCATGCATGCAAAGCCATCGAAGCAAGCCGACCCGAACAGCAGAGCATGCATCGTGGAAAGCGGTATCGTGGCGGCCGGACAAGCCACATCAACACCAGCATGCCAGAAGCCAGAAACGTCCCGGACGTACAGTACCGGGCTGAGGTAGCTGCTTTCAATGGGTCCCGCTGCGAATGGGCCGTCGGCACGGCAGCTGCAGCTGTAAGCCAATTGACAGGAACAGGTAGGTGCCGGATCGAGGGTCCCACTTTGCTCGCGTCTGCAGATTGGTCTTGGAGTCAGGACGGCTGGGAATGAGTGGGGTCAATGCAACTTCTAGCCTGACAGTGTTCCTGTTTCCCGACCAGCCTCCTTCTCTCTTACCATCTCTGTCGATAATATAGCTTATCTGGGCTTACCGCGACTTCTCTGCTCATATTGCAGGCCAACAACAAGCCGATAACAACGGCTTTGGTATGCAGCAAACTCGACGGAATGGGGTCTGCAGGTTACATCGTATCGGCGTTGGAAAGGTGGCCGGCCACGAGACTCTGAACCCCTTTGTTTCTCGTTCCTATCTGCACCACGCATTTGGCCTGTAGATCACCTTCCCTCTCTTTCTCCGAATCCAGTCAAGCATATCAACTGACCGGAGCTAGCGATTCTACTGGCCCCACGCGCCATGCCCGCGTCCTTTAGATATCCGCTGTGTCTTGTTTAGTTGACTTGCTTGATCCGAGAGCTTTCAGGCTAGAAGATGCCCCCACTCCACTCAGCAACGTGTCTCGTCGAGAGGTGGTGCTAGTGGCTAGAAAACGGAGACACAGGTTGCAGCCATCTATCGCGGTACCTTATGCGGTGGCAGCGGGTCTGGGGATAAGACCAGGGACGTGTGCTTGGCTGGGAAGGAGGAAGAGGGAAGTGGGATCGAGGACGAGAGCGAGCCGGTGGGTGTACGCGTACCGTATCGCCTTGCGGCGAACGGACCCGACATGATCCGAAAGTATTGTGTTGTTTTCCGTAAATGATGGGATGTATCCTGCTCATTGATAGCTGGCGGCTTGTTGATTTGCGCGTTGCATCACAAAATCCCACGGGAGCACGCTTTAGTGGTTGAGTTCGATCCTTGACACACGGACCGCGGGAATCCGTCACAGAGGGCGACATATGGCTGACCGCAAACTGTCGGTTGCCTGTCAGAACCGCAAGACGGATTGCAAAGGTGAATAACGTTTTGACAGCTTGTTATCGAGCAGGTATGAATCGTATCCACACACAAATGCAGCATAACGGGGACCGGCTCTGCCCCGATCTCGCCTCCGCAAAAACAAGGAAGGGAAGGGAGAGGGAGGCTGGCAACCGTTCTGATGGACACACAAACGCTTGTCGCTAAACGTCTACCGAATCCCGATGAAGCCTTGGGAACACGCAGCTCGCTGTAGACTTGCTTTGAAGCGGATAGCTATCGCACGGAATGGGGACCCTGGAGCTCGGACCTGGGACATTGAGAATATCCACCCCCAGGAAGCCGAGGAGATGACGAGATGCCAAAGAGTCATTCCATCATGCATGACTGGCTGGCCTGCACTACGACGAGTCACCGCGTGCTTGTCTGCTCGACTCCTGGTCTTGCCCGGTGGATGCCATCTCTCCCGAAGCTCGCGGGGTGGAAACCTAGTCACCACGGCCGAGACTCCGTTGCCAACCCTCACCGTCCCCCCTAGTTTTCCACGTCTGACACACTCTGTGTCTCTCCGGATGCGGCAGGCATCGCCTTTCGCCAAAGAGTATTCCGTTCGGGAAAAGAATGCCATTCTCGCCCGCCGCGAAAGCAAGACGCCTAGGGGATACGCCCCGCGTCTTCTAAGGGGGCGGCGGAGGCAGTCCTACTACATCCTTTTAGCCTAAGCGAAGCCCAACGTGCAGAAATGCAGCCGCATCGTAGGACGGACGGGGTCGTAAGTTTAAGACATGATGGAACCATAAATTATTGGAGCTCGGCAGAGACCGACAAGGCGATCGGCTGTTGTTTTTGCTCCTTTCCCGGTCAGGACCGCTCACCTCTGGCATTTCGCAAGCTGTGAGGTGATGGGTCGGCAGAAGCCTACGTACCTCAGTTGAGTTAGCGCATTCGAAGGTTCGTGGGTGTCGACTGAGTCGCTCATTCAGCCAAGCCAAGCCACAAGAAAAAAGAAGAGGAAAAAAAGACCATTACTGGTCACACGACCAAAGCGTTGGGGATGGCTGGACCAGAGGTGTGGAATGGGTGGTAGGAGCGACGCCGGCGAACGGGGCAGTTGGCTGTGCCCGTGTGACGCTCTTGCTCATTTCACTTCCCCGCATTGCAATTCGCCATAGGTTGACGACAGGAAAAAGATGATGGCTCACCAGAAAGGAGGAGAGTCAAAGTTGGACGACCCCGCTGTCCACGTACTGTGTGTGTCCGATATCGTATCAGCCAGCCCGAGCGAGAGACACATGGTGCCGTCGACGATGAATTGTGGATACGACCTAGAACCCCTTCTCTGGGCAAGTAGTTTGGGTTCGTGGGGATGACGAAGAGCGTCAATGTCTGAAACATTCTCAATGGCGGTCGTGATCAGCCAAGCACCAGCGTCACGGGCGCTACATGCTGTGCGAGGAGCCGGCTCTGAGCCTCTTGAGAACCTACCGTACTACGGCTGGGGCTGGGCAAGAAAGCTCGAATGAGGTGGCCTAGAAGGGGTCAGATCAGCATGCAATCATCGGACGAAGGTTTGACGTTTGAGGCCCCAGACTCGGACTGGGCCAGATTGGCGATACGACACGGCTCCAGGGGGCTGCGGTTCACGGTTGCAGCGATGTTGCAATCGAGGGCACACTGTACGTATAGGTACACTGCTTTCTGTACATGTTGTATCCGTACATGACAGAACAGCAGCAGCGTTTGGCGAGAAGCCAAAAAACCTAGGACGCAGGCCGGGATACTGGTACCTACCTAACTACCTCATCAACGACGATGCAAGATAACGCTGGTTCCGGAGGTGGTCCCGCCACCCGTTATCAGCATTGGGGAGCATCTTATCTTTGGGGTTCCGAGGGATAGAGGGAGTGGGACTCTGAATGTCGTAGGCAGTTGGAAGCAGGAGTGGATCCAGAGAGGAGGGCTCCTCCAATGGGGGAAAGGGTTCCCACGGAAAAGCCCCCATCTTTTCGTCTGGTTCTGGAAAGTCCATTCATGGCGGCGGCGCTTGGGGTCCTCCTGAGTTCCTGGAAAAACCTGGGGGAACTCGGCTGTCCGTGAGTGCTCTTTCCCTTTTGGCACGGTTGGAACACTCCAGGATGGAGACGGGACTGCAGGTCGAAAGGAGTGCAGGAAGGTGCGGCCGGCGGCCAATGAGACGGAGGGCGGGTGTGTAGGTGAAACAGAAACTCGAGGAATTCAGTCGAGAGACTGTGTGAGGTAAACGGCTGCTGCTGGGCTGCCCTGCGCTAATTGGCCTGCTGGACAGGCACAGGTGCAAGTCGGTTATGTAAGATGGGTAAAAGACAACGGAAAACGGGTTCCTGGTTGGTACTACTTGCACCTCCACGTTATCCAAGTGAACTTCCCGCATTCTGGGTGTCGCGACAGCCGGGCGAGAATTGGCCATCTGTCCTGTCCCATTCTACATACCTAGGTAGGCCCCTTCAGCAAGCCACTTAGTGCTGCTGCTGCTCTTGCTCCAGGTCACGCGGCTCGGGCAATGCAATCCATTCCAGGACGAGCAATAGTCAATGGCCACCTGAGCCCTCAACCTGTTCTGGAGTCCCCGAGTTGCTGAGTCCGTCCCCAGGCCCACGAGTTTCCAGGAACCCCTGGGAAGCGGGTTTCCGAATGACCAAATGACGATATTCTTCAGCCATGATCCAGGTCGTGATTTACGGAAATTCTGGACCTCAATATTGGGAGGGACGGACCCATCGACATTGCCACTCTTTTTTTGGAAGCTAAACCATAACCGGCACTTCATTCACCCAGATCTGTTAGTGTAGTTAAGTAGACAAGGGTCGCTTATGTAACCTCCGAGCCAATAGTGTCGACGAATGTCATGGGCGTGGCGTGCATTTCACAGCACCATGTAGCTATTCTATCCCACGGTGTTTTCCGAAAACAAGGTTCGACGGGCACAACCAAGTCAGATGGTCACGACGAATCGAGAAAGACCCCTTTTCTCCCTCTCCCCCCCCCCCACACGGTGCCCCGAATCCTACTACCGGTAGTTCGCGTAATCGTCTTTGGCAGCAGCTCGAGCCATGCCGTCCCAATTCAGACAGCATGCGCTCGCACAGCACGAACAAATGGATTTCTGGTGACGGGCACCGGCACTATGAGCGTTAGTCCTGGGCCCATGGCCGCCTGGGCCGGTCGATCAGTCTCCGTCAATGGCCGCGCGCTTCCCGCTGCGCCCGCCCTGCCCTGTGCCTGCCCGGTGGGTGCCGAATCGACCAAATCGAGGGGTCTCGATGAACAGCCAGAATGCTGAACTGACTGGCGACGACAGCAATAACGACGACGGGCGGCAGCCCCGTGGTGGCAGCATGGCAGCCTGCATGAATCCCTGGTACGCGGCCGCTAGGTACAAGCCTTCACCGTTGCTGACGTGGAGGTACTGGAGGTCGACGTACCTACAGGGCGGTGTGGCAACTAGCCACGCAGCTGAGTGGGGTCGGACGGACCCCAAGGAATAGTTGGCCGTGGGCTGCCAGGTACGTAACCGGCAGTGCAGTGCACAATACAGTAGGAGGAACGTTAGGCGCCCACCCTCCCGACGTACGGTGCATTCTTGGGAAAAAAAACAAACGGACATGATACGAGTACGTGTCTGTTTGGGCCAACAATGCTTGGCCTCGTTCCTCATACTTGGTGGCACTGCGACTCATCTTCTTCCCGGTGGTGATGAACCTTCGGGTTCCAAGTCGCTTCTACCTTGGTTTACTTCCCGTCAGCGACAGCGGCAACAGCAGCAGCAGCAATATTAACAATAACATCACGCATAATAGTGTCGTTGATGTCTCGCTATGCCCAGCACTAGCTCCGCACTCGATGCAGAGCATGCCCAGATGGTCAGTCGAGTGTTCAACCCCAGACGGCCCCTTGCAGCCACTCACAATTACACCCAAGACTTCAGACTCACTCTCAATCACCAGCGAGCCTTGCAGCTGCCCCCCCCGCCTTGATGTCTCCCCATTCGCCCATTCATGCACATCGCAGGGGTTCGCCCGCTGTCTCGAAAGCCTAGTTTCTCAAACCAAGTTTCCGAACCTCGTCCCGTAGGTAGTTGCGTCGGTCAATCCCCTTGAGTTTGCGAGGAACCTTGAATCTCTTCGAAGCTACGTGGCATTGTCTCCCTGAGCCCGGCGGGCCGGGAGTATTTCGCTATCGGCATTCGTCATAGCTACCATGTTGCACGAGTTTAATTGGTTTGGCGGCACCCCCCTTACCATTCAGCAGGGCGACCAACGTTCTTGCCGGGTTGTTATTGTTGCAGCGCCCCCCGTGTTGTTGATGTTTATGTTGATGGACATAGTTGCCGGCTATGACCCGTGTTTACTCACACTCGCCGATCCATCCACTTGTACTCCGTATATGGCGACTAGGGTACTCCGTACATGGCTTTGACACGTTTCTCAAAGTGTCGCTGCTGGTGAAGACAGCGGCAGTGGAAGACACGGGGTGATGGGTCCATGTTCAGCTCCGTTTCCGACACCGTTTACACTATACCGATCACCCGCCCCGCGTCGACTATCGGTAGCAATCGAGGCTCTGCTTACGAATTGCTGTAGCGGCCACTGTGTCATCTCATACCATCGCCTGCCATTTGGACAACTCGACAGAGTATGGATACGTATGGGTGAATGGCGAGGTATGACTCTTGTTCGCTCGCTGGCAGCTCCAAGCAAGTTATGGGACCGAGGACGAGATGATTAAATTGCTCCTACTATGTATGGACATACCGCATGGAGCTACATATTAGGCGAGAAAGAGGCCGTGCCGGGGCCGATAATCCACCGTGGCTTATGTACATAGTTTAGCTGCCAACCAGCTCTGGTGGCACTCGCTAGGTTTACCAAGGCACACACCTTACTGAACGCCCGTCCACGGCTGAAGTATCTCTCCGAGGAAATACCAGGGTAGAGGTACATGGGGCAGCCATCTGTGCGTCAGCCAGCACTGGGCAAAGCATTCCGTTATGTCACCGCTGACGGCACATTGTCACAGTGCGCTACTCTCAGTCGCCCGTCCGAAGTGTTCTGGGCCATGCTCTTCGCAGTCTGCTAGGAAGGAAGGTGTCCATGAGTACGTACTGGAGCTAACGAAGCAAGCATGCACGCGATGAAGGGTACTTGGAAGGTTTTCAACTTGACAGAACGGTGCTCAACGGGACTACACTAAACGGAGGGGCCGCATAGTCGAGGAAACATGACACACATGGACGAGGAGTGGGGCATCTGGGCTGACTCTTCCTTTCGATCAGTCCGTCTTCTCTACACTATCGGGCAGAGGTGCCGGTCGGTATGTTGTTACCATAACCATGATAGGCCAACACAGTTTCTCCTCCTGTAGTGTACATATAGGCATGGCTGGGTTGGGTTGCATTGCATTTGTTGCCAGCCCAGCCAAAAAGAAAGCTCAGTCTCGTCGTGCAGGAATATAGACCATTCTAAAGCTTGGGAGAACTGTATTGGTTGGGTGGACGAGAGACAAGCAATCCTGCAGGCTTGGGGATGCTGCTGCTACTGCAAGTTGGTCAAGCGTGCGTCCCGGTGGTTCCACTCCCCCTTCCCATCATTCCACGTAGCGCGCCATGCCCCATTGCGGTACGTACTCTCTCGTTCGTCCACCGCCTCTCTCGGTCCCCTTCCTGCTTCCCGCTTGGCTGGAGGAGCCCCGCCGTTTTCCTACCGTCAGAATCCCCCCGTATCCCCCGTGTCACCGTAAAGGTACCCAGCTCGAGAGGCAGGTACCCTCGCAAGGTACACACTACCCTACCTCTTACACTTATCTCACTGCGTGAGAGAGCGAGATGAGGATAGAGAGAGGAGTGTGTGTTGCAATACGCAGTTCCCGGTACGTACCTGCACTTGCGCTCTCGCCTTTCCATCCCGGTCCGCCTATCTCGCTCTCTCCCTCTCTCTCTCTCTCTGCCTGTCCCTCTCCCGGCCGCTCGCTCACTGCCCTTTCCCATTCCATCCCATCTTTGTCCAAGCCAACCCATCCTCGTCCATTCATCTCCATCTTCTTCTTTCGTTATCCATCTGTAGCTCACGCGTCCTTCTCTCTCACACTCTTGCACTCACACCTCTCTTTCTGTCACCCTGCCTTCCCTGCACCAGCCTACCCACCCTTCTCCTTCATCCAACCTGCCATCCTCCTGCCTACATCCTGCACTTACCTACTTTACTCTAATACTCCCCCTTCACCATCCTCACCCTTTCTTCTTTTGCCTTCCCTACTCTACCGCACCTGATCCTCATCGTCGTCAACGGCCTCTCTTACTCTCCTTGCTTGCTAGCCACCATCCTCTCAATCCCGCCTCCACCTCTCTTCCCTTACTATCGTCTATACATCCCTCCCTCCCTCTTCTCTCCGACCTTGTCCTTATCATACAATACTCGCACCGCCAACCCAACGCTTTCACCCGCGAGTCGTTCCGCAAGCAATCACGCAATCCTACCGCCTCCGCCGAAGAGTTGACTACACTTCGAATCGTCAATCTATCGACAGAGATAAAAGAGAGGAGAGGCCTCTTGGACTTCGACTCAACACCGAATCCACGAGCCTCGGCATTTGCTGTCATCGAATACTGACTAACATTCGTATCCGTTGACTCACTTGTCCCCACCGCCTTGGTCACTCCACAAGGCCCCGTGTTCCTAATCAACGACAACTCCCGCTCTCATCCAAATAAGAGCTACGTCTTTCCACCTTGTCTCGACTCGAACAACGCTGGTCAACCAACTCGTTTTTTTGCAAACACCCGTCGACGCTCGAATGCTGCTGTAGCCATTACTTTTTGCCGATCCCGGTAGTCAGCTTGCTTGCAAGCCGTTGCAATCACACGTGGACGACGACCACCTTCGGCCATCAACCACTGCCTCAATCCGGCCTTCGTGCCATCCAGAGTTAGCACCCCGACAATCAACCACTGTCAGTAGCCGCCGCCGACTCGCATCCCCGCCCGAATCCTCTAGTCAGGAATCGGCCTCTTCGCTTCTTCTTGCTGCAACCTGACGAATACACGTTGAGCTTGCGCTATCTTTCCTTCGACCTCCGGGCGCCACTCTCTATCTAGTCTTCATCATCCTTGCTCTATTTCAATGTCCTCTTAACGATACTTCTCTGTCTTTTTTCTCTCTACGGACCCCGACGTCCCAAAACCGACTACGACCAACCAACCAACCAACAACAGACCTTCGCTTTCATATGTCCGACAACAGCAAAAAAATACCCTCGATGAGCCTCTGATACGTGAACGAATAGGAGTTAGATACTGTCTTGTTTCCTGTTAGATTTGTTCCTTCCAAAACCTGTATATTCTTGGCAACAAACCCGGTCGCCACCTTCCCCGAACTTCAGCACCGCGTAACGAAGTTATCACCAAGTTTCCACACGCATCATCCCAACTTTTCGAATCCTCCTTCCCGCCATCAACGAACCGTCGACACCGGGAAAGAAAAAAAAGCTTGCTTCAAGGCTGCTTCATTACCGTCGTCAAGTCGTTGTTTCTCTGCTCGATACCCCCTCCTCTACAAGTTCATTTTTCCAGTTTCGACATGGCATGCTTGAGAGACAACTTTCAGAATGGCGTGTTGCTCGACGGTCGGTACAAGACCATATCTCCCCTCAATCATGGTTCCTTTGGCATGGTCTTCATGGCCAAGGACATCAAAACCGACGAGACCGTCGCTATCAAGTGCTTGACTAAGAAGGAAGCCGCTGATGACTTCGACTTTGACTTTGCCATCGACGAGAAGTCTGAGGAGCTTGCTCTACACAGCCGCCTCGGATCGCACCCGAACATTGTCAACCTTCTCCACACCTTTGAGACCGAGGCTCATCTCTACCTCGTTCTCGAGTTCTGTCCCCAGGGCGACCTGTATGAA